CTGCTCGCTTCATTTCATCCACTTATGACTTTTTTTTTCAGTGTCTCAGCGCTAAAATCTGAACTAACCATGTCCTCTTTGCAGCTTCGCAGAAAAGTCTCTCAGCTGTGCTTTATTCACAAAATCTACTACCACATTCCCGACCTCAAAACCACTTTGTTATTACCCCCCGACCGAACATCTTCTCGCCTCAACAACGTCTGCACCATCAAGCACATTTCTGACTCTACTAACGCTTTCAATTGGTCATTCCTTTCTCAAGCCATCAGCCACTGGAACAGTCCCCCATCCTCCATTGTCACCATCTTGGACCCTGCTGATTTCTCCTCTGCAGTAAAACTACACCTTTCTTGGCCCATGTGATGGTGTGCGGGGCTAGGCAGATAGGTGAAAACCCTTACGCAGAGCGCCTGCCGGGCCAGACTTGTACGTAGTTCAACTACTTTACTCAAGTTACTGTAGTTTAACTACTTTTCTGGGTAGTTTAGTAACTTTTAATTACATTTATATTCTAGTAATTCGTAGTTGACTTTAACTACTTTTCCGAGTGACTTCCACTCAAATTACAAATTACTTTCTAATTTTAGTGGTTGTTTTGCCTATCAACAGAGAACAGAGGTCGGAAGGTCAGCTGATATTTGCAGAGGGGGAAGCATGCGGAGTAGAAAGGGGGGGGGATGGGAAGGAAGAAAGTGATTTAGATAGTCCAAAAAACCCCAAAATTTTAACGAGCCCCCCCACTGCAACAACACTGCTACGAGGCGCGGGGAGCGAACAGACACGACGCAAGAGAGGTCGAGTAACTGTGGGATTAGCTCCGAATAGTGGCGTTTCTTTGTATTCCGAAGCTCAAGGAGACTTGACGCATTTGAAGAAAGGGCTTGTCCCCGCTTCTCTCCAATGTAGGAATTCTTGCCCACTACAGGAGGTGCACACACTGCTCCTTTTACGGTGCAGGCGATAGAACCCCTAACAACGACGCTCACGCCGGATGGGCTGCTCGTGTATCACTCGAAGCGCGTTAACCCACCCCCGCGCCTGCGTTCACGCCGCTTCGCGGTGACGGTGTGCGGCTGCTAATTACAAATCTATTAACCCACCTAGCCCCCACACCCCCCGTACACACCGCTTTGCGGCGTCCGGTCGGCAACCCAAGCCCCGCTGCCCCCCATGCACTTCCGTAAATAGAGTCGATACGATTTAGTTTAGCGATGTTTCGTCAACAACATTCGTTTTTTTAGTGTTAATGGTAAAAAAGAAATGTAAATATCGCCAAATGCCTCGACAAAACAAAATGTTCGAGAAAAAAAATAAAAAGAAGTAAGCCGGCCCACACCATAAATAGAACCCGGGTCTGACACGTATGAGGCAGACATCTCACCACTAAGTTACGCTACCTCTTCGGAAACTCGCATTGCATCCGCTGCCTATGTTGACGGCGGCAGCGCCTATCTCCAAGCAAGCAAGCAAAACTTTATTTTGTGTAAGGGCCTACGTCCTGGTCTGGACGGCCCGTCCGGCCCATGTCTCGCGGATGGATTCCGTTAGGTTACCGTGTAGCCTTGTTCGTGGGGCAAGGCTCCACAAACCAGCCAATCCGGCGTGCGTGAGCACCGTTGCTAGGGTTTGTATCGCCTGCGCGTTAAAAATATGCCCGCGCGGGTCGGGGGGCAGTGCCCTTGATATTCCTTGGGCGCCGGCGGCCTGTGTCTGCTCTGCCCAGTGGCGGCCGTTTCAGGGGGGGGCAAAACGCATGCCTTGCCCCCCCACTCTGAGAACTGGGGGGGCAAGTGCCCCCCTTGCCCCCCCGGTTGGTACGCCCATGCGTGCTATATTTGCAGGTTTAAGTCGCTCTGTTGCCGTACAGACGCTGAAATATACCAGTGTGTAAAGAAATGCTCAGAACAAACGCATCAGCGGCCCCCGCGATGTCTATCACTATCCGTGTGCGGGTGAAAAATTGAACATTTGTCGACAAAACTCCCCCAGCAGAAACCTCTGACTGCCCAATAAACACCAGAGAAAGCTAAACACAGTGACTTTACCCGAGGCTTGGGTAACATCATTATTTTTAACATTTACCTACGTCAGCTAACATGCCCCGTCGTATTTTGTTCGAGAAAGCTCGTCTCGACGCCCTCACCAAGGCTAATATCTGATCCACCAATAATGACGATCGAAATCGAAAGTCTCACGAAGCTTTGGTGACTATTCCAACAGACTAGTTTTAAGCCGTACCGCTCCAGTGGTTCACGCATAATGCCATGCTCAAACGGATCAAGGTTCTGCTCGGACAGCATCATCAGTTTTCTTCAGTGTAAGCGGTTAAAAAGAGGTCGCGACCAGCTGCTTTCGCCAGTCGCCAGTCGCGACCAGCTGCGAACAGCTGGATGCGGAACTTTACGCCGTCTGTAACTATCTGTACGACAGCCGAGTTGCTTGAAGTCATCGCAAATATAAACTACAGGTTGCAGCGACCGACTTTTGTAGATAAACGTTAGTAGCGACTGCACTTTCGCATTCCCAACCATCACTTTGAAGAGAAAGGCGCTAGTTTCGGTTTCAGATTAGTACCTTTTCTACAACATAGATGGCGGCAGCGTCAGTTTTCTGCACTCGGTGCATTTGGCGAGTTTGTTTGAGTCCAGTTCTCCGTGCAACACTCTGCGAGTGCGATGCATTCTGGGAGAGAACTCGAGCGGCGCCAGTGCGTGTGAAACGAACTCGCTATAAATAAGTGCCTGTGACAACTTGTGATGCTTTCCAGCCTGATTTCCGTCCATATATTCGCCTGGAACATTCTAAATGCGCGGGTCGTCCAGATTTTCGTAACTGGTGCGAGTTGCAACAATAAAAACGTCTCTAGCTAGTGCTGCGCGTCTTGGTCGTCTTGGTTCTTTGTTGGTATATACCAAAATGTAATCGACAAAAAAAAGAGCTGCTTGAAGCTTTGTCCTTTTTTCACCTATTACGTCCAAGCTGATGACATTTTTTTATGATTATATTTCTGTTACGTTACTAGAGACTCCCGCACTAACTCCCGAGTGTGCGATGCAAAATTAAAATGAGATACCCAGAAACCCGTTGCAGGTGCCCTGAAGTCGCTGACGCAAATTTTGAGGAATTTATTTAGAAAAGTATTTGGAGGAGACCAAATACATTTGATTGTATTTGTATCTTGTACTTAAATGCTTTTTTTTGGAAATGTAATTAGATTTGTAAGCAAATACATTTTTTACAGAGTATTTTGTATTTGTATTTCGATACATATTTGCATGTATTTTGCCCATCCCTGAACTGAGGTAATCAGTACCTTTGCATTATGCGACGCATGACGTCATGCATGATGTCACGAGGGTTGCCCTCATGGGGGTAACCACTGATCTCTATGTCTATTTGCTGGATTGTGTTCGACCAGCTCCGCCTATGGACGGGGATGCAGCCACGGTCGGCCATCTTTTTGGTAGAGTTTTATTATTTCTAGCCATCATAGTAATATGGCGGACAACGCTATGGCGGCAGGCTGCCATAAAATAGCCGTGGATCTAGTACACTGTACCGTGGGTGATATTTTGTGCTTGATTGAAGTTGTCCGACGAAGCAGATTCTTGAAACCCGGCATGAACGCTAGGCTCATCTTTGAGGACCCGGCGAAAGTTCTACGAAGGCGCAGCACCGGAGGAAAGCAGCGCAGCTCGAAAGCAGCACCGAAAGCAGACGCCGTACCGGCGTCTGCTTTCGGTGCTTCTTTCGATGCGTGCTGTGCTGCTTTGCCTCGGTGCTGCGATTTCGTGAAACTTTCACCGGGTCCTCAAAGATCGAGCTACCGGTCGCGCCGGGTTTCAACAATATGTTTCATCAAACAATTTCAATCAAGAACGAAGTATAATCCATGGCTAGTTTTGCCACGACGCTGTGTGTCATGGATGGATGATAGTGGCTGCACCAGCTGTACATTGGCTAGAGGTGATATAACTCTACCAAAAAAAAAGCTGCCAGTGGCCGCATTTGCGGAGTGGGCAAACGCAATCCAGCAATTGTCATAGAGATCAGTGGGGGTAACCCTCACGAGGCGATGATGATGATGATGATGACAAGCTTAGTTAACCAGGATCAAGCTAATCAGGCAACACCAAAAATGCACAAAAAAAAAAAAAAAAGAATGTATTGTATTTTTTGTGCGGGATAGGTATAGGTGTAGCTGTATGTTTATCTTTGAGTGTAAATTCTTCCCACCACCATGAGGGGCTTATATGTCATGGTAAAACTTTGCTGCAAGTTTGTGTATTTATGTTTTCTGTCTCTTCAATATGAATCCTGCGAAAACATTTATTTTATATATCTCAATTTTACTTGGATTTGTTATCGCAATTTCTAACTCGAAGGCAGGTGTATCCTTCGCTGCTAGAAACGAATAAAGATAACGTTTCTGGATGTTTATTCGAACAAATAAATAAAGCCCGTTACCAAAGCGTTGCTACAGATTTTTTTTGTTGTTTTGTTTTTGGCCTTGGATAGCGGACGCTTGGGACGTTAAAAAGTCTAAAGCATTTTTGAGTGAAACGCGAGGAAAAACAGGATGTGTTGAATCTGTTTAGAAAGGGGGAAAAGTCACTCTTATCTTCGTCTCTTATTCATTTGTTTTCGAAGGTTTTTCCCCCCTTTCATTTCGCTAATATTTTTCAGAGAGGACTTTGGCCTTCCCCGAGTGTAGCAGACGAAAACCGGCACGCGTCCTGCGCTTTTAAACATTTAGAAAGAGGAGACAGGTAAGGTACGATACAGACGGGACAGATGGCACGTGTAGCGCCCTCGATTTAAAACGCCCGAAAAAATGAGCCAAGGTGGAAACGATTAGCGGCAAAGGGCCTCGGTTATTACGTAGTTGGTGAGGTCGTCAGCGAGAGCCGCGACCTTGGCATTCTACGCGCATTTTAACATCGGCGCGATCGGCGCGCTTTGCGTCACTCTAATCGACCGTCACGTTTCTCAATCCGCAGGCGAGCACTTTCCACGAAATACCTCCAGTCGGTGCTTGCAGTTCCGTACCTCTCGGACTTCGAAGTCATCCTGGCCCATGCCGAAAAACTTCGGCCGGGTCTGTCACGCTACGTGCTGCCACCTGCGTGAAACCGTGAACTACCAAATTTGTGCGAAGGAGGGGGAGGGGGGGGGGGGGTGCAAAATAATAAAAAAGTCTAAACAAAATTTACTTCAGAAACGAGTTCTCTGCGTGTCTGCGTCGCTCAATTTTTGGTCTCCTTTCCCCTCCGTGAGAGTGGCGATGCCTTTCCCGACGAAGAATAGCCTTCCTCATCACGTGCGGGCAAGAACTCGCAGTGTCGGCGGTTTCTCTCGACGTCGTGCGCGCCCCAAGTCAAGGCGGTGCAGGCGGAGCGCGTCGGACCATCAGCTGACGCACAAACATGGCGCCGTCCTTAAGCAAGTTCATTCCTCCGCGCAAGCCGGTGATTGTGGCCGGTGCGGTAGCCGTGGTCTACTTGTGGTCCTACCTGCGGTTCCTACGGAAACAGAAAAAGTAAGTCCACATCACGCGATCACTTTCCCCGAGTGCTCGGTCCGCCGGCGGCAGAGCTGGCCGGACTGTCCGGCTCGGCCGCGTTCTTCGAATTGTAACGATTCTTCCTAGTTCCTCGTTTGACAGAGACCGCTTCGAGTAGCGCCTGGGTTTTTTGTGTTCTTTCTTCTACCCCTATTTGCCATAAACGATGTTGTTTTTTTTTATTTTTTTATTTTTTTTGGTTGATTTGGAGGAGCACGGGTGGCTCCGCAGCGCGAGGTCGCGTCCGTCTTGTCTGCTTCCGAGAAAAATGTTTGATTGTGCGTTCGTTTTTCTCTCTAAAATTCCAGGAGTAAAGAGCTCGCTGCTGCCGCGTTAGTCTACGATAAGGTAAGCTCGGTATGACTGTGAAATAAAACAAATCGGCGCGATTTCCGTGCGTGTGTTGCACTGCGGTCGTGCACGCGCAAAATGAATCTTGTGTATACCACGCAGAAAGATGCCAAAAGGGAGAAAGCACACGTCGATCGAGAGTTCTTCAGGTAAGCAGGTTGATCGCCGTCTGCAAAATCAACTCCGTCTGAATAAAATTCTATAAACCATCTTCCTTTTCACCGTGGGAACCGTTATTTCTCCGTGCAGACAGCTCAAAGACCTGATCAAAGTCGTGGTGCCCGGAATACTAACGCCCGAGGTGCGTGTTTCGAATCGCAGACTTGCATTCATCCGCGTATTAGACGCGGTTCGGCGCGAATGAATACTAATTACTTCCTCCTATTTATTCTGTTGTCGCAGTTCGGCTACATGCTCCTTGTGGCGGGTTCCTTGGTGGGCCGTACCCTGTGTGACATCTGGCTGATCAGGAATGGCACCATCATAGAACGGGCCATCATCTCCAGGAACTTTGCTCTGTTCCGGAGCACTTTACAGGCCTTCGTCTTCACAATGCCCATGGTGAATAGCCCTCCGAGTTCTCACCAAACCATGACAACGCGACTCGTATACGTGCAAGTTGCATGTCGATGAACTTCTAACTCCTTTGATTTCACCCCAATACCCCTTTCGAATGTTTCTTCTGCCATCATTTGCCGGTCATGCCATTGGTTCTCAAATTCCTTTTCGCCGTTCCTGTCCCTAAGTGAAGTTTTCTTTCAGTTTGAGCAACATCTTACAAGATCTGAGTCATCCGTTGATGTGCGACTATGTGTCACACGCTCCCCATTGTGTGCATCATTAATTACGAGCTCGGTTGACTTTTGCGCTGCTTTATTGCATCGGTGCCAAGACCAAAAGAAGTTTCTTGGCTACATCAATTAACCTTGGATTTGAAAAATGGGCCCCTAGGAACCCAGGCTTTTCCCAGAGTGTACCCCCTCGACTTCCCCTAACATGTCCATTATTGTTTACAAGGTTTAGGCTACTCTGCTGCTTATATACAGGGAAGGGTTCCTCAAGCTGTCAGTCAAGACTGATGGGCGTCCCTTGGGATCGAAGACTTTGAGCACCCCTGGTTTATGCCATGGTAGCCGTGAAAACGTGACAGTCTTTGAATAATCGAACTACCGAAATATCCCGAAAGATAACCCACCCCTATTTTTGGTACAATTTGCTATTTCTTTTTTTTATAAACACCAAAGGATGGCCCACTTTCAATAATAGCAGGACCGTGGCCAATAGTGACCTCGTCAGAAATGGCGTTTGGTTCATCTACCCTCCATACAATTACAGGTTTCACAGGTCACCAGTCTTGGGTAGTAACGCGTTACTAGTAACGCGTTGCTGTAACTTCGTTACTTTTTTGGTAACGTAACTGTAACGAGTTACTTTCTAAAAATGTAGCCTATAACTGTAGTTCTATTACTTTTTTCTGAGATAACGATGAAAGTAACAACGTTACTTTTGTCGTTACTTCCCAGTGTTTTATGAATAATATATCACTGAACGAGTGCAATTTAGCCATTTCTTGCACTTTCCAAACCGTCTATTCCGACATTTCGAGTGTCAAGTTGGCCTTGCACAAAGTTGTGAATACGTTCTTTCTCGCGAGTCACGACCCGAATATAGCCACGTGTAGATTTTGTGAAAAAATAGCTAGTTATCTTTACGCACGCGCTTGTACTTTGTGACTGAACACTTACATCTTAGTGTCTTGAAGCACTATCTATGTTGTGGTGTTTGTTTTATCTGTGTAAACACTTTTGAATCCGGTGAATCAACCGTGAAACAACAATACACGTTGGGGGCACTGCGCATGTCTCGTATTTTGATTAGCGCCGCTACTCCGCACTGCGCATGTTTCGTATTTTGATTTGTGCCACTACTCTGGCGTGGAAAGTTTCAAACACGTAACTTCGAGAAGCAACTGCTGCTAAGTTACAATATGAAGTAAAAAGCATATTTTTTAATTTTATGCAATAAAACGTGAGGGGCGTTTTCTAGTTTTTTCTAATTTTTTTTGTGTTATAGAAAAGTAGCGTCGTTACTTTTTAAAAGTAACTGTAACGGTAACTTCGCTACTTTTTTCTGAAAGTAACTGTAACGAATTCCTTTTTAAAAGTAACTTACCCAAGACTGCGGGTCACAGAATGTAAAACTAGCATTTCTTCAACCTTTTTTTGATTGCACACCGAAAGTGAGCCCACTAATTATTTTTACCTGATTTGCTTTCGATTTTAGGTGGGCTATCTCTCTGGATATTACGGCAATTAAAAAAATATTTAAAAAAAATTGGATTTTTTTCTCCAAACGAAAAACATTCTCGTGTTTTTCAAGCTGTACGTGATCTTAATAAAGAAGTGTCCGGGTCTCGAACGAGGCCACTCGCTTCTCGAGAATAGTCCGCGTCCCGTGGATCACGCAGCTGTCAGGAAACTGTCATCGGCGACTCGTGTCCTTACTTCGCCCTTTTTTCTTTTCCCGTTTTCTTTCGCAGTTGTCGCTCGTCAATAACGTCCTGAAGGTAAGAGGCAACGGCGGCTGGGAAGCCTTTGCGAGTGGGAGGGCGCGCGTCAAGGCCTGACAACCCGGGGCTTTGCAGTATGGGTTGAGCGAACTCCGGCTGCGGTTCCGGTCGCGACTGCACCAGGCCTTGTACAAGGAGTACCTGAACGGCATCACCTACTACCGCATGAGCAACCTGGACAACCGGATCGCAAACCCAGATCAGCTTCTGACGCAGGCAAGTGGTTAGCTCGACTGATTTCCTCGTTCTCTGTACTCTCGTTTGGGTTTCTGTGTGTTACTCCGCATGTTGCTTGAGGGGACATTGAACTCATAAGAAACAAAAAAAAATTCTTTTTAGTAAGTTCCTCATTAGGACAAATAAACTAAACCATAAAATTTTCCCTAAAAAAAAAAAATTAACTGCAATATTTATGTTGTTAGACTAATTTCAGTGATTCTGTAGCATGCTTCTATTTCGGGAATCACTCTTAACTCCAACTTAAGTATTGTGCCAATATAAAAAATAAAAAAATAAAAAAAAATATATATATATATATATATTGGTAAGATATGTGTCTTTTCTTGTGCTTGTGCTTTCGGTACTTTAAAGGGGCACTGACACATCAAAATCATATTTTTTTTTATTATCCGAAACGATTGAAAACGATGCCGGGACATTACCCTCAAAATTTGAGATTTGGGAATTCAGTATTCGTGAAGTAAAAAAACAATTTCCAAATGCCGAATTCGAAGTTCCCGCGCGATCGGCGCCGGTGCCTTGACGTCAAAAATCGCGGAGACCTGAGAGTCCCCTTTCTTTCACCACACCCTGCTGTTGCCATGGCGACCCAAAGCGAGGAGGAAAGGAGCGAGTGCCCGGCGTTGCGCCGGACCGGTTTTGAGCGGTGTCGCCTGTTTTCCGTTGGAGGATACAAGTCCAGGAGACGGCACCACAACGAACTCCCGATTTTTGGTATTTCAAAAAGAAGGGCCGTAGTGCGTTCGCAATTGCGTTAAAAAACATGTTTTAGGATTGCCGTTATTAAATGTTATAGAGATGTCGCCTACAATGCTTCTAAATTTCCTGATTTTTGACGTCACCGATCAAAAGAAGCGAGGAGGCGAGAGGCGGGAAAATCAAACGCCAAAAATAAAAAGGCGCGCGCGCGCGCGGGAAATTTTTTTTTTGCGTGTTTATGACTGCAACTTGCATCGTTTTAGACAATAAAAATAAATACAACCTTTGGGGTGTCAGTGCCCCTTTAAGACTGCAAGTTCGGTGCTTTAAGAGAAATTTTTTCTTGGTCGACGTCAAAATAAAAGCGTGTTTCGTAATCTCTCCCAGTGCAAAGCATTTCTTTAAACTAAATATTTCGCTATTTTTTTTTGGGGTAAACTTTATTTTGTGACATACGTGCGCCATCTCGGCACATCACCTTATGACGGACAATATACACGAACTCATCTCTGTTACGTCACGGCGCGGTGGTGGCGCGTCGGTCGCGCTTCCGGTCTGGGGCTGTGGGCAGAAGTCCCCATGCCAGACGTGTATTCCTGCTTTTTTTTGAAAGGAACCAGACAAAAACCGGCCTTCTCGTCAAAACGCTGCGACTGGGACCGAACCAAAAGTGTCGAGAAATGTTTGAAGGTCAGTTTTCACGTGCTCGGTTCGTCCGAGAATCCGGATATGTGCCGTGAAAAGGGAAAACCAGACGCCGTCGGACAACGATTGCTTGGGCGGGAAGCACTTTGGGTTGAATTCACAGATACTTGTGGTCAACAGATTTATTTGTTTTGTTCCAACATGAACGCCAGAAAACTGTCAAGTTGTGCGGACCACCTGTAAACTATGTTCAGTGCGTCTTCTAGTTCAACCGGCCGCCTGATTGTTTGAATTGTCGTCTGCTCTTTCAAGCGTTTCAGCTTGTCGTCTGCTCTCTTAGACGACGCCGGTCCGTAGACCAAATGTAGGCCCGGTACTTGCGATAAGAAGTGAGTGCAGGCCTCAAAAGACTTAAATTTGAAGGTTGGTAAGCAGGCTCGATGTAAACAGTAGATACAAGGAGATGTCGGTCATTGTTACCAGTGACCAACACCGACTTGTTATGCCTAATTCAGTTGGTCCGATTCTGCTTGCGATTTTTAGTATCGTCGTCGACCATCTTAGCTACGGTTCACGCTTTTGCAGCCCGAGCGGCGTCGTGACTGAAAATTCTGAGCGAAATCTCATCATGCGAATCAGGCTTTAGCGTACAATCTGCGGCGTCCATGCGGAATGAATCGCCACATGTCACACTAATCCCGCGAAGTTTTACGCTGTAACGAGCCTCAGTAATTTCGCTGACGCCGCTCAAGATAGTCAGACATCGCCAGGAAGAAGTAGAACCAACAATTCGAACGCGAAAAAGGGCAGGGGGACTCGCACCGACGCTGACAACATCGCATTTCAATGGTTTGTTTATGGGCGACGGCAAGCTTCTTGCCCACGCTCCCATCGCGCATGCGCGGCGGCGGTTGCGTCCGCTAGGGGCGCTCCGGGCGCTCCGGTTTGTTTGTAAACATGAGTTGGTGTATAGGATTCCACAAGCCACCGTTGAAGCCGATCCAGTGCTGCTTGGGCGTCGCATGACCAGGACGCGTGGCTTTGCGACAAAAAGCTTGCAGCGCCGGATCGGCAGGAGAATGACTCGTAGCATTCACCGCGGTCCGTCCGGCGTAAGGTGAAACTATGACGGCAGCCGTTTCGCTGCGGGTCTCTTCTTAGCTTGAGTGCACAAAAGCTTCGGAAACCGTGAATCGGGACGCCTCCGCGATGATGGTGGCACTTGTGTTCCCTCCCGCTTTCCCAACAATGCGACGCTCCGGCTTTGGCGGCTTCGTTTCTCGCCGCTTTGGAACCCTTTTTGACTCACGAGCAGGATGGGACGCCAAACGCGCCGGTCCAGCCGTGTTCAAAAATTTACTCTGTCTTACTCCGGGGTCAAGGTTCTGTACCTTGGCGTTCTAAAACCTACCCGCATCCAGCGTTTTTCAATCCGTGTTGCCACGCGACGCGACCTGCCGGAGCAGCTCGGATCCATTTAAGAAAGTTTTGGAATGGGGCCCCGCTAGATGCGCCGGTCCGAGACACCTTCCGGGTGCCGTAGCGAGTTGTGCTGTGACGTCGGACAACCGCTCTTTCCGAAAGGACGTGGAAAAGTTCTGCAGCTGCCTGACGGACCTGTACTCCAACCTGAGCAAGCCCATGCTGGACATCATCCTGTACGTGCGGTGGCTGTCACTGGCCATCGGGCAGGAGGCCCCCGGGGCCATGCTGCTCTACTTGCTGTTTGCGGGCATCATCCTGACGCGGATGAGACGCCCCGTCGGCCGCATGACCATGCAGGAGCAGAAGCTGGAGGGCGAACTCCGCTACGTCAACTCGCGGCTCATCACCAACAGGCAAGGCAACTCTCAGGAACAATGTTGCCGCGACGTGACAATCACTCTACCTCTGGGATTGGTGGGTAACGACGCGTTACAGTGGAATCTCGTTTCCTTGAACCCAGGGGGGACCAGAACTTTGAATTACCGGGAGTTTCCTTCCTGGAAACATGTAGCGCGGGACATGCATGTTAGTTTAAATTATCTGCAAGTTTGAATTAATGAGGGTTCCAATGTATCGTGACTTTGTTACTTTTTTGGCAACTTTTAACTGCAACGTGCTTTTTGAAATGTAACTTGCAACCGTAGTTCTATGCAGGGAGCAAGTTGTCTGCTTCTTGCCCAGAAGTTGCGGTGACATACGACGCCGAGCTCCGATTGGCTTTGATTGGAGGGATAGTGTGTATACCTCCATGCTAGATACCTTGAGGTCTACCCACTATTTGCTTCCATCGGCCAATAAGAGCGTTCTGACATCATTGCAACCCCTGTGCAAGAAGAAGCGGAAGAATTTGCACTCCGCATTACTTTTTTTCAAGTAACGAGGTTACTTTTTTTGTTCCTTTTCACAGTTTCTTCGAGGGGGCACTAAACCACTTTCTGCGATAGTCTCGTGTTGACCCATTCTATGAGCACTAAGCATCCTAGGAAACCAAACTACACATTCATGCCGGGCCAATTTCTCTATTAAAATCGGTATAAAAAAAATTTATTACCTCGTAACTACTGCAAGCACCAGCGGCCACTGTTGCACGAAGAAAGGCAGGGCTCTGCGCTTCTTTAGAGTTCCTGTATAGTCTCCCTACAGCAGCCAGAGTTGCGCGTCTGTTTCTCACGAGCAACCGCGCCTCTATTTGCCGAGATCCGATCACGCGAGGAGCAAAATTCGAGTGCCGTGCAGGAAAACCACCGCTACGGCTGCTTCGCCGACGTTGCACACGCCCCGGCATATGTTTCCCCGCTTTTGCCTCCTCCTCCTTTTCTGTTTTCCAGAAAATGAGAAGAAGGAGCGCGCCGCCAATGGTGCGGCGCCGCTGTTTGCTGAACTCATTCATGTGACAAGCAGAATCCCTGGCCAAGCAGGAAAGCCGGTGTTACGGGGATGAAAGCGCAGCTCTGGCTCCCGTGGGGAGCCCATACAGAAACTATACCCTTCTTCGTCAAATGGCGCCATCCGGTGTCAATCTTTCGATGTAACGATTCTAATGAGAAATTGTCCACGCATGAATGCAATGTTTGGTTTTTGAGCATGCTTAGAGGCCCTAGATTGTGTTATAAACCATAAATGGTCTATCGCAGTAAGAGGTCTAGTGCTCCTTTGAGATATCATTGAATGTGCAAAATCTAGCTATTCGTTAATTTTTTTAAATGATGTGTCTTGGTATTTTAGTGCCATGTCTGCCTTGTGCCAACTTGCACTGACTTGCACTTTCTGTAATAAACTTGAGAGAGGGGGTCGTTTTCCTTCTTTTTTTCTTGATTTGTAGACTTATCAAACAGTAACTTAAAAGTAACGCCATTACTTCTTAGCATTGTAGGTGTAACAAATTACTTTTTCGTGGCGGTAACGGTAACTTTGCTGCTTTTATCTGAAGGTAACTAACTATAAATTACTTTTCAAAAGTAACTTAACCGAACGCAACTGGCAGTGATTCTTAATCTGAACTGTTCAACTCTGGGGCTCGGTGCCAAACGGACTGATAGCCCTTGCAGGAGACTTGACTGCAAAACAGTTCAGGAAGGATATGTTTTGTTAACCGTCTCTAAACTGCTTCCCCACCTCCGTCTATCTTTTTCTTTCTTTCCTATGTATTGGGTGTTTCAAGCGAACCTTCCGCTCTAAAACGAGCAGGAAAAACGGAAGCCTGCACTTAGAAAGCTCGAACGTTAGCCGAACGTGCACAAAGCAGGTCAGTTTTACCGTGTGAACTTTCAAGGTGCAGTTCTCCTTCCGTAAAAAGGGAGAGCAGATAACTTGCCAAGGTCAAGGTTGGGCGCGTTTGCAGACGACCGAACTACCGACGCTATTTACTTTGTGGCACCATCTCCCGACGGCACTGCGAGCAGACGGCAGAGTGTGTCGTCTGCTCACGGCACCTGTCGGGAGATGGCGCAAAAGTAAATTGCGTCGCAAACTCGGTCGTCCGCGAACGCGCCCAACCTTTACTTTGGCAAGCTTTCTGCCCTCACGATTTTACGGAAAGAGAACCGTGCCTCGAAATTTCGCACGGTAAAACCGACCTGCTCGGTGCACATTCGGCGGATGTTAGAACTTTTTAAGTGCAAACTCCGATTTTTCCCGCTCATTTTACGATGGAAGGTCCGCTAGTAGTGACTTGCGAGGCATTGCAAACCTACGTGTATGGGCCTGCAACCTCCTGTGATGACCAAACTCTACGGAGTTCAATAAAGAACCCCGGAGAACAGGCGAGAGAAGAGGCGAGTCCACTCGCCTCCGTTCCAGCGTTTGCTCCGCTAAAGCGCAAAGAATGGAGGGCTTCGCACGAGGGGCCTGTGTCCTTCCTTTCTGAGCCTGCAGCAGACTACAGCATCTGCATTATTGTTTATAAGTTTGGCCGTGGTTCCATCGTTCCCCGCGGGCTGTGCTGGCGGCTGAGCCACAGTCTTCGTTCGTTGCGTTCCAGCGAGGAGATTGCCTTCTACCAGGGCAACGAGCGCGAGAGGATAACCCTGGACAACAGTTTCCGACGGCTGGTGTCGCACCTGAGGGACTTCCTCGAGTACCGCTTCACCCTGGGCATTGTCGACGACATCGTGGCCAAGTGTGAGTAATCCTGCAAGCGCGGCAAGCGCCTCCGGTTAATTGGTATCGCGTAGGGTGTCCCGGTGCCGACCTTCCGCCTTAAAACGAACCGGAAAAATATGTGCCTGCCCTCGCGAGACTCGAACCTTCACCGAACGTGCGTCGAGCACATTCGGTGAAGGTTCCCGTAAGAAATGAGAGCGGAAGATTCGGCAAAGTCTAGGCTGGGCGCATTCGCAGACGACCGAGCTGGCGACGCTGTGGACTTGCCAGACAAGACAACTTCCGCTTGATAAGATGCCGTTTTACGTGACCCTTAACAAAAATTTTACGGGTTTTTTTTTCATTGCGTAAATTAACTAAGCATTGCCGAACCCTCGTTCTCTGCCCAAATAGAGTACTAGCGGTCTGAACCAGATGCCAAGGTTTCAGAACTGACCGTTATCTTATCTGAAAGTTATTAGTGATTTTTTTTATATTTTCATTGGAAAAATGGCAGCCGACAGAGCTCTCGAATACATGCAGCTGAATGGCGCCAGTTACCGAAAACAGCGATGGGGGGCCCCATTTTGTCGTTGAAATTATCATAAAATCACTTTAACTTTCGAATAAGATGACGGTTAGTTTTGAAATCTTGGCATCTCGTATGGATCACTAACTCTACATTTGGGTGAACAGTAAGTGTTTGGCGGTGCATACCGTAAAATCCCGAGAGATGCCCTACCCCGAAAGATGAGAACTCACTCCTATCCTTGGCTCGTTTTGATATTTTCTTTATATACCGAAAGATAGCCCACTCCTAGTAATCATAGTGTTCGGATCAACGATGACCTTGGCATCAATGCCTCCAGTTGGCGGGATATAAGTGAGCATTACTGACTGGGAAGTACAGTCATCTTTGCTTCAATGCCCCTCGCTGTGATAACATGTTTGACAGAAACACATAATCTAAAATTAGCATTTTTTAACTTTTCTTGATTGCTCACCAAAAGTTGGCCCACTCCTTATTTTCATCCAATTATTTCTCGATTTTAGGTGGGCTACCTCTCGCGATAAGACGGTAGTTTATTTTTGCTGTGAAGGAAACACAATAAATGTTTTAGGGGGCAGAATGTACTTCTGTTTGCTAAATTGACATTCGACAGAACGACCGGCATATACTAAAATGTTCTCCGGCGAGAAGATTGCCAGTTTCTAAAGGTTGTTGAATGAAGTGACCCGTTTCCATTAAACATTGTTTGACGTAACGACCGCCATTTCCTAATAGATTGAACCAAACGACCACTAGTTGCCAGAATCTTGTCAGATGAGACTACTTCCGTTTGCTGAAATGTCATTCTATGAAATTACCATTGAACGCCAAAATGTCGTACAAGCTGTTTGTCATTTGCTAAAATGGTCGAGGAAATGACTGCATATTGTGAAAATGTCCTTCGATGAAAAGAGCTTTGCTTTCCTGGTATGTTCAATCAGTGGCATATACAATGCAACCCACTATAACGATTATGAGAAAACCCGAAAGTTCAATCGTTATAACCGATTATCATTGTATCTCGGCTAGAAACTGATTGTTTTAAGCGGTACAGGTATCGTTATAAGTAGATTGCACTGTAGCCAGGAAATGTTTTCAAGGGGGATCTTCATGAATGGGTTAAATCAAACAAACGCCGGTCATTGAAACGTCGTCCGAGGAAACGGCGCATGTCCACCCCCCCCAGATCTGGCGACGGTGGTGGGCTACATCCTGATCAGCCGGCCCTTCATGGGCAGCAAGCAGATGAGCGTCGACCACAACGTCCGCCTGGAGGAGTACTACAAGAGTGGGCGCATGCTGGTCAAGCTGGCCGAGGCCGTGGGACGCGTCGTGCTGGCCGGGCGCGAGCTCACCCGCCTCGCCGGCTTCACCGCTAGGGTCTCCCAGCTGCGCTGGGTGCTGAGCGACCTCTCGCGCGGCCACTACGTGCGCTCGATGCTGGCGGTGGACTCGCAGAGCGCCAAGGAGACCGCGACGACGCCGAGGAGGCGCATGGAGCTGGTGCCTGGCGCCGGGCGCCTCGTGACCCAGGACAACATCATACGGTGAGCGTTCGGGGAGGGGAGTGCCACGCTCCCCCGCTTTGGGCGCCAGACGGCGTCCCCGAAGTCCCTGAACTGGGTACGCTCGGAGCGTGGGTTCTCAAACTTGGTTCCTGGGGACGCAGGGGTCCGCCAGAGTATTGGCAGGGGTTTCTGCAAGCTCCTGAATTTCCTGGACCATCCCCATCCCTAAGTGAAGTGCTTTCCCAGCTTGAGCACTACTCGAGCAAATCTAACACAAGTAGCACGCCGGAGAGATGTCCAAATTGGCACGAGCTTTGCATTCTTGGGGGGCCTAACTTGGGTCTCGTAGGGTTTTGCTCCAAGGCCTTGGTTTGTGCCAAAGTATACTTTTTGCTGGCATTTCTATGGCTTTGCTCTGGCACGCCACATAATTGCCAAAGTGCCAGACCTGCGCCAAAGGCGCCATGTAGGAGCTGAAGAACCGGCAGCGAAGCCTGATTTCGGCACTCGTTTGGCAGTTTAGGCTCAAAGTTTGCACGTAGAAACTAAACGGCCAAAGGTGAAAAGACTAAGTGTGCAGGCAAGCTGGTGGTAGCTAATCGTGTCGTTTAACACCTCAGACTGTGGTGAAGAAAAGGTAAAAACTTTAAGTCGAAGGAACAGACACAGAAGGGAACGGCTCTGTTCCTTCGGCTAAGAGTTTTCTTTCATTTCTGCATTACAGTCTCGAGTGTAAACGGCATGATGAACCAAAGGCGAAGCCTAACTCTGGCACTTGCTTGGTCGTTTAGTCCCAAAGATGCTGTATGACAGCCAAACCATCAGCAGCAAAGGCTATAAGCTTTGGCACCTGTTTGGCAAATTAGGGCCAAGATACCCACGGCTTTGGCCAAACGAGGTCAAGTTTTGCCCTACCTTGGCTTCTGCGGGCTTTTCAAGGCCCTAAATTCCCGCGCAAAAGCCACACTTTGGCAAAAGGAACTGCGCTACCTAAGAAGCCGCTGTTTGATTCGTAACCATGTCCCAAACACTTCCTAGCATGTGCACTACTCTTGACAACGTCCATAGGCTTTTGTACTGCTCTATACGGATCGCAAGTTTTTTTGCTTCTTTTACGGGGGTCGCAGTTACGTCAGAACGCCAAGCTCCGATTGGCTCTGAATGGTGGATAGTGGGTGGGCCTCGAGGCAACCCGCTTTGAGGTCTATCCACTATACTTCAATTGGAGCCAATCAGAGCTCAGCGTTCTGACGTCACCCCAACTGCAAAGGAAGCAGATGAATCTGCGCTCCGCATAGTATCCATGCCGAGACCGGGAGGTCATCGAGGCTAACACCGTTTCAGTACGACTCCAATGCTGTCGGAACTACCTGCGCGAGCACGTGGCTTCTTTTGTCTCCTTAGCACGAGAGGGCTTGCCGACGAGACAGAAGCCGCAAACCATGCTTGCTCTCTCAGCAGTGCAGTGCTGCAGCGAGGCTACATTCTCACGGCTGCAGCTACCCGTGACAATGTAGCGCTTCGGTGGCTTCGATGCGGCGGTCGTCTTCATTCGCATTGAGCTGCTTGGACGAGTCTTGCCGAGCCTGCTCGTGAGCGAGATATCAAAGCAAATACACCGCCTTTCGATTGGACGCATACTGGCACCATCTATTGGGTAGCCATGGAAACACTTAGTTTTCGTATATTTCCTCTTTTTCTTTTATTATTCTATCTTGGCTTAAAACACTTTTCACTATGTTATAAACGACCATTTCTCATAGATAGCACCTACATTTAATCTCGCATATACCGCAAAACGTTCGCTCTAGCGAAACGCAGTTCCAGTTTCATCTCATAGATGCTCTGGACGGATGGGTCCGTACAGCCGAATCCTCGTAATTGGGCAGCGGCTTGCGCCGCCTATCGAGCGTTCCTTTCGGCGCCTCTAGCTACCAGCGCATGCGCAACATTGCTTTGCAGGTTCCAGGGGGTCCCCCTGGTGACGCCTAACGGAGACGTCTTGGTGGACGACCTGACCATCGAGGTCAAGTCCGGGGTCAACGTCCTCGTCTGCGGCCCCAACGGCTGCGGCAAGAGCTCCCTCTTCCGGATACTGGGCGAGGTGAGCGCGTCGGACGCACCGCATTTTGCGACCGGTTTACGCTAGAGAGACTGGATTGAAAAGAGGGTCCATCTCAGACCGTGAGAAGCAGTCTAAGGGCGGACGCCCCCCCCCGCAGAGATTGATCGCAAGTGCGCATGCTCCGCATTGTCGCGCGGCGAGGAGGAAGGCTGGCGGGAAAGTGAAGGTGTTTGCAGACGGTCGACATTTCCGGCACCTGTGGCAGCTCATACTGCACACGCGGCCCGTGAACCCGGTTCAGCAGTTGGATGCTCTCTGTGATGCAGGCTGTCTATAGTTTGCACGGCGGCCAGGCTGTGCTGGAAACTTACGTAAAACACAAAACATACTTGGAAGTACACGTAAAACGCAAAACAGACTTTCACTCAAAACAGATTGCAATATCTACATCGCGTGATTTATTTGAGTGATTTGGCACATAGACCCAAAATAGAAGCACAGGTATTAAAATCCCTCAGATTAATTTTGCGACGTAAAAATAACGGAACTTTGTTGTTGTTGTTTTTTTCTTTCCCGGGGGATTTTTTTGTGACATGTGTACTATTCGGGAACTTTAAAAGATATATTTTTGGGGAGTGCGGTCTCTCCTTAACATCTCAGTCCATTGACGCTTTTCCGAACTTGGCCGAGCCTATCTGAGCCACCATCTCGCCGACCGATCCAGCACTACCGCCATGGTGTTTGGAACGCTTCTGCGACCAATGTGCTTACCGCATCCCGAGACGTGGTCCCTCGATTTCCACCCGACGACACCGTAGAAGTGGGCTTTTCTGACGCGATTTGTCGCCCTTTTGGGACCACCTTCGACGCACGGGCGGGATGGGACGCCAAACGTTCCATGCACCGCAATATGGCCTAGCTATTGAGAGGTGTCAGTCCCGACCGGCTCGCCTGCTGCGCGGGAAACGTTTTGCCGAAGAGAGACGTTTCTTTCTTCCGCAGCTGTGGCCGCTGTTCGGGGGCACGCTGGTGAAGCCGGCCAAGGAGAAGCTGTTCTACATCCCCCAGCGTCCGTACATGACGCTGGGCACGCTCAGGGACCAGGTGATCTACCCGGACAGCCACCTGGAGATGCTGCAGAGGGGCGTCACGGACGAGGACCTGGCGCGCTTCCTCCACCTGGTCCAGCTGGACTACGTGCTGGAGCGGGAGCGCGGCTGGGACACGATCCAGGACTGGATGGACATCCTCAGCGGAGGCGAGAAGCAGCGCATCGCCGTAAGGAAGCCTCGCCGCCGCCGGCTGCGTCACTGCCTTATTAATCATCATCCTCATCTTTGAGATCTTGCTTCACCATCTTTTGTTCTGTGCCAGTTTTCCAACCTGGGCTAATTAATTATTTATGTATACCCTCAAGGGCATCAGAGAGGGGCGGGGATTTAGGAATACAAACATAATTGAAAGTTGTTACACGGGCTCGATGCAATGAGTAATGATTAACTGGTGCAACCCTATTAAAATCTCCAGTTGTCGCTATGGATGGGGCAAGGCGGTTCCAATACAAGAGTTTTCGGGGATGAAAGAACTGTAAATAAGGGGTATAGTGTTGCATGCGAGAATGCCAATTCTACAGTTATGGTTGAGGCGCGAAGATGTGTGGATGGGATCATAAGTAATAAGTTAATCTTTTATACACGTTTGCGAGTTTGGTTTCAAGGCACCGCCATCTTGCTCATCTCGGGTGCGCTTGGGCGCGGCCATAATCGAATTGCGACGCCTTGGCAAAGCTTCGTAATCCGATTGCAATGCATCCAAGCGCACCCCAATCGAGCAAGATGGCGGCACCCTGAGACTGGACTTTTAAGGGTGTATACTGGAATTATTGTAATAGATTATAGGAGATGGACACGGAGGAGACATTGCACGCCGGACGGAAAGGAGGGGTTCTTTGACGTGACATTTGACATACTATGGTAGTTAGAGAGTGTGAGTGCAAACTACCACCTTGCAGAAATTGATGTTATGTGACTTAAAGTGTCATGGGACTATGTCTCTCATGAGTTCGAGTCACATGATGTATTCATGTGATGTCATGTGACTGTGTCACCTGACGTAGTCATGTGACCTCAATTTTGTTCGCTACATTCAGCGGGAAATTGATGTTGCGTGACAATAATTTCCCCGCTAAATCTAGCGGGAAAATCTATGTGACAGTTCTTTATGACAGCTAGTAAAACACATTTTGCTTTGAAATGTTACGGGGCAATTTTTGCGTGTCTCGAGTTTCGTGCAACTTTCGATTGGCTCTTTTCTCGCTGGCACAAAACTGGTACACAAAACTGGTAGCCCGTGCGTGTATTAAAAACTAGAACCAGTAAGAAAAAGAAAAATCTAAAAGATGCATTAAATTACGTTAACTGAGTTACATTAGCAAGAGGATAGCAAATGGTGGAGCATAAAATCTCCGCAGGCCACCAAAAAATGTCACTTTTCGCTTCAGTGGCAAATAGTTATTAAACAACCAATCTTCCCCAACTTGCTGTTTGCCTTTTCTTTCAATTCAGGAATTCTCCTAAAACACAATTCTTTTCATTCTAATTAAACATTTGACTCCTGCACCATACCCGAATCGAGCACAACTATTTTTAATCAATACAGATATATATATATATATATATATTTTTTTAAGTCTGTATTGATTGTTATATGGATTACCGTAAAATACCGGGCAAGCGCCCACTCAAGATTTAGAGATAATCGTGAAAAAATGGAGGATGGGCGCCAGGGCCGTACCCAGAAAAAAATTTCGGGGGGGGTTTTCGGGAACAACGGCAGCCATTTTGAAACTGTCTATTGTCTTATTTTCGCCTATGAATCATGTGCATCAGTGGCATGTAATGGAGAGTTGCAGCAAACCGGGGAACCGGTCCCGGTTTGGTACCCGGTAGCCGACCGGCGCCACTGCGCGTGCGCAGAGGTGGAGATTACTGCAAGTGCACCGACCAAGGCCGTACCCAGAAAAATATTTCGGGGGGGGTCAGAACCCCCTAACCCCCCCCCTGGTTACGGCCCTGATGGGCGCTTGTCCGGTCATCAATTCTACATATCAATGTACTGTGCATGGTTTCTCAGATCTTACAAATTTGATATGGGTGGTTGCACGGCATTCTACGGTATGTTTTCATATTGTGTTTGTCAGGTTAAGGAATATTTGCCACAATCAATTTAACTCAAATGTACTATTAGGTAATGATCTTTATAACTGACCGTTCTAAGAGGTCACGTTGCAATTGCACTTTTGAAAACCGTCATTATGAGAGTCCTAAACCGATCTATACAATTAGAAAAAAAAAAGTGAATTGGCTTGGAAGTAGTGGTGGATTATTTTTTGCATTTCTGTTGTCCAGTAATCAAAAAGTTGATTAGCACATGTTACACAATTAGCCAGCTGATTGTGATGCTTATTCCTTATAAACGCGCACATTTTTTTTAAAATAAAATTCCCCATAAGTATTACTGAAAATTCTTTTTTTCTCAAAATTTTTGTAGGGGAAGGGCAAAATGTCGGTACATTTTATGTTAGCATCTCTAGTCGTGATCGGAACATAAAAGTCTGTCGGGCACCTATTTTTCAATTGGAGGAATAATTCCTGGTATTGTAGTCATAACCACAGCAGCTGCTTATTCCATAGGTCATTAGCAGAAATTTGGAACTTATTTTAACCGAGGCGGCGACGAGACAATCCCGCAACAGCATGTGTGGTCTCATATCTTTTATTTTGTCAGTTTTGATTAATTAGTGACTAGGTTAAACAAAGAAGAAAAAAAATTGTGATAGTGGCCGTTGTTTTTTGTGCATTCACGGTACAATGACAGTCGTCTCTATGCTGCGGTTATCACGGTGAAATGCAAACGGGACAAACAAAATTATAAAAGGAAAGGGGGACTATAGGCACTTGGAGAGTACAGAATATTCCTGAGAATCAAGCTTGCAAGATTTCGGATGACTTTTAACTGTTTGCAGCTTTAGAGATTTCGATACCTCCAGCAAGTGATAATTTGTATCTGTTCTAGTCCATGTTTGCTGCGATTTCTGTGAGTAAACTAGCAGAAACCTGCGTTTGATTCGTCTTAAGGAGTCGGTGGCGTAGGGTTGAAACCCACCTCCTGCAATCATCCAGCCTTCTTTCCCTCTCTCCCTCTTCAGATCCAGCAGACAGCCACATATCCCCGCCCCCACCAAAGAAAAACTCTGGTTATGTTATTGTAAGAAGTTCTAATACATGTTCACAGAGTTTGGATTCCCGAGTTGCTTGTGCAGATATGCTTCAAACAAGGCCATGTATGGAGGGAGGGAGTGCATCGATGAAAAGATCCTGTCCCAACATTCTTTGCAGATGGCGCGGTTGTTCTACCGACAGCCCCAGTTTGCAATCCTCGACGAGTGCACGAGCGCAGTAAGCGTCGACGTCGAGGGCTCCATGTACCAGTACTGCCGGCAAGCCGGCATCACCCTGTTTACCGTGTCGCACAGAAAGTCCCTCTGGAAGTACCACGAGGTAATGGCCCAGACAACCAGCTCCTTTGTCTGCAGGAGTTGGTGAACTGTGAAGCCAATCCAATCTATGGGGCTGCTCTAAAACACAGTGAATGCCGAGGATGCAATCTCCAATCCCCTGAAAGTGGCCAATAGTGCGGTAGTGCACCGCAGCTCGTTCTCTGGAGTCCAGTCCGTACGAGCATCATACTAGCATCTGCGTGTCATCACTACTGCATGATGCATGTTAAAGACCCCCAGGCTAGCAGGCATACTGCACTGGCTAAATTCCTCATACGCAGCGTGTGACAACGCTGCAAAAACTGGCGTGCTTGAGGCTCGGTCACACGGTTGTGTTCGAGAGCAACTGCAACCACTCGCGCCTCTTTAAAGGGCAACTCCGCTCTATTCCGAAACATTTAGGCTTACATGCGATTCCATTTCACAAAGCACTACTAAACAGCTCTACGTCTTCGGACTCGCGAAATGTGGAATAATATTTGTGTAATCCTAATTTAAACATCAGCTGATACCGAAACCGAAACTTTGGTTGCGTCACGCAACATTGGTCTCGTGCCGTCGGAGTCATGGCCACGTCACGTCGAACCACGTGGTCTTGTGACGTTCAAAGGGGGGGGGAGAGGGGGGAGGGAGAGGAGAGGGACAGGACACGTGACGCGGGCAGGTCGCTTCGCATGGCGTGGACGGTGAAAGGGGAGAAGACGAAAGAGGAGTGGAAAAGCAGACCAATAAGCGCGCAGGGCAGCGCAAACTAGCGCATCCGCGTTACAGTGATCACGTGGACGCCGTTCAGCCAACACCGGGAGGAGAGACTCGTGACATCATCGTTCAATTTCGCTCTGAGAAGTAAAAACACAAAACGTGAGAATGACGTAGTCGTGCCTCTGACGTAGTGGCTCAACATTCACCGCTCCAACTCTGTCGCATTGACTGTGCTGACGATTGCGCCTCACGCTAGAGTTGGCAGATTTCGGCGACTTGGCTCACTTGAAGGTTTGCTGGCCAGTTTATTAAATATATAGACAGAAATATATTGTAATATTTGACATGGGGTCTTCCTATAGGATACTGAAGAGGGCTACATGGTTTTTTTTTAAATATCAAAAATGAAGCGGAGTTTCTCTTTAAGTGTCGAACCGAAATTTTTATCGGTTCGGTTCGGGTTCGGGTTCACGGCTTTCGGTTCCGTTCCGGTTCAGTTCCGGGGAGCAAAAAATAACGGTTCAAACCGATTCGAACCGGTTTGAACCGGTTCGAACCGCTATATTGAGAATATATTTTCCGCTTTGTTCTGGCAATGTACACCATTTACGCCGTGAAACAATTAACTATGTAGTTTCTTCGATCGCCCGTGGAATTTACGTTTGTTTTCGGGTGCCAAAAATATAAAATTCAGTTATTTAATTTTGACGCAACAGCAAAAGAAAGTCTGCATTAACATACATATAATGTCGTGTTCATACGACTCAACATCCCTTTGTTTACCAGTAACATATATTTTACCTGAATCAAAATGTTTAAGCACAAAAGTAAAGAGTTGAGGTTATTGGTACATACCTGTAAATAGATCAGCTTCAAATTTAGAACTAGACTGTATTTTTTTGTCCTTTCTTTGTGTTTCAGTAAAATTCTAAAGTTCAAGCGGATCTATTTACACGGTATAATATGTTGTCGCGAAGTGTGGTAGGTCGTCTAAAATACCCGTGATTGGTCTAACTTTGTGTCGCAGTATTAGAAGTGAAATCCTGTTCTTGAACTAAGGAATTCATTGCATCACATAAAATTATGAAATGAGCTCCTCGTGGCCATATATATCATAAAATAAGGTTCACGAAATACACTTCACAATATATATGTATATGATGACGACCCAACTGAGCTAAAAGCAATGAAATTTTCAAAATGTAACAAAAGTTTTAGGATAATTCCTTTTTATAGAAACACCGAGCGGCAATCCAAATGCCTGTTGTTCTAACCAAACATTTGTAGCGGTCATCGCGCCAGCTCTTGAAAGAGGAAAGAAGAGGACGACACGGAGAAAAGGCTCGCGAGCAAGTTGAGCGGCTAGGTTCCGAAGGCCGTGACAGCAATCTGCACTTGATATGTAAATATTGTATATATAAATACTGATTGCTAAACATTGTTTACACTCAGCACCGCACGCATGCGACTAATGATGCAGCAAGAAGTAATCAAAATTGTTCACTCTAATATATACGCACCTTCGCACTCAGATAGAATCTGGCTTAAAATAGCGCTTGCCCAAGTGAACATTTTCTTATACAGAATAAGCTGGCATAGCCTGGCAGTTGAGGTTTGTTCTTGACAACATGCCGGTCAATTTAATTTGCAAATGAGCATCACCCTTGCTAATTGATGATTTTAACACGATAGCGTTAAGGAGCTCACGTCGCAGAAAAGCCGATGTTGGTGGCGTGACTGGAAATCCTGAATGGTCGATAGGTTCATGACGTCAGAGCTAGATAACCTCGCGCAAGAATTTCAAACAACCCAAAATGCTTACGTGAAACTTGACATCACGCGTGAAATGAGAGTGATTAAAACAGGACATCTAATGCGAGTTAAAGCTTGCCGTATGTCTCAAATGATTTCACTTTTGAAAGTAATTACTTTGCCTTAAAGAAAAAAAATTAAGAATTTTAGACGGGATTCGAACCTACAACCCTTTTTTTCGCGAGTCAGACGCTTTTCACTAGGTCAGGCGATACACGCTTGCGCGGCAAATGAGAATGCGATGCAAAAGAGGCCCGTTGATGCTATCGCGTTCCACTTTTAAAGGCGAAGCTTAAGCGTCCTTCAAGTTTGTTTTTTGTTAAGTAAAACGAAGTAGTTTTCACGTTCTACTTGACATGGCAGCTACTTAATTACACACTTTCTGGCGGTTTGCGTACGTAATCGTCATAGTTCCGCCGTGAGCCCCTGTTGGCTTCGTTTTTGTCCAGCCATCAGACACATAAAAGTAATGTTCACCACATAAAAGAGGCAGTAACAGACTTCTATATGTTTGAGAAGTTATATGTGTGAGAAACACAAAACACATAGTTATTTAAATTAGCTTCAAAATCAGAAATGTATGTAAGGCCACCCCATATCACTTACAACGTGGCCGTCGAGGATAAAAACACCGGAAAATATTGGCAGAACACCTGTCGAATAATTTGGGGGCATTGCTTTAGGGTGGTCGGCCCTCTATTTGTGTTGTCAAATATTCAGTTAGTAATTAAATATATATTTATATTGATCAATAAATTTTACTTTATAAAGTTCACATAACCGCTTGAAACCGACGCAGAAGGACAATACTCGAAACTATGCGAGCTGTGGAGTATGCGTAAAAGTGTTTTTTCTGTTTTCTGATTAGCAGTGTGAAACATTGGGTTGCAGGGCACGCTAAAAAGGACTCTGTGCTAACATGATGAATTAGAAGTCAAATACACGAAATGTTCAAAAAGAGAGAGATAATTAGTGTTATTTTTCCAAATAATCCCTTGCAGAACGACTAACTGCAAAAAAGAGATACGCAAAGATGCACGCAATGGAATTTATGATGTTACGTAAAGAGCGCGAAGGGCAGACAAAGATTCTTAAAATCTCAGTATAAATCGCATTTTATCAGCTTGCATGAGCTCGAAACTTCGCGAAATACTGCCTCGGGAGGCTAATGTTATATTCGGTTTTACCTGCACTTGTTTTGCGCCCTCACTTTACAACACTATGCTAGAATAGTCATGCGCTCTAACGTTTCTTTAGGCTGCCATATCTCATCTCGAGACTTCTATAAATACTGCACAACTTTACAATTAGGACACCTATTGCTAGCGTTGCGAATATCACATTTCACCAGAAAGCTGAACTATTTAACATGGTATGCACGTGATGGCATCACACTGTAGGCTGGTGGTCATTCTGATTTCTTCTTGCTGAGTAAAATGAATTCGACGGTGCAAAAGGCACGCTGCAAGAGGTTCAAGCTCAGTGAAAGCCAAGTATTTGAAAGGCACGTATTATTATTCTTTGTGCATCGTTGGGAGGAACGGCCCGAGCGTCTGGCACGACAAAAACGTGCGTTCTGGCAAGAGCGCTTTTGCAAACAAAGTACTTCCCGGGGTCACGCTTTTTGGTCTGCGCCAATGATGCAGGAACGAGGAACCTTTAGAACACAGTATGTTTTTAAAACTCCCCCTCCCCCCCCCCCCCCCGCCCCAAACACACAGACGCACTTCTTTATACAGCGGTGCTGTTAATGGCTAGTTTCCCCAGTGTCGTGTCCGTCAGCAAACAAATGATGACACTAAACTCGGGAGAGCTACCGCCATCTATAAATGACGACGGCAACCCCTCCAGCCTTTCCACTCTGGCTTGCCAACTTGCGGCCGGCCATTACTTCATTCCCACCATAGTACAGCTTTTCTTGTCTTCTTTCTTCACCAGAGCGGAAAGGCTGAAAGTATTCCTGAGGAATCGCCTCCTCCGTTTGTGTCTGTTAATTCGACAATTTTATGTGACACTTGTTAACCGCAACTCTTCATTGCTTTTATTTTGCACCCTGTGAAGTTTAAAGGGGTCATAAAACGATATGGGGTTGGAATGTTCATGACTTTACCGAGGCGTATTGGTCCTCTGGCCCTAGTGTACTCGCACAGGCCACCACTGATTCAGAAGCTCCTCTGTCGTGGTGAAATAGCGAGGATTAAGCGAGACTATTTCTTTTAGTCTTGCCTTCCCAAAGATTGATGTCGTAATTGTGGGATCAAACCCACCCGCCTGTCGACAGTCGAGCGCGGCTCATGGGTTGGACACAAGAACTGCGTGAGCACTGAACATCGGCTCGTAACAGTCAATGCCTTGGCGGACACTTCAGTAGTGGCTCGTGTCCAACCACTGCGGTGAGAAGAATAGCCGAACTGCCTGAAGCCTCAGCCCGCGTTTTCCTCCTTTAAAACTCCAGCGTAGGGGTATGATTAACGTGGGCGGCATAAGATAGGCACCAGGCCACGTGGCCGCTTCTGGCTCCGAGTTGAGGGGATGAACGATGCTCAAATTTCTCGGAATTTTTTCGGCGACTACCATTTCCTAGAAAAATGAGCAAAGCCAAGTTCAATCAGTTATTAACGTTAGGGACTGATCCTGAGTAGTATTTAGTAATGTATAGAAATATTTTTATAGCTCCTTTAAGCAAAATACAGAGGGGGTCGAAACCTGGGCAATAACTTGAGAACGAAGCTCGTGTGAGACTTAGAGCGACTGCCAACGTTCGGCTGTTCCTCTGAGGTCACTAAAATATCTTCTTTTTTTAGGTATTCCTTCCGTACACACATGTAGTTCTATGTAACGTCACATTATTAAGTCGTATTTAGTCATTTCAGAACTTCTATTCTCAAGGACATCTTTCGGATGCAGTTCAGCAACAACGGAAAAATGTCTCGGTGCCTCATAATGTAAAATTGGTCTTGCAACAGTTTTTTGTAGTTCAATAAATAGTGTTAAAAATAACCTCCGACGTTGATAGCTTGCGGAAACATCATTTAGTTTTCCCCTAGTAACAGATGCAGAAAAGTTGTCATGAACCCGAGCACTCGACTAGGGGTTATGAAAATCACTTACGTCACGGTATCACGTGATTCTCGAAGCGAAATCGTAATGTCATGCTGTGAACAAGGTTAATGCATCTAATGATTTCCTCAAATTAAATCGAGTTGATCCAGTGAGTCACGTGACGTCACGAGGTTACGTCACATTACTTGACAACATGTATTGACACCATAACGTCACGTGACAACGTGACATATGGTTACACCTAGTGCCAATACAAAGGTGCCACGAAAACCCACAATTTATCATACATTGCAATTCTCTATATGACGATTTGCTCAATAGATAGAAATACAGCCGCCAATTTTTTATTTCCATATGTTCATTTTGTGATACTAACAAAAAAGAAAAGAAGAAATATTATCTTGAACCGTTTTTAACCGGTTACCGTTATATTTCTTTTCGGTTCGGTTCCGGTTCCGGTTCAGTTCCAAGATGGCGGCGAAGATTTCGGTTCGGTTCAGTTCCGGTTCGGCTAAAAATAACGGTTCTGTTCCGGTTTTCGGTTCGGTTCGACACCCTGTCTTTAAGACAGTCTGGGCGGAGCTGTTGCTTTGGCGACACACACGATGAGCCAGTGAGGGGCACTGTGCTGCAAGACGCAGCCAACACGAATGTGTGAACCAGCTTTATGCTTTCTGAACACAAAACACATCCACCTAACAAAAAAAAAAAAAAAAAGTTTGTGCCATTTAAAAAGGAATGCTGCTTATAGAGGCTTCACACACGCACCAGATTACAGCTGACATTGCCAACCTTTTCTTGCCTTACCGAGCCACTGAAACGGCATTGACGGGCCTCCACAAAGGCCAATGCCGAGGACGCAATAAAATCTAAAATGGCAATGACCTGGCCTGCAACGGTGATGATTGGAAGTTAAGTAAACAGAATAAGAGGAAACAAGAACTGAACTAATAGCACTAAAATCATTGCGATCAAGATTGCAGTATCTGTCAGATTGGCCATATTCACGGTCCTGAACACCACAGCATTCCCACTCGAGTGTTTTCATGTGGCAAACCTGTTTCTTTATTTGCACGTCCTGCTTATGCTTTTATGTGTCACCTTTTTGTTTTGCATTTTAAGGCAATGTCAAAATTATCACCAGCTCACAAGTATCTCTTTCGTGGTTCCTACCAAGTGTTTACCTTTCTAAGTGCTTAAGCTTAGAGGCCAAAAGCCCCACTAACCAACCATTACCTTGCAGTACTGCCTGTACATGGACGGACGTGGAGGCTACCAGTTCAAGGAAATCACCCCAGACACAGCAGAATTTGGCTCCTAGCAGCAGCTACCCTACAGCGAAAGAGACCCAGTGCCTTCAAGGACCGCCTAAACAACAGTCGTCGAGACCGGTGCCAGCCCTGCCACCACTGCGCACACTTCCCACAATATAAATAAAGCGAGGCCACAATGTCTACACAAGTAATCTGTTTTTTTTTTTTATTAAATCGCCATCTCAACAACTTCACATGGGAGAAAGGAGTGACTGAAATGATAAAGATGTCTGTACAAAAGATTGACAGCTCCCCCGCCTCTTCGAGGGAGGGAGCCGCCGGTTCACACACCCCACCCAATGTCCCATATGCCCCCATTTTGTCGAAGATGTCCTCAAAGTTCCTCGTGGTCGTGCTTGTGTTCTTCCTCAGCATCGCCGCCAGCCGGCGCCTCCTCGTCTTCCTTCTTGTCCTCATCATCCTCCTCCTCGAAGTCCTCGTCCTTCTCATCCTCTTTGTCCTTTTTCTCTGCCTCCTTGTCCTCCTTCTCATCCTGTTGCTCCTTCATCTTCTTCTCGGCATCCTTGGTGGCTCCCCAAGTCTCCTCGCCGTACTGCCGGGCATACTCTTCGTCGTCAGTCAGCAAGATGTTGTCGAAGATTGTGCCGGACTTGACCTGCCACAGGTCGAAGCCGAGGGTGCAGATCTCCTTGTAGCTGTGCAGCTTGGGGTCCGGGCTGTACTCTGGGTTATCGATCTCTGGATGCACCCAGGCTCCCTTGTAGGCCGGGTTGTCGATCTGCTTCGGCTTCCACTCGCCCTTGAACGCCGGGTTGTTGATCTGCGGCGGCTCCCACTCGCCGTCCATCTCGTCGTCCCAGTCCTCGGGTTTGGTCGCGTCAGGGTCCGGGATGTACTCGGGCTGGTCCCAGTCCTCGGGCTTGGTGTCCTCCGGATCGTCGATCTTGGCCCTGTCGTCCCAGTCCTCGGGCTTCTTGGCGGCGGGGTCCTTGATCTTCTTGGGCGGCAGGAAGGACCAGTCCTTCTCGAGCTCGCCGCTCTCCACCACCTCGTTGTCGATCTTCACCGTGTACGTGTTGTCCGGCTTCACGATCAGGGTGTACAGGTGGGTGTACACGTCATCCTTGCAGCGGATCTCCTTGTTGATCAGCAGGTTCTTGCCCTTGTAGTTGAAGATGACGTGCACTTTCTTGGTGCCGGGCCCGCAGATGTCCGGCCCGAACATGATGTGGTACGGAGACTCGCCGTGCATCTCCTTCTGGTCCAGCGAGCAGTCGAACAGCTTCACGTAGCCGCCGCCGCAGTCGATGTTCTGCTCGTGCTTCACCGTGAACTGGACGACCAGGGTCTTGCCGTCGTTCGAGAACGGCTCGAACTTGGTGGACAGTCCGTAAAAGCGGGCATCTTCAGAGGTCTGGATGCCGAGGTCCTTCTCCGGGTCGCCGTGGAACTTGCCGGCGGACAGCTTGAAAGTTCCCTGCTCGCTTCCCTTCTTCGTGGAGTGTACCCATCGGCTCGTCCAGGCGTCTGAAAGCGCAACGACGAAGAAGAATTAGACCGAACCGAAATAGGAGATCCGATCTCAACGACGCGTCATCACCAATGCCGGCGTCTTCCGCCAATGGCTAACCGCCCGCGGCTGCGTGAGGTAGACTCTTTTTAGGGTCGAAAATGGGGCTTACCTCCGTCGGCGAACTCTTCCTTGAGGTACACCTTGGGGTCGGCGAAGACCGTGCCTACGAGAAGCAGCAACAAGCACACGATCCGCATGATGAGGACCTAGGGCCAGCGACGAGCTCAGGAAACCACGTTCAAAGACCTAGCAGCAGCTATGATCAGCGCTTGTAAATCAAAGCCGGTTGGGCACGTGACCCTCCAGATGTATACTCGTGATTGGTGCGCGACCGTCGACCAATGGGGCTCCACCACGCTCAGTTCGGAGTGTTTTGTGCGGGGAGCGCGTGTCACTTTCGAACGCAACATCGCGTGAAATCAAACGCTTTACTTAAACGACAACAAAGTAAAATATAATAACTCATTATTTTGTTTAATTATTCCTAAAATTTAAGAAGTGCTTAATTTGTATGATTATTTTAAAATATTGTAATATATAAGTAGTATTGTTCGGTCTCACACTTTTGCCGCTAGGTTAGAGGCTAGCGTTTTACGAGTTGGGCTACCCTTTGAAGTACACTCTATTAAAAGGCTAGCGTGACGTCATAGTAGGCACGTGACGTCACGGAAGGCGTGCGTGCGTGTGCCGTTCGGTTTGGTAGGTTTTGGTGTTCGAGCGTGGAAAGCTCTCGCGTTGACACGTGTTATCTCGCCCTTACTGACAGCAAGTCGCTTACTTGCTTTCAATGTACTCGTGTTGTTTTTGCAACTGGACACTGGACGTTGCAACGGTATGTAATGCATTGAGATACACGTATGGAATTTGATATATTATTTAAAAAATGCTCGATTGACACTTCATGTGCCTGGTCAGAACTTAGATGTGACAGCTTGCGCGATTATTGATTTCAAATCCCTGACACGAAGTTTATCTTTGATCAGCTTTAGAGCCTGGAAAAGATACGAATGTGCTACGAGATAGCTTTTTGGCTTTTTTGGTTGCAGCTACGCAGAGTCCTCTGCATGCAGGGAGATTGCTCGGATCTGAGAGGAACCAAGATACCATTCTTAAAATTGCTTATTTTTCTTTTTTTTCTTTTTCTTTTGGGGGGGGGGGGGGAGGGGTGACGTTGTGGAGAGTCATAGTTTCTGTGCGTATCTTCTTCGTTTGCAATCATAGCATCTTAGGGTAGTCATGCCACTTCGCCATCTAAATTTTGCGTGTTTATAGGTGACCATAACTTTCTCCAAACTTTCCTTTGTCCATCCACAGGTTCAAGAATCTGTCAGCAATAGATTGGTAAATAAAATAATATATAAAAGAAAAAAAGCCCACATATCCACTCTGACTTGACACCTCGAATCTGAATGCTGACACCTTGAATAACAACTTTATCAGTAGACCGCAAGTCACGCACAAAAGCCCAGCCATTTGCACTGAATCAAAAATTTACAAAACGAAAAGTGAATTATTTTTACGAATCTTGACGCAAAGCCCAATTTTATGTTTTTGGAGACCCAAAAGTAAGAGTTCATTATCATTCAACCATAAATGTAGCTGCTGACAGCTGCATGCTAATAGCGAGTTCGTTTCACTGCACTCGTGCCCACGCGTGCCCACTCGCAGTGTGGAGCGGGTTCGTTTCAGCCGGCAAGTACTCCACGAGTGGTTGCACTCTCAGAGTTCGTTTCAGCGCTGGCACCCACGCGTGCATGCACTCGCTGCACCTAGCAAATCGGGAGTGCGCCAAAATGCAATTACGTCATGCCTCGCTCCGGCAAGGAGCGGGAGCAGACGCCGAGGGTTCGTCTCTGATAGAAATCGCGTCCCGCGGGCAACGGAATCAAATGCGAGCTTGAATTGTGAGCGTCTGCTATTTCATGAAGGGAGCAATTGACAAATCGTGCTTTATTTGCATGTTTAAGTCGCTCTGTTGCCGTACAGACGCTGAAATATACCAGTGTGTAAAGAAATGCTCAGAACAGACGCATCAGCGGCCCCCCGAGATGTTTATCACCATCCGTGTGCGGTGAAAAATTGAACATTTGTCGACAAAACTCTTCCAGCAGAAACCTGTGACTGCCTAATAAGCATCCGAGAAAGCTAAACATAGCGGCTTTACCCGAGGCTTGGGCAACATCATCATGTTTAACATTTACCTACGTCAGCTAACTTGCCCCATCGTATTTTGTTCGAGAAAGCTCGTCTCGACGCCCTCACCAAGGCTGATATCTGATCCACCTGTAATGACGATCGAAATCGAAAGTCCCACGAAAAGTTTTGCTGGATATTCCAACAGACTAGTTTTAAGCCGTACCCTTTCAGTGGTTCACGCATAATACCATGCTCAAACAGATCAAGCTTCTGCTCGGACAGCATCATCAGTTTTCTTCAGTGTAAGCGGCTATGAAGAGATCGCAACCAGCTGCTTTGTAGACAGCTGGTTGCAGATATTTACGCCGTCTGTAACTATCTGTACGACAGCGGAGTTGCTTGAAGTCATCGTAAATATAAACTACAGGTTGTAGCGACCAACGTTTGTAGATAAACGTTGGTAGTGACTGCACTCTCGCATTCCCACCCATCACTCCGAACAGAAAGGCACTAGTTTCGATTTGAGGTTGGTACCTTTTCTACAACATAGATGGCGGCAGCATCAGTTTTCTGCACTCGGTGCATTTGGCGAGTTCGTTTGAGTCCAGTTCTCCGTGGAACACTCTGCGAGTGCGCTGCATTCTGGGAGAGAACTCGAACGGTGACAGTGCGTGTGAAACAAACTTGCTATAACATACACCGGGTGTCAGAAAAAAAAAAAATTACAGTGATTTTTTTATCGCAAAAATAAACTAGGCATTGCCGAACGCTCATTCTCCGCCCAAAGGTAGCTCTAGAGGTCACAATCAGATGACAAAGTTTCAGCCCGATCTGCTACCTTAATAAAAAGTTATGATTTTCTGAAAATTTCAATGGGAAAATAGCGGCCGACGGAGTTTTCGAATATGTGGGGCTCTACAGCACCAGAAACCAAAAAATGGGCTCCATTTTCCCATTAAAATTTTCAGAAAATCAATTATAACTTTTGAATAAAATGTCGGATCGGGCTGAAACATTGGCATCTGGTTGTGACCTCTAGGGCTACCTTTGGGCGGAGAATGAGCGTTTGGCAATGCCTAGTTTATTTTTGCGGTAAACAAAAACCTGTAAAATGTTTTTTGTGACACCCTGTAGTACAAGATAAATAACCCAAGCAGCGAATTCCACTCACGTACGAGAAAATATCTTGAAGCAGCCTGTCTAAATCGTCGCATTGCTTATCACCATACGTCCCTCCAGAACAAACGGCCTCTCGTGCTGGAATTCATATTTTCTGTGCCGACGAATGATTACTACTAGTGCGTTTTTGAGTGATGTCGGACCACACAACGTATTTGATGGTGCCAGACAATTCTTTCAAACGCTCACCTTTGGCATGCGCTAGGCAGCTCATAACAACCGAGTGGTGGATGTTATGACACCAATGAAAACGCTCCATAAAATAATGACAATCTTGACAGAGCATACGTTAGCCCAGTGGTCCTCAAATGGGGGTCCGCAGACTCTTTGGGGTCCGCAAAGGCATTCTAAGGCTCCGCAAAGCCCTGTCTCATCAGTCAGGACTGGCATGAAAAGTTGTCTTTCTTTCAGATTGAGAGGTAACGTTCCGATTGTTGGGCGAGTTTTCTCGTGTGTAGAGAAGTCTGCTTCAAACTAGCCCATTGAAGGCTAGCTGCTCGCCTGTTTGTGGCGAGCATCTAGCCTTCAAACTAGCTCCTCGCCACAAACAGGGTCCTCCTTCATCTCTGGCAATCCACAGGGGTCTGCGAAACATCAATGGTTGAGAAACACTGCATTAGCCTGTCAGTCATTTGTCCGGCAAGCTTTTGTCCAGTCACCTAAGTCCACATAAGCCAGATAAAGTGCAGCTCTGTGAACATGACCCTTGCTTTTGTTTACCAAGAGCCTCTCTGATCAGACACCTTTGGGGAGGCTGTTGCTCTTACCAGCAGCATTGTCCAGATTCATAATGTAACATACAAAGTATTTAAAAAGTGCCGAATTGCAGTTCAAATCATTTGTGCACTCATTTTGAAGTCTCCAGTGGACTCCGGCAAAGGTCCGTATAAGGAATTAAGACGATAATGCAATTAATGCAAAGGTGCAAGCCCTGGAGAAGAACAAGGGGGACAAAGGACAAACTAAAATCTCCGAACACAGCTAGGTGGCTGGTGCGCGACCGAAATTGCATTAATTTCGGTCGCGCACCAATCACCTAGCTGTGTTTGGAGACTTGTGTTTGTCCTTTGTCGACTTGTTTTTTAATTACAGAAAAAAAACAAAAAAAAAAACCCTGCAGCGCCGAAAAACTTTGGCATTATAGCAGGTACAGCCCATGAATTAATACGCTCGATAAAATAAAAACAGAACACTTGAATATACAACCTGGGCTGTCAATGAAGAAAATACATAAACATCGAACATAAACAACATTAAAAATCAAGACCATTTCCTGAGATAAATGGTCCCACGTCGTCACGAATAAAAAAAGACTTTGGTAACGGGTTCCACTGAGCGATTGTGCGTGGAAAAAATGAAAACTTCTTATAATCTGTTCTACAAGAAATTTTCCTTATTTTTCTGGTACGATCCATACGATTTGAAATGTAGTTAGGTAATTTTATGTAGTTGCTTTTATCAATACCAGTCATATCATTAAAAATTGCGAGCAAGAACCTCAATCGAAAATCTTTGCACCTTGACAGTAAAGTTTCCCAACCAAGTACATTTTTAGTCTCTGTTACGCTATTGTTCTTTACTATAATTTCCTGTTACAAATCTCGCCGCACGGTTTTGAAGTTTTTCTAACTTATCTGCAAGGTACTTTTGATGGGGATCCCACAAAACACACGCATATTCCAGTGTAGGTCTTACCAAACAGCAATAGGCAGTCTCTTTTAGTTTCTGTGGAGCACCGCGTAAATTTAGAATAAGAAAATTTAAAGTGCGGCTGGCTTTCTTAGCAGTTTCAGTGACATGAACATTAAAAGAAAGGGTGCTTGACAAGGTAATCCCCAAATATTTAACATCAGTGTTATTACTTAATCTATGACCATCAATAAAATAGCAGGATGGAACAGGGTTACGTTTCCTCCCAAAAGTGACTTGCACACACTTTTCCACATTTAAGCCCAACTCCCAAATCCTGCACCAATCCAATATTTTATCTAGGTCCGACTGCAAAAAAGCTGATTCACCAACATTGTCTACCCTACTGTACAAAACACAATTGTCCGCAAACAGCCTTATGGGCGAGTTAATGGTCGACGATATATCATTAATAAATACAAGAAATAAGAGGGGTCCCAGCACTGAACCCTGCGGCACGCCAGAAGTCACATCAACAAAATCTGAGCTGGCACCGTTTATGACGACACACTGCTTTCTCCCAGAAAGGTAATTTTCGATCCGACGGTGTATGTTCTCATCGAGGCTAAGGGAGCTCAGTTTGTGTAGCAGCAAAGGGTGAGACACTTTATCGAAAGCCTCGCGTAAATCAAGAAAGATGGCGTGCGTTTCTGCTCCCTCCTCAGCAGTTGAAACCAAGTCACGATAAAGTTCTACGAGCTGCGTGGCGCATGAGAGGCCCTTTCTGAAACCACGTTGAGTCGAAGAGAAATATCTATTTGTATCGAAATGCCTCGCAACATTACTATAAACAATATGCTTTAAAATCTCGCAACATATGCAGCTCAGTGATATGGGGCGATAATTCTCTACATTGTGTTTCGATCCGTGCTTATGGATTGGCGTAACACACGTCATCTTCCATTGACCTGGGAGTACACTTGGTTCTAGCGATTTACAAAAAATAATCTCCAAGTAACGAGACGCAACAAATGAGCATAATTTTAAAACTCTCGGTGACAAACCATCGGGACCTACAGCCTTTTTAATATCGAGCTCATCTAAGCACTTTTTTATCCCTTCTACACCGATGACGACCGGGGGCATTTGATTCACAATTTGTTCATTGAGAGGGGGGTAAGAATGAGTTCTGACGCTGGAGGCAAAAATAGACTGGAAGCCCTTCTCCAGGGATTATCGCCATTCTTGTCCAGCCCGCTTGCACCTTTGCTTTAATTTCACTAGCATCAAAACCTTAGAAATGCAGGCCCATTAGACTGGTGGCAGCTGATGAAAACCCGTTTGCTCTACTGACGTCTAACTCCAGGTTAGCTCGGTTGGCAGAGCGCTCCACTGGAAATGGAGAGGTCCCTGGTTCGATACCCGGACCAGGCGGATTTTTCAGTCACGCACCAGTCACCTAGCATGTGCTCAGAGATTTCTGTTTGTCATTTGTTCCCCTTCTCCGAGGATTATTATTGTCGTCTGTATACCCTACGGAATCCGTGTAAGGGTGAAGTCAGCTTGCCTCCATTAAACTGCAGTTCGAAGAAAAAAATGTTTTGTTCTAACACGAACGGAGGCAGCCTTTGTCGTACAAGTTTTTATCGGTGTCGTAAGTCACAACTAGGTATAGTGCCCGGAGTGCATCTCGCAGCCGGCGTATTTACCGCGTCCACAAAAGTGGCCCCTGGATTCCGCCGCTGCCCGACGACGCCACAAAAGCGTCGTGCCGTTCCCAGAGGTGGAAAGCAAGGCAGGCAAGAGGGGGAATGGCGCGACGACGGCGACCCTTGCGTGTGCCCGCCTTTTGCACCGTCATTTCGAACGCCCGACCCCCGGGTTTACGACAGCACGATGCACCGGCTTCCGCGACAGAATTCGTCGCCACTTGGGGACCGCCTTCGCCGCATGCGCGGGATGGGACGCTGAAAGTCGGGGACATGTTCCGGCCACCGTAACCGTGACCAAACACTTTGTCGACAGGCTCGCTCCTGCAGCGCTCCGGCCGTCATGGCACGATAAACCGACGGCACACGGTAGTCATTGGGTTTAATATTTTCGATGGTCAAAACGTCGGGAGGGCGTCGGGCACGGTGTGGGGGGGCGGCGGGGTCACTTGTGCGCCTTCTGCTTCTTCTTGGTGGGCGCGTTCTCGAGTCCCTTGAGGAGGCGTCTGGGAACGCCGTACGAGGGCCCCGTGAGCAGCCGCTCGAGGAACACCACCTGGTTTCCCTGAACGAGCAGCTGCAACACCTGCTTGTTGCCCCCGCGACTCACCGGGGTCAGCGACGTGCTCGCCGCGACACCCACCTGGACCTGTTGGGAGAGTGGTCGCGCAGTGGTGTTGTTAACCCTTTGAGTCCCATGCCCAAAAACACTCAAGTGTGCGCTGTTCTGTGTGTATGTGCGTGTGTTTTTAATGTGCAGTGTTATGTATGGGGAAGCATCGAAAACGGTGTTTTTTTTGTTGTTTTTTTTTGTGTCACTTTTTCTCGGCACGTACAAGATTTTATTAAGTGACCTCCGTTTCAGTTTGCTCCTTCGTTGTTGCAGAAGGCAGACCCGCGTGGTTTGACCTCGCACTTTAACGTCGAGATTTAGAAATTACTACTAATTGGCTCTGTATTCGACAACCGTGACGATAGGGAAATTACAGTTCCGAATAAAAAAAAAAGGCAGAGTAAGGCCGCTGAAAAGACGTCGAGGTGCGACTCTCTAAAGTACAGCGTCTACAAAAGCAAAACACGAGAAAAATGTCCTCGGTTGGAGGCATGCAGATACCAATTAACTTTTAGCCCATAGAACAGTCTGTATTTGATAAAGCATACGATAGGGTTACTTAAACCAAAATTTGCGTTCGGCGCGCAGGAAAAACACAAGACCCGGCACTTCAAGGGGCAAGGCCCAGATTGTGCAAGAAGCCGGGGTTTCCTACGGGATGCTTTGAAGGAGCGCTGAACTACCGAAAAAAGAAAAATGACATTTTCTTTTATGTGCATGAACAGGTCATGCATGTTGCAAAATACAGTCAAACGCCGCTACAACGAACGCTTCTACTACGAAATAGCCTGTACAACGGGCTATTTCGTTGCTTATCTGCTTTATTGGGGTCATTAAGGTGCGCAACGGATATAACGAAGTGACGTGTATAACGAAGAATTATCGCAGTCCCACACGCTTTGTTATACAGGCGTTTGACTGTATACAAATCGCTAGAGCAAAGGTTTAGGGTATTTGCAACATAAAACATACCTACTATCTAGGAGAAAGGGTCGTCCATAACATTGTCAAAAGATTTCGCAAGCCAGGAAAGAATGGTGCTCGAAAAAAATGGAAATATACGGAAATGTCAAACGTTCCACGGCTATTCGACAGATGGCACCACTTTGTCCTCTCGTCTTCAGAGATCACGGGAGGTCTTAAGGCATACGGTTAGGCTGTACTAGAACTGGGAGGTGTGCCGACCGCGTCAGCTTCACTGGCTGGGTGTCGTGTGCTCCAATTCTGCCGCAGGGGCCTTGGGTGGTGCTGCCAGTCGCAGCAAGGCCGGGAGGCCGTTCGGGCAGCATTTTGCGAGGCTGGCTTGGGGCGTGTTGGCGTGACTATTTTTGTTTTGTGTCGTAAATGAAGCGATACAATATTGTGTGGCTGCAAGCTGTTCCGAGGAGACAAGGGACTCGCAACAATGTCAAAAACTCTGGAAAAAAAAAAAAAAAGACAGTTTGGTGGTGTTTTTTATTGGGACGCAACACGGGTTACAAAACATGCAAAAAGAAGCACTCCTTGTTTCGGGTGCCGAGCAACGGCTCTCTGTTCGCAGAACGGGATCGGATCCCAAGAACAAATTCTACTGTGCCGTGCTATTGCATTTCTTTCTAAAGGGAAAAACTAAACTGCTTAAAAAATAGAAGTCTTGCAAGAATGTGTGACCTGCATGACATGTGAGAGAAAAATTTTTCCAAGTGGGATTTCTCTTTAATGAAGACAGCAGTTTAGGTTGCTCCATTTATCTTGCCAGTTTTGGTGTTTATTTTCGTATCATGCACGCTCTCACTCGATGAGATCACCTCAGACATTTCCTGGTCTGTAAGCTTTGCTTGAGAGTGCAGAATTCAAGGAAAGCTTGGGTTCATTAAATCATGCTACATAAAAAGATGCATTGACACCGGGACAAAAACGATGGGTATTTAAAGCGGTTCCAAATGTACAGCTGCCGAAAAAAAATATTTAAAAGAGCTTCGACAATAAAGTGGAGAGGAAAGCATTGCATATCATATCATACTCAAAACTGGCTCTCTTAATGCTGGCATGTTCGAGTAAAAGTTCAAGTTTATTGCCCTCGAGGACATTCCTAGGAATGTATTACACGAGGGGAAGTGCATAAAAACGGTCCGAAACACTTTCGCAGTTTTTCTTTTAGATGAAACTCCGGCGAAATATCGATGGTCATTGATTTTTATAAAATTTTCACCGTCTATCCACCTGTGAGTATGTCTACAAAATGTTTAATAAAAAGATTAATTTTCTTTCGAGAACATGAATTTTGGAGTTTACGCGTATACCTCCGAATGACTCGCTGCCGCTCCACTGGCAACAACGAGCAGGGTCACTCGTGACGTCGGACGTATCCGAGAGCAGATGACGTTCTCTACTCCAGGGCGTTGTGCGCTGCAGTGACAGTGAATGTCCGTGGTTTTGCAAATTGCGTTTGGTTTAGGCTGTTTGCAGCATGCGATGGAGGGGGAAGGGGGATTTGTTATTGTCTGCGGGTACAATAACACCACAACGAAATTCAGCAAAGTGACACCTTATCGGTTTCCGACCGAGAAGTCCATCTGCGAGAGAAGTGGGTTCGGGCAGTCCGATGCGAACGCCGGCTCCTAGCGTTTGTGTCGTGCTAAAAGACGGATCGCGCCTTGCTAGCAAATGAAACCTTCCGTGCCATTCTACTTTGAAGCGGCATTCGAGTTCACACGTTGGCAAATCGCGAATGTAGCCCCCACGGGAGGCATTCTCAGAGGCGATACCGGCTGATTGAATACGAACGGAAAATCGTCCGAAATCTCGTGCTGAAAATCTGAAAACATTTGCTGGTCATTGCTCGACTAAGACAAGCTTGATGAATCGAAGTCCCTTATTTCCCACGGACGATCGTGACGGCCTTCTGACTGCTTGTCATGTCAGATGTCAGACGTTTATACAACATCTGACATCACAATATTGCAGATCAGTAAAGTTGCAGGCTAGTTTCAGTTTCAGTTACCTATATTGAATTTATACAATTAAAAATTACACTAGACTCTTATTAATTCAAACTCCAGGAAGCCACGAATTTTGTCTGAATTATCGGAAGTATGAATTGTCAGAAATTGATCTAAATACGAAACAAGTAAAATTATGTTAAAAAACGAGCGTGTTGGTAAATACTTAAACAACCGGAAAGAATAAACACCAATTCGGGACGCAAACAGACGATACAACTCTTCGTCTGTTTGCGTCCCGAATATGTGTTTATTCTTTCCGGTTGTTTAAAATTATGATTTGCCACATGAATACACATACAAAGCAGGTATTTGATGATTTCCTCTACATAAGCCTACGGACCATAAACAGGTATGCCACGCATGAAACATTCGAGAAATGTACGACAAGTTTATTTATCCCTCAGAAATGTTGTCTATCATGGTCTGTTTAGACGGCACATGACAGCTCAAAACAGAATTAACTTTGTTCATCGGGCCAAAAAGTTGTCTAATGTAAACTATTAGACAGGGAACACATGTGCGATTCGTGGCACTTTTCATGACAACTTGCGCGGACGGTGTGACTTAGACCTATGCCATGCCGCCACGTCTCAGCGTCCGCACAAGTTGCAGTGAAAATTTCCACGTGGTGCCCGTTTTCATAGCTTATGTGCGCCCTGCTTGAGCCCCGTTAAGTGCACTTCTCACCGGGCATCGGTGCACTGCGGAGAAGCACCACCCGCGGAAGCAAGCTCTGTGGGTGTTGCCTTTTTGCAGTGCACCGGTGCTCGGAAAGAAGCGCACTCAACGAGGGTGCGGGAACAAAAAGTATGAATTACACGAAAACACAGTTCAAATTAAGTGGCTTATGAATACATTAAAAACATAGGAGGACAACCACAATTTTTTAATTTGTTTGAATTAACCAGAAGTATGAAATATCCGAGTTTGAACCATCACGAGCTTACTGTATTTTTTAGGCATATTTTTAGGGAAATTTACTTGCTGCTCTAGGCTCAGTTTATTGCGCTCTTTGAGAAAATATTTTAAGTTGAAAACTTTCAAATTGACGACGGAGCCCCCCTTTTAAGCACTGTCTTGGCACATGTGAGCAACCCATTGATGCAAACACTCCCTATTAACTGAATTACTGTTTACAAGGCCTGTAGGCTCCTGCACTGTCTTATCGCATCAAGCCAAGACTGGGAAGGGTTCCTCGGCAGCCATGACAGGTAAATGGGGATTCCTCAAAACTCGAGAGTTGGAGAAGCCGTGACTTAGACTTCGTTTGTATTAAAAAAGTGAAAGCCGCTTACAACTCCATGTAACGCCGAATTAGAGCGCAGTTCTTGAGGAGGAGGAGGGAAGGGTACTGGGGGGGGGGGGGGGGGGGTTCAACTAACCAGGGGGGGTCACGTGACCCCCCCCAATGCCGAAGATGTCATCGGTGACGATGACGATGCAGATACCGATGACGTCATTAGTGACGTCACTGATGACTTCACCGGTGATGATGACGATGCGAATGTCGGTGACGTCATCAGTGACGTCACTGATGACGTCATCAGTGATGATGACGATGACGATGCGGATGCCGGTGACGACATCAGTGACGTCACTGATGACGTCATCAGTGATGATGACGGTGCGGATGTCGGTGACGTCATTAGTGACGTCACTAATGACGTCATCAGTGATGATGACGATGACAATGTGGATGCCGGTGACGTCATCAGTGACGATGACGTCATCGGGGGTCACGCGACATTGGCGGGGGTCACGTGACCTCGGGGAGTCACGTGACTTCGGGGGGTCACGTGACCTTGGGGGGGGGGGGGGGGTCACGTGCCCCCCACGAGGTCACGTGACCCCGGTGGGGGGCTCGCGCGGTGCATTATGGGACATTTCCCATAATGCACCGCGCGGTTACGCCGACGGCGACGGCGACGCCGCTCAAGCCGGAAACGGGCCCCTAAAAGCTGCGCTTTAAAACACACTATAATGTCCCCACTTATTAAGAAAATAAAAAGCTCACCTCGTGCGCGAGACGCTGGGGGTCGATGCCGTAAGTCTCGAGTCCCTCGACTAGGGTGACCTTCTTGTTTCCCGTTCGCTGCGCCACCGTGATGGCGATGGGTGCCAGGGCGCCCCGGTGCACGACGGGCTCCCGCCCTGGCAGGCGCACCTCGTGCGCAAACTGCATGCGCGACATGACCCGGCTGCCGAGCTCTTCCCAGCTGAGACGCAGTTCCGACGTCCCCGCAACGTCCGACAACGTCGGGTCCATCTGCACCATCCTGCGAGAAGTTGCCGCGACAAAGTTGATGGCAGAGCGTAATGGTGGCTGCAGCGGTTTTCGCTTATTTGCCTCAAAGGCATGCTTCATTTCATTCCAAGTCAGACCGATGACAAAAGGGAACGCAAGAATCTGACTACCAGGAATGCCTTTCTTTCTTTCTTTCTTTCTTTCGAGATTTAGGCACCAAAACACGCACACTCAAGTATCCACATGAAACCTTTTTGTCCAGTTTTTCTATCTGAAACAACTTGTTTTTGAATCCATTTTTTCAAAGAAAGAGGCGTCGTGACATTATTCTGGACAAAATGTGGCGTGACTGCGAAAAAAACTCCGTAGCCTCTTTTTGTGTTTGGACTTCCGTCGTTCTGTCCGACGATGCACCTTGCACATACTTTTCGAAACGGTGGCACAGGACGTGAGCAACACGAATCCTTCCAAGTCACAACTTGGACTTACCTAGTCTGTTCCCCGTACGCCCCCAAAACGCTGCCTCCATCGAACGTCGAGACACTGACGTGGCTCTTACCTCTTATCTGTCGGATCCTGGAGTTCGTTCTCTTTGACGTAGTTCCGCAAGACCGCCCGCACATCTTCAGGTGCCAAGGCATCCCCTTTGCTGTTGGAGAGCCAGAAAGGGTGCGTCGAACATGGCGGAAAACGGAACACGACCACCATATATATAGAAGTAATAACTAATTGCCGCCAAGCAAGAGTGTGTTCATTTGTTTTCTAATGTGGAGTAATTGGTTGAAAATATCAATTTTCTTTTTTTTTAGACTGCATGACTGTTACATTCACAGTGTGAATCGTGGTGTTTCTCAAAAGCAAACCAATCTCATGTCTAGGCTGCATTTGCTACATAAATATAGTTGCAGATAACTCAAACTAACATGCAGGTCCCATCCTATGCGTCTATTGGGAGGAAACTTCTGGTAACTCAAACTTTACTTTATTCAAACGAATGTTCGGTCCCCTCGACTTCAAATCAACGAGATTTGACCGTACAGTAAAACCTCGTTATAACAAAGTTGAAGGAGCGGTCGTAGTTATTTCATTATAACCATTAGTTTGTTATAGCCAATGTCCAGTTCTCCATACTATTAGCAAGCAAGGGGAATTATGATTGCTTTGTTATATCCATTAGTTTGTTATATCCCATTTTGTTATAACGAGGTTTTACTGTATATCGGGTCAGGCAAGCAAACGACATGCATAAAGACCAATCATCCAGTTCAAAAATTTTTCATTAGGTGAATCAAATTTTCGATTTCGGTCAAAACAAAAAATCGGAGGGTTTTGACGTACTGACTTTGCAAAAAGCATGTGTCAAACACCATCAAAAGGCTGAAGGTTACTTTCGACTACCTGGGGATCTTTTCTGACAAGCAGCCGAAATCGCAGTTACATGGCACCTACTCCGCAATGAGCCTTCGTCTTGATGGGGCAAAAGGTCCTCGTCAAATCCATGTCAGCTATAGTACGACTGATTGCACTCTCTTCCAGAAACGAGTCTCCCCCCCCAACTACGCACCCCATACATGGGCACAGGGTAATCGGGAACGCAGGACGCACCTGCATTTGGGAAAGAGGGGCTTCACGGCTGCCGTGACCGTCCTGAGCTCGCGCACTTGGGGAAAGGTGTAGCCGGCCTCTTCCTGCGAGTCCGGAGCAGGCTCCGGAAGCGCGAGGTTACAACCCGTGCGGAGCCGCGGGTGTTCCCTCTGCACCGAGACGATGCTCTGCACCCCGGGGCTGGACTCTCGCACCACCAGCAGTCCTTCCTGTGGCCGAGGCACCGAGGGCATCAACGTACGCGGGAGGCAAGTCAACCGAAACGCGTCCCTCGGTCCGCAAGAAGGGGAGCTCGCCTAAGAGGAGAGTTGCGGCGAGAGATCACGTGCGCTACGAAGAACATTGTATTCCATTCTGGTACGTGAATGGCAGACACGAGGGAAAATAGCTGTATAACAGCTTGACGGAGCCCCTTGCAGTTTCCTACGGATGACATTAAAGTATGCACAGCAGCAGCATAAACTCGACGGAGCACATAACACGAAATAAACCGCTTTCTGCTAATTCATTCGTTAATTTCTTTAACTCATCATGCAAACCTTTCGGTGCAATTGAAAGGAGGTCGACATTATTGTTTAGGAAAGCATTTGGAGTAGTAGGGACAAGCTCCACCCCCGCGGCTGTTCGCACTTCTGCAGGGAAGAAGCGTCTCGGCCGTGGGCTCTTCGTTCGTTGGAGCGAGTCTGTTAGTTTTAGCTTGATAAAAGTAATGTAATTCTCGAGGTGTGTCCTTTCCCCTTTTTCGAAGGCCAAGTTGCCATTCGTAAGGAGCTGGAGCATTTCCAAAAGCCACGAAAAAGGGAAGAAAGTCGTTAGGAGGACTAGAAGGCGCCGCCGGCGTGTAGAGTCAAAAACAAGCCCTTTGCATTTTCCCACTACTGTATACAACAGGGGTGGCCAGGCTGACCCGGAGCCGCAAAGTGAACCACAAAACTTTTAAGAGCCACCGAAAAAGGAGGGGGGGGGGGGGGTGAAACAAACACCGATGCCTTGTTATCCCCCAAAAGCATAAAAAAGCAGCTCGAGGGTCAGAACTGCAAGCCGGTAAAAATAACAGTGAGAATGTTCCTGGTCCTTTGTCAACTTGAACATAACGTTTGTGACTAGTGGAAGCTATGCATGAGGTCAACCCGGGCTTCCGCGACCTTCGACAAGAAACGATGTGGAGGGAACCTCCGTTACCTAACGGGCACAAGTATCACGAGCGAGTGCCAAAGGCCGCGAGACAGAACATTCCCTTGACCCCAAGCCAAAGTGCATGCATGTCTCGACAGTCCCTGTCCTTGATGCCTTTCGGGTCCGGCAAACTCTCTCGAATAATGAAAGAAACGGGATCTGTGGAAACATACGAGCGAAAAGCGCTTCGACTGTACGTATGGGGGCACAAGGCTGCCAAACCGCATGCTGTTCTTTATTCTGAAATCCTTTCCATTTTCCGGGGGAAACGCGGAAAGGGGTGAGGGGGGGTCTCCTCACGAGGGATCCGCGAGCTATTTTGTGGGCAGCGAAATTTCGCAACACGGAGTAATTCACTATGCATTCATTGCCATGGAGTGACATATTTGCGAACCTCTATCAATTCAAGCGCAATTTTACAGGTCACCAAGTTTGTGTTAACTAAATTGTTTACGATATGCCCTTTTGACAGTGCTCGCTGCTTCGATGTCAAAGTACCCTTTGCACAAGAAGCGGATGAACTTGCTTGCCGTAATGACAGATTACTGTCATCTCCCGCCCGGACTTGCTCAGGCTAAAGTCACTGGATGCTGGGAAAGTAGTGCCGTTGCCTTCCCTGCCTGCTACCACGACACAAGCAGATACTAACATACAGACAAGCAAAACTCGCAAGGCAATTGGCTGAATGGTGCCTGTTGCCATGGCAATCGCCATTTCGGTCCTTTCAAATCTTCGCAAGGGTCGTAACGAACCATTCACACCAAGATCCCGGTGGAGCGACATTACCGTGAAGGCGTTCCTCGCCAGTAGATCTCTTACAATGATACTGTCCTTTGTGCATTATTTCTCGACAAGAAAATTATGTTTCAATGCCGCCAAGTGCGCCGCATGTGGTGGCAGTGCGAAAATGTGCACTTGTTTCGCTGGTGTGCGAATAACTAAATCTCTGTGTACAAGAAATGTCTTTATAGTCATTGCGAATTTTGATCAGTTCACTAAGACTGCAGAGCTAATGTAGAAACTGTTCAGTCCGTGAACCAAAATGGTGACCGTACAACTTTCCCAGGATCCAATGAGTTTAGTTAAAGCGACCCACGTTTTGGAGGTGTGCCAGGTAGGAGGACAGCTTCTTGTGGGATGTCCTCTTGAGGTCCAGGAAGCGTCCTGGGGGACAGCGGGGAAGGACGTGGGTGCTGTACAGGGTGCTCGCCAGCACGGGGAGGGCCAGCTTGGAACGCAGTGCCGACAGCATGCAGCTCTCCAGGAGAACATCCATGGCCTCCACCTGGCAAGAAAGCTCGCAGGATCACTGGACAGCCATTTTTAATACTTCGTCCCATCTGATAACAAGTCAGAGATACCGGACAATTCACTTCACATCTGAATTACATTCACCAGAGAAAGTCTACTACACATCTGAACATGCTTATGGGATATTCTGACGTCGTGAGGACGTCTCTAGAACTACATATGCTGCCAAGGAAATGGTATGCATATTTGGAGAACCACATCTCCAGTCCCTCGGGCATTGGAACAATGTTTACGGGAGATAGGTCCTTGGACGTCTGAATGTCTATGTGACATTCTAGTGTCCTGAGGACACCCACAAAACTATATTTGCTTCAGAGAAATGGTTATGTGCACACACAGCGAATCACATCTCTAGTTTCCTGGACATCCAAGGAATGTCTCTGGGAGATGGTCCCGTGAATGTCTGAACGTTTATGGGATATTTTATGTCCCGAGGATGTCCACGGCCGTAGTTCCTTGCCCAAGTGCAGTGAACCACATCTCCAATTTCCTGGACATCCAAACATAGTTTAAGGGACATAGACGCCGGGACGTGTCTGAAACAATACTTATGGAACAATCCAATGTCCTGAGGACGACAACAGAGCCATATTTGCTGTTAGGAAAATGGTTGTGTGCGTATACAGCAAACTGCACCTCCAGTTGGTTGCACTCCCCCGGAACGAGTCGTATAAGCAGCTTATATGCAAGAAATAAGCAGGTTAAACATCCGAATGTCAGCAGCCGTATGCTGCATAATACGCAATTTACTCGCAACGCAAGGTTTAGCTCAATGAACGGCATGGAACCCAAGTGCCAGTTTCATTACAATCTTGATCCAACAGTGACAGAACAGTGATTTGTAGTTCCAGGTGCAGAACTGTAAACTAACATCAGTAAAACATTACTGTTATGAGTTGTTGAGATGGCTAGACGCAACTTTGCAATGCACCAAGTTGGCTCTGCTTGCGAAACAGTACACAGACCTCATTGCAGTTCAAGATCCACAAACAAAGAGACCTCTCCACACACCACGATCTAAAGAACTGACACTACGACACAACCACCCACCGAGTCCACGGGCGCCTCGGCAACCTCGGGCGTCTTGGCCGCCTCGGGCACAAAGTCCGTCAGGGTAGTGTCCGTTCTCAAACTCTCCGCAAGCTTCGAAGTGTCCGAACCCTCTGTCGGGCAAGGTGACTCCGCCTCCTCTCCGGAGCCACAGCCCTCCTCCTCGCCCTCTTCTGTGGATCGCTCGCTCTTCGGCAAAGTCCGCTTGCTCCCGTGCGCCCAGAGGTAATCCCCGTAGACGTGCGCCACGGCGACGGCTTTGCCGCGTCGCTGCGGACCCATCAGACTTTCCGGAGCGACGAGCAGCGATCCGACGGCCACCGCGAACTCGCCGGAGTTGGACAGCCGCACCGCGATCGGATCGCCGGGCCTTGCCCGGACAAAGTCCTCACTGTAGGCTCCGATGCCAGGAGCCATCAGGTCGGCGCCACCGGAGAGCCGCTCCAGCACTGCGTCCCAGGTGGTGAGGTAGGGGAGCAGCGACGGGACGCACCAGAGTGCATAGACGGTGGGTAAGAGGCCGTCGTCTTGCTCGAAGAACATGGGTTCGTTGGCAAGGCAGTAGGCGATGACGGCGTCTCCGGCGTGGCACATGAGTTTGAGCTGGAAGAGGTCTTCCTTCGGAGGGCAGAGCGCGTCGAGTTCGACGGCAGAGAGCTGCGGGAACTGAGCCTCGATCTGGGACCGTAGCTTCTTTCTGAAACGTAAAGAATGTTTGAAGTAGGACTCAAAGAAAAGAATAATTTGTTTGTTTTTTCCTTCCAAATTTCAAGCTTAAGGTTGCATTTCGCTATTCAAAGAAAGACATGGTGTACTTAATTGCATGCAGAAGCAGTTTGTTGAACCAGAAATTTTAATTTACACTCTAAATAAAATTTTTAATTGATTGTTTCAATTGCGATTGTGCAGCCTGTTACACAATCATCATTGTTGTTTATTATTATTATTATTATTAATTATTTAATTAATTAATTATTAATATTAATTGGAGATTATTAATCTCCAAACACCTAGCTGTGTTTGGAGATTTGTGTTTGTCCTTTGTCCCTCTTGTTCCCCTTCTCCAGGGATTATTTTCGTCATCATTGTTGTTGTGATAATAATGCAACTAATGCGAAGGTGCAAGCGAGTTGGACAAGAATAACAATAATAATCCCTGGAAAAGGGGAACAAGGGGGACAAAGAAAAAACACAAACCTCCAAACACAGCTATGTGATTGGTGCGTGACTGAAAAAATCCGCCTGACCCTGCTATCGATCCAGGGACCTCTCCATTTTTTATAGCAGGCTACAGGTCAAGAAGGTAGCGGCAAATGCCCCTCAAAGAGAATCATACATCCCTCCGCCACCTCCACATCCAATAGCGTCCCATCGTTTCCGTGACGTCGCGGCTAATGCGCGAGGAGGGTCTTGCCTTTCTGTACATATTTGCTTTATCTTTCGACTTTTACTTAGCATTGTGGAAGCCACGAGAGGGAGATTAGAGTTCTCCCCCACCGACGGAAACAAATACGACTTTCGAGGATTAGGTTCCCCCACCGATGGATACAAGGGTCGCTTTCTTAAAAAGTGGGATCGGAGACAAGTTGGCATCGCTCTGTACTGTAGCCAAAACCTATCCATTGAAGGGGAACAAGGAGCGTTTTCAGTGAACTCTTCTTTCGACTGCGGAGGGATTTGAAACGGGCGCATCACGCTTGTGGGAGGAGCTTCTCCTACCTTCTTGACTTGTAACCGACTATAGTCGTGCACCAGTTACCTGGCTGTGTTTAGAGATTTGCATTTGTCCTTTGTCCCCCTTCTCCAGTGACATAGCCAGTAATTTTTTTTTTTTTGGGGGGGGCTAAGGTGGCTGGGATGTCCATGACTTGGGGTGCGGAGAGGGGGAAGGCGGGTCAAAATGCATGTGTATAGGGTCGGCTGGATTTTGAGGGAGAATGCTGAAGCCCCATGAACCTCAGTATTGATGTCGCTCGCCTGTATTAAGGCGGAGCCTCCCGAGGGGGCGGGACCTCCTCCTCCAGGGGAATAATGGGGGCGCGCGTTAATTCATCCCCTCGTGCTGCGCTTACGCCGCTCTGCGGCGACAGCCTGCGGTGGCTAATTACAAAAATGTGAAACCATTTGGCCCACCCGTAAACAACGCTACGCGGTGCCCTACTATTTGCTAAAGTGTCATTCAATGAACTGCCCCCTCAATAGGCTCTGCCTTATTACAGGAGAGCGACATCAAAGCCTAAACCCCCCCCCCTTGGCTACGCCACTGGCTCTACTGACGTCTAATTCCTGGCTAACTCGGTTGGTAGAGCACTCCACTGGGAATGGAGAGATCTCTGGTTTGATACCAGGACCAGGCGGATTTTTTCAGTCGCGCACCAGTGACCTAGCTGTGCCTGGGAATCTGTGTTCGCCCTTCGTCCCCCTTCGCCAAAATGTGTTAAAATTATTTAAAAAGGCTGAAGCTCCAGAGTTCGTAACCTTTTTTAAGGAAAACAATTTTGCTACTCTGGATCGTAATACAATATATTCGAGGGGCGAATGTCGTATAAAACCGGGTTTTACCCAGACACGAAGCATTGCATTCACAAATATGCGCAAATCGTCACCGACTGTGAAAGGACTTCTACTTGCGATCCAACACGTACTTATGCGATGACTAGCGATGTCAGCTTTAAAATTATGAAGTATTATTTGAGCTTGCCTATTTTTTAGCGCCCGTATGGCGCATGTCAGACGACGTTGTACCGGAGCAAGAGATATTCGGCTACCGATGAAGACGATCAGATCGTAGTAAATATTTGTACAGCGATCGCATATTACAGGCAGCAGAAATTTCGTGATGAGACGATCTGCTTTAGTTCGATTTAAACCTACGGGTTGCAGATGTGTGGTGTACATACCGGTCAGAATTCTTGAGTCGAACATTCGACTTGATCCTGAATTGCTTCACGAACATGATCGCTCCTCAGCTGCCACCGAAGGACCGAAATTAGACCGGATGCTACGATCCCTAATAAATAAAACCGGGGAAAAATAAATGAGGAGATAGCCGAGAAGTCAATTAGACGTCCCGAAGAGTCACGAGCGTCCCTCCTACTTCCTTTCAGGAGAATCACGGGGAAATTGGTAAGCTAATCCAGCACGAAAATTGCGAACCAGCCATATTTCGGTTTTGCGGCCTGGCACTTGGCTTGGATTTGTGCTCGAGCAACCAACCCAACAGCACCTCGCACTTGCTGCTTTTGAAATAAACTTTGTTCAACCAACTAACCTCTTAACTAATAAAATAAACATAAAACTGCTTTTAAGATCATTGAGATTTTTATGAGCAATTATTTTTGTTTAAAACACTAAAAATAAACAAACTTGACGTTTAATAATTATCGCGTGCGCTTTGATCGCCCAGTTATCTGAAGCGGCGTCCATGCTTACTTTTACTTCGACTCAGTATTTTCGACCCAAGCAAAGCTCACTGCAAATCCACTGCAAATTATGGCACCGTTGGCGTCGTCGGTGTCGTCGCGGTGTGCAGTCACCGAGGAGTTTGCGGCGTGCCTTGGGGTTTCATTCTCGGCACGAACAAGACGTGTCCGCTTATCCTGAAGCGCGATGCGCCGGCACGCCGACACCGCAGCGTCCGTTCGTGTCTTGGACACACCGACAGCAGCAGTGACGAACTGAAAACGGTAACATTCTGAAAAAAGGAAAAAAAAAAAAAGAAAAAAGAAAGCGCCGACCGTCACTGATAGGACCTCTCGACCCATCTGAACTTCCGTACAGCGGGGGCAACATGCCGCTACTGAACCAGTGAGCCGTGAAACGGGGTGGTCCGTCCACCGAGTCCGACTCCGTTGCCGTCGTTGTAGGAAGACACGACTCCGTTATGTCGACGAGACGCTCGAGAATCCAAATTAAGCCCAACACCGGGCGAAAGGGTGATAACGCCGCCGCCAAGCCAGCGGCACCGCTCAAACCCCAAGGAGTCCGGAAGTCGAGTGGGATCTCCGTTCCCGCCCCAGCTCTACCGGTCGAAGAACCCGCCCCAAATCCCGCGGAAGAGACGCCTTGTTGCGTCGGTGCCGACAACGAAACTCCCCATGTCGAAGCAGCGGTCGCCGAGGTTGGGGTGCCCAGTCAACCGGAGTCGACAATCGAAAAACCGCCGCCGTCCCCGCCACCGCCAGCGGCTCAACCGGCCGAACCCGCCTCGCTTCCTCCTGTGGAAGAAATCGGACCACCGGAGCCGGCTGCCCAAGTCGTCCAGCCGCCGGCACCACCGCCGTTACCCCTTCAACGAACTCGAGCATCCAAGCGACCGGCTGAAAATGAGCCTAAAAACGCCAGGTACCGTACGTTTTCTTGCTTCCGTATTGTCGACGGTGTCCTCGAATTGACCCGTGCGTCTGGCTCGTTTTATTGTGTGTCTGGGCCACGCGACTCCTTTAGAATTCGCAGCCCATTCAGACAAAGTGCTGTCGTGTCCCTGACAGTGCCACCGAGCGCGTCTGGTACGACATGTGCACTAGATCACGTTCTACACGATCGATGTTCACGCAAGAGTGACTGACCCGTATGGCCCGAGGAGAGTGAACTTGACCTTGGGGCCGGTGACGGGCCACCTGACCGGAACCTGGCTCGTTTCCTGTGGTGTTCCTTTTAGTGGAAAAAGAAAGTTTTAAACGTTTTAAAGAATGAATCGCACTTCTGTTTTTATCGAAGTGGTAGCACCTGTCTCCAGCTTCGAAGGCAATCGTTGCACGGGAAATTAAAGTGGAGAGCTTTTAGCGACTGGATCATTATTCGTGTTATTTTTTTTCTTCCCAAGATGAGCCGCCTGAACACAACCGAGCCAATTGCCGGCACAACTTATTTGTGGTTATTCCCGAATGCCAAGCGAGAACATGCTATGCGTTGAGCTGCTAATGGCCGACTAAGGATGTCGTCGTGTTTGCAGGCCTGCCAAGGCTTCAAATGGAACGGCTGATGCGCCGGCACCCAAGCATGTCCACAGCCAACCCACGGACGCCGCTGGAGAGAATTCCTCCGAGCCTTCCACGGAGCCTCCTTCAGAGTCACACACCGACAAAAAATCGGAAGCACGCTCTGAACCAAAGTCTCGCAAAGCAAACAAAAAGGTCAGCTTAGAGTCTTAATTTGTGTGGGTCATTTTGCTTACAAAGGAGTTGGAGAGACAAAGCAGTGATTGGGAAGTAATCCTCAAAGAAAGAGGATCAGTAAACCCTCGGTGCAATAGCCAACATTTTTTGACAAACTTTACCGGAGCTTTTTCAGGTTTCTTTATACACACATAAGATGATGAAATGTCCATGGTCGTTGCATCACTTGAGTGCAAAGCACATGGATGTGATGGGCTCATTTTAGAGCCACTCAGTTTCCTTCACAGGTTGCCACTAAAGCTAATGGCAAACCTGCTGAAAAAAACAACAAAAAAACAATATGTGCGTGTTTAATCCAATCGTAAGACATTTTCTAATATAATGGATGCATTTTGTGTAGCTGAGGATACTGTTATGCTTCCATCCTGAATTCCATTTAAACTATTTTTCAAACATTCAGTGACATTGTTTTAGCTCCGGATCTAACCACGTCTGCTGACGGTGCTTGTAGTGGCTGTTCACAAACGTTGTGTTGTGATGACCGATTCCTCCATCGTAACACTTGTTATGCTCGTCTGCTTTTAGCCACGGCGGACGACGCGAACCGCCAGCCGAAAGCCTCCTGCAGATCGCAGTGCCATGACCATGATGGACCTCATCTACTACAACCCACCCGGAAACCCCATGCCGTAAGTGACTCACTTGACAGCAGGCTCTTCATTGCCACCAAGCTCCAACGATGAAGCAAAATGTAAAAATGAAGTGCTTTCTCAAATCTGTCTGGGCCCTGCACAACTTTCAACATACAATCCCTAGTGCATTGGTCGTCAGTGTGGATTGACTACACGGAATCCGTAACGAGCTAATGGCAGTTGCCGTTCTGGAGTAATGGTAAATAGCAGTCCTCAATACTGAACTAATTTCTGTCTGTTCTGCATATTTGCGACCTTAATCTAGTGCAAGATTGCTTTTACTTCTCTCTTTCTCCATCTGTACAGCCTTGAAACCTTTATATTGGTGCATTTTGATATGGGCAAGACTATATTCTAAAGACAACAATGACGTTTTTGAACACACAGCCTGCATTGGCATCACATCCCAGATTTCTGCGAATTGGCTTAGAAGGTCAAGGGGATGAATCATACTTTTGGTTTTTAGTCTTGGTGGCACTTGCTGCCACCCGTTATAGATAGTGCAGCCATTAGCATCCCTCCGTCCATCCTTCTTGTGGGCACCGACATTTTGGTGCCTAGCGCCGAGCAGGCACAATCGACGATCGGTACAGTGAGAAAATGCGACTGCAGATATGATGTCAAGAGGCTTGGGCGATAATGTTTTGCTTTGTAGCGGTCAGTTCGAATATTTCTGGGGGGTGGAAAAGCTTTTCCCGCAATTTCAGATAAGCTTTGTGCAACTGACAACAATGCTTGACAGTACCAATGTGTCCGAAGTGTCATCACTCTCAAGCGTAGCCTATTTAAGTGCTCCCATACAATCTACCGAACAAACGTCAGAATTATTGCGTCATTTGTTTTTAATGGTTTTCGTAACGACTTGCTTACTCGGTCTTTCGTATCCTCTTCGGCGAACAACAGGGAGAAAACCTCCAAGGTCCGCATCCTGGAAGACAGCGCCGAAACCGTGGACGACCCGGCGGAGCCAGAGGCCGCTTCGGACGAGGACGGATCTGAGGCGTCGGCGGGTCCGCGTGTCCGCGTCGGACCCAACGGGGAAATCACCCTGGACGAAGAGAGTCTCGTGGTCCGACGCCAGGCACCCCGCTCCGAGCCGCGGCCGGTCGTGTACGAGACGGGCCACGAAACAAACTACACGTCGTTTCGGCGGCAGCCGCACGGCCGGCGGACTTGGACGGAGAAGCAGACGGCCCGCTTCTACCGGGCCCTGAGCGTCTGTGGCACCGACTTCACGCTCATGGCCACCTTCTTTCCCGAGCGCACGCGGCAGGACCTCAAGGTTTGTCACGGTCGATCGAAGCTGGCGTGCACTCGCAGAGAGTAAAACGAGAGTTGTATTTTGTGCGCCAAATCGAAGGGTCGTCCTAGCTAAACACAAAGAATGTTTTCCGTGTAGAATCTAAAAATTCAGAGAGCCAGTTGAAATGTTTCCTCGAAATTGGAGCTCAGTATCGTAAGACGTTCTGATACAAATAGACCTTTCAAAAACTCCATCGAGGAATATTGGCGGCAGCCACGTTTCAGTTATAGCTTTGTGTATAGCCTAGGATTGCACCCAAAGCTGAACGCCGACGTAGCTCCTGCGTCTAATGCCACACACTATACCCGGCATTAACTTTTTTACAGCAATAGCCGTTGTGGTCTCTTCCCGCTTCTGGAAATGATGTCCGTCGTCGACGTTGCCAAATCCTCGAAAAATTATCTCCCGCCGCTCGCAGAAATCAGACTCGTGTCTGCCGCGTGCAAAGCGAAGGCGTCATCACAGAGCTACGCCGCAGCGTTAACAACCCGCCCTATACTCTGGAATTTCGTAGTACCCGACGCCCACTGCATGCGCCCCCTGGAAAAATATGAAAACTGTCGATAACAAAACGTTGTCGTAGCACCGTCAATGCCAAGAGCTCGTGCCAAGAGAAACAAAAACGTACGGAACAAAATAGTCGGATGTTTTTTTTCATTCCGAACGCTTTCGCCATGACTTGTCGCAGCTATCGCGGCGACTGCGCTGTGGGTTAGAGCAGGACTGCTCAGTATTGTGCTGTGCTGTCAAAGCAAGTGTAGCTTCAACAGTGACGCCGCCCAGCACTGCTACAAAAGCATGTAAATTCGTTTTCTATTTTTGTTTTATGCGGTGCAGTATTGCAGGGTGTGCCGATGGCAAAAGGTGCAAGTTCCTGACAACGCCTTAGTACCATCTCGGTTCACAGTGGGCAACAAGCAAACAAATTTGACGTAATAAAAAAAATTTATTATCATTATTAAATTCTGCACGTCATAAACAAATTCGAGTGCTAAACAAGTCCTCTTTGCGCAAAGAAGGCGCCATGAGCTTGCGCTACTAGCTTTGACAGTGTTGGGGCGCTGCGTACTCTATGCTAGCCTTGACAACGTAGCGCAAATATGTTGACACGAAGTATACGAGCGTGTGGCGGTCCGCTGGCCTGCCACACCGTCGATTAAAGACGACGACGTTGCTCGTCGATACGAGCCCAACGGCACAAGGGATTAACGAGAACTTTTTCAGTTAAGCTCGGAGTCGGTCGCGCCGCCTCTCCCGCTCTCAACGTCGACACGCTACGAATCGGTGACCCGGACGTGATACAGTCGCACAACTTATTGATGATCTGTGCTGGTCCACCGGCTTGCCGCGCCGCCAATTAAAGACGACGACGTTACTCGTCTATACGGGCCAGACGGCATGAGAGATTAATCGGTGGTGCAATTGCTGCTAGGTGGTGTACACCTTCGTAAAGGGCCTATTACATCTGAAGTCAGGAGGCGCTACGTTTTCTTAACCGGCTACTGCTCTCCTGTTAGGGACAAGAAACTACCTATGAGACTGGTTCAATTTTTCGATCGATCAAGTCTCATCCTTTATTCCATGTTACAGGCATACACGCACGTTGCAGCTGTACTTCCGGTTTGTGAGGCGCACAAAGTGTTGGGATTACTCTCTGGACGAGTGTCATACTGGCATGTGATTTCGTTACTCCTTGACGCAAGCCGAGGTGTTAGCTGTCTTGCAGCACTGGCGAAATTGCTCATACAGAGCAAAGCGACGAGTCTCCTCTTTGATGGCTTTCTAACTTCATGGTGTGTAAACATTCACACACCCCGACTTTATTTTTAAATGCCCTTGACTGTGTTTTGGTTGTGCGTATAGGCAAACGGATGAATTTTGTGCAGGGAGTCCTCTACTCACTAGTCTAGCCGTACGTCACTAATTTTCTTCATTATTACCAAGTTTTACTGCGTGCGTGCATGACCCGCTTTGCTCGGTTTTGGTCCGTACCTTGTCAAGGATCGCATGCTACGGCCCCCTCGGACCAATCAGTGTGTCGGAGCAAATCACGTGACAGCCTGCTGCAGGAGGAGTGCTCTCAGACGATACATTGTCACGTGCCCCACTCCCGCAATTTGAACGACTCGCTGGGGTCGTAGCTTTTGCTGTTTGCCAAGTTGTTATGAAAAAAAGTATCATAAATGTGGAGTGCAGCAGTGCAGTGCCAGTAACTTCTCACCCTGATTGTTTTTGTTTGTCCTTAGAACAAGTTTAAGAGAGAGGAGCGGATGCATCGGGACTTGGTGGACAAGGCAATCAGTAAGTGCACTTCCTGCGGGACATGGCGTCCAACACCCGAGGCAAGCGAAAGAGTGGGCAGTGCTGGTGTGTTGCCGAAATAATGACGAGTGCGAGAGGAGACTATAGTTGGTGGCGAGTTCAGGGGAAAGTTCTCCCACCGCCCTCCACTTTAATAGAGCGAACGCAGGAGCGGAGGTTCGCCGACTATAGAATCATTGATTTTGCTGCAAGTTCTTCATCTCTTTTATCCTTGTGGTGGTTTTGCAAATGGAATAAAGAAAAGTTGGACAGGCCGTGCATGGTCACCAGCCAGTGCTTTTCCAATAGAAGTGCGCGAACAAATACAATTTTAGACAGCAGGCTGGCAAAGTAACATTTTTTTCTTTATGCTACATTTTTTTTTTTTTTAATGAGAATGTTTTTTGACGACGCTCGTCATCTGTCACACTAATGGTGGGACAAGGCCGGTGCAAGAGTCACGAAAAACATCTTGCAACAGTCTCGTTGTCTGCTCAGCAAACACGCTCGTGTGACAGATGGGTACACAACATTTTTTACGATTTTTACCGAGGAATTGAGCCTTCTCGTTTGAAGCGCGAATCCACTCTCATATTTTTGCCTGGAAAGGGTGCTTCCTCCATGTACACCGGCGCACTAGGCAAAGCTGCAGAGCTGCTAGCCTGCATCTCACCGGCGCAGGAATTGTAACACTATGCCTTTCTCTTGGCTTTCCCAGCCTTCTACCTGCTTCGTCGTACAAATGTGCATTTCAGCATTTCTTTCCGATGCCTAGCCTCTAGCACGCGCTTGTTTTCTTCTGTCGTGAGGCGCCGAATTGTTGTTGAAAGTAGGAAGCTTTCGCCGGAAACTGGACAACCGAAAGTCCTCCCTGCCGTCCCATCCTGTCAGCTACCGTAGTGCGTAGTGTGTAGTGAAAATGCGAACAAAACAGTACTGTGTGGTCATAGCGCTACAACGGCTCTCACATTTACGATAAATTCTAGACAAAAGTGAACCGATCGCATATTTGTGCAGCCGCGTGGCTCGCAGCAACCAATCGGTTTTGTCGTGCTGTCGAGGGCCGACAAACCAAGGTTACGATATGTTCTCGCCATCAGGAAAGTCGTTGCCTTTTTGCAGACGACCCCACGCAGTTCGACCTGGTCGGGCTCGAAGAGGAAATGGAGGATCCCGACGACCCTGAACCCACTCCGGATCGCCAAACCAAGCGCCGCGGCCGGAAACGGAAGGCCGTGGCAGAAGAGCAGGTCGAAGAAGAAGTCGTCCACGAAGAAATCATCATCGAAGACGCCACGGCGGAAAACACGACCGCAGAAAAAACCGGCATTGCGACGCCGTCGTCGTCTGGCACTCCGGGTGCACAGGCACCCTTAGAACTCCAGTCTGGGCAGCTGGTGTTTTACGCCAGTCGTGCTCAGGAGCAAGTGGTGCACGTGTTTGTGGTGTCACCCCAGGGAGAGAACGGCAGCGAAAGCTCGTCTGAACTGGTCAACAGACTTAGTTCGCCGCCCCTCCGCAGTCCTCCGCCGGCGACGGCCGAGGTTTCGTCTTCTTAGTGAGATTTCTGCCACCGCTGAGTATCTTTCGTCGTGGCACACTTGTTGAGGCTTGGAATAGCTGCGTGTGGTAACAACAATGCAAGTTTTTTTGTTTTTTTGTCTGTGTGTTTTGAAATTGGGCATTTTTTTGTACCCTGAAACAAACTCCTGGTGTAAGTGTTTGTGCATGTGCATCGGGCGTAGCCCGATGCACGTGCACAATCCAGCTGATCTTATAATATACACATGCACCCCAAGTCATAGACATCCCAGCCACCTCAGTTCCCCCCCTCCTCCCCGAATTTTGACAAATTCCCGGCTATGCCACTAATGCGTGTGTGTGGTATGGGAGGATGGTTCTTGTAAAGAGACACTCTCCACGCGTAGTCGTATCTTGGATGCCCAAAAATGTAATGCACTGTTCGTTTCTTTTTTTTTTTTTTTGTATGTATGTTTAAATTTTGAGGGTCTTGGCGCGGTTTGCGGGGAAGAAAAAAAAAATATATCTGAGCGTAAAACGTGAGTAAAAATTGATTTTTCACGAAGCCCTCCCGGTCACCTCGTCCTTTTGAACTCTGTACGATTTCACATCGGCGCGCGAACCTCGCCAAAACTAGAGCCCCTCGACAAAACGCGCTTCGCGATCTTTTCTTCCATCACAAGGGTAGGCCTACCCTCTCCCCCCCACCGACACAGCCCCATGTGCTTTTTTCGCCCCACCTTCCGCTCTGCTGACTCCCCGGTCCAATGGGAGGGCCCGCTGGGACCCCACGTGACGCCCCTTCACCAATGGCGCAGCGCCGTTTTCAAATTCGGTTCCCCTTTGTCCTGGGCCCGTTCAACGGATTTTCCCGTGCCGTCCGTGAACGCTAGTCCCACGTTACCCACGTTTGTTAATGAACTAGCCTATATCGAGCGTCGCTACAAATGCTATCGGCGACTGATTATTCCAACCGGCGGTGAGCGACAAAGCGGCGACGTTGCAAGTAAGTGGCGCGCGCGGCATCGCCGAATCCGCCCAGACACCCCCCCTTCCTCTGCCGTCGAAGAGCGAAGAACAAAGCCCGTTCTGGCTGCTGGTAACGTTGCTCCAACTTGCACGAACACCACTTGCTCGCGTTCGAGTCTCGTGTCATAATCGCCGTCAGGTCTCTCGCTCGAACTTTTTTCGCTTCGTTTGCCGCCGAGATAGCGACGTGCGCGTGGAAAATACGATTCGTGTTGGCGCTTTTGGAGCCTTCAAGCGCGCCCGCCACCGCCGCCGCCGCGCGCGCTTGCGATGGAGGGCGAGTTCGCGCGGTCTCTTTTGAGTTCGCTGCATTTCGCCTGTTCCACGATTCCTGGCCGCGCAGTGTTTGCGTTTCGGCCGCAAAGTTTCACAAAGTCTGTTCCGCTGTCGGTTGTGTTTCGCGCACTTGGAAGCGCAGCGACGCTGCGGCGCTGGCGCTCGAACTGCCCGTTTCCCGCCCCATTTTGAACCGCCCGCAACCGGCCTGCGCTACGTTTCGATCTAATTTCGTCCCAACTCGCAGATCACCATGGAGCTTTACGAAGACGCCTTCAGGCTGCAAGAGATGATCGAGTCCGACATGCGTGCCGAGGTCGAGCAGCTTCTCGCCCCGGGCAGCGGCGGGGAGCTCCGCTGCGCCGCCGACGCGGGCGAAAGTCTGGACGCCTTCGACTCGCCTCTCGGCCCTTCGGTGTGGCTCGGTTCGCACGGCATCTCGCTCATCTCGGACTTGGACGGACTCGAGGGCTTGTTGGTGGACCCGCAGACCGGGCTGCCCAGTCACAGGTCGAGCATGCCCCAGACGACGCTCGTGAACGTGACGCTGGCGGCTGCCGTCACCGAGCCCGAGCCGGCACCCCTGCCGCAGCGTGCCGCGTCGAGGACCAGCCAGGACCGCAGCTACCCGAAGCCCGCCTACTCCTATTCCTGCCTGATTGCCATGGCGCTCCGCAATAGCCGCACGGGCAGCTTGCCCGTCAACGAGATCTACAGCTTCATGACGTGAGTCCAGCAGCTGTTTTGGTTTGTGAGGGCTCGCGCGGCTGGGAGACGCGACAAACAAACACACTACTTGGTTTCCGTGATTCACCGGAAAAGATAACAGTGCTACGAGTATGAACGATAGACACCTTGAAAGAACAAACGGACGGAGCTCTGTTCTTGTCTACTATAATCAATGGCGGAATGAGAACTGTGGGGAGGACTTTCAGTCGTCCCACTTCAGGAGAGATTTTTTTTCCTATGCTGAAGCATCTCACGAGCTTCCAAAGCGCAGTCGAAAGCGAGGGAAGTTTTCCTGAATCATTACACCTAGTGCGAGCATCGTTCAGTGTACTATGGACGTGAGGATGAACACTGCTCATCTCTTTTCTGTTGATGTGTCACACGCTACGTGCATTAGTAACGTTGTGCAGCTCTCATTCTTGCCTCCCTTGCATCACCAGTTTACTTGACAGCTGGGTTGGCAAGTAACCTTGACTCACCCACCTGTCAAAGTCACAAATCGCTGTGGCGACGTGGTAGGCCTCGGATATCCCCCGACGATTCACATAAACAATGCGAGGCACATCACCGCTTCATGCGGGCAGGCGCTCGATTTTATTTATTTTCGTGCGATGCAGGCTTGCAGGTGGTATGCAACGATGACAAACTGGGAGGTGGTAATTCTTTGCTTCTCCCTTCTAGTTTGTCAAGTTGTACAACCTACATGTGCAAAGCGGAGATAATGCCGGAAGCTTAGAAGAAGGAAGACTAGGAATGGACTTGACAGACGAGACATTGCATTACTTCCTGGCATGGTTTGCGGATATTGGATCCGTCGTGAACGCCGTTCTTCGCTTGGTGGTTTGCCCAAGCTGCTAGGCAAAGCCGCGACCACATTGTGGTGCTTTCAACACGTAGCCTCGCTCTACACCAAGAGCTGCATACCGATCCCTTGAAGGAGTTCCACTGCCTACTTGAAATCGGTAGTACAAGGAGCGACGACTCAGGTTCCCGTTTAAACCGACCTCAAATTGCAAAGGCATACCGTGTTGGCCTTCGGTGTTGTGCAAGTTTGTACGAGACAGCACTCTGTCATTTTTCCATGTTACACAAGTCGAAGACCAGGAACAGGTCTTTGACTTGCGCATTTATTGCATCGAACTGCCCACGCCTCGAAAGCGGTCCCAAAGTGGCAACCAAACGACACCGCAGCAGCCGGCGTGTCCTGCTTTCTCATGCCACAATCCCAACAGTTGGTCGTAGAAGTTCTGGCGAAAGAAAAGGAGCAAACGCAAGGGTCGGTGGCGTTGCCAAAGGTGCTTCCGCGGACTGTCATGCCGAGAGTGAGCCACGACACAATGGGCGTCTGCCGATTCGTCCACGCCGCTCTCGCCAGCTTGACGGTACACGGAAGCTTCGGCAGTCAGGAGTTGAAACTCCGCGAGGACGGCAGCACTTTTCAGAGACTTCTACGGCCAACCGTCGGGTTTGCGACGTCCGACAACGGCTCCTCGTCTCCCGCGGTATCATTTGTTGCCATTTCGAGATCGCTTCGGATGCACGGGTGGCACAGGACACTAAACACACCGGTTTGGGACGCGTTTTAGGCGCCGTACCGTACCCAAGGTTGCGGGGCCCGCGATAACCCATGCCCTCCTTCACCCCCTCAGGGAGAACTTCCCGTATTTCCGGACGGCCCCCAGCGGCTGGAAGAACTCGGTCCGGCACAACCTGTCCCTGAACAAGTGCTTCGAGAAGATCGAGAAGCCCGGCACGGGAGCCCAGCGCAAGGGCTGCCTGTGGACGCTGAGCCCCGCGCGGGCAGGCAAGATGCACGACGAACTGCTCAAGTGGAGCAAGAAGGACCCCGCTGCCATCCGGCGCAGCATGGCCAACCCCGAGCGCCTCGAGCTGCTCGAGCGCGGACAGCTCGCGCTCGCGGCCCCCGCGCTCCCCCACCGGGCGTCCGAGGAGGACGACGAGGAAGAAGACGAGGACCCCCTGGGCTGACGACGAGCGCGACCTTGCGCCTCCTAGTCAGCGGCGGGTTGCCCCCCCGCGCGAGTCGCCGAGACAGGCCCGAGCTCTCCCTCCGCTTGGTTTCTCGGCGGCCATCCCAGTGAGAGACGCGTTGCCCCGTGGGACAAGCCGGAACTCTGTCGCACCGTTCTAAGAGATCGAGCGTGGCGGCGACGCAGCTGCAGAAGATCGTCGGCGTTCTGCATTAGGGGGCAGGTGGGAGGGCGTGCGAAGGCTTGAGCGTACGTCCGCGGGACTGTTGTCAGGGAGCGAGCGTTCTCGTCTTCCGGGGGTAGTTTTCAGGCTCTTTTTCTACCGACGAAACTGCATCTCTTTTTAAATTGTGACCGGAGAGGGTTTGGGGGTGCTTTCCGGCTGCGAAAAGGACAAAAGGACGCCGCAGGCGTGCACCCTGCGAACTGCACCGGCACTCACGGCTGCCGACCTCGACGTCTGCTCGGAGGCAGCTTTTTTTTACAGTGAATTGCTTTTTTTTTTTTTTTTTTATACAATGGACTTTGTGTCATCATGATCTCAACTGGCTGCAAAAGACTTGTTCAAAACAAGAGTTCATAAAAGACAGTATTTATTGAGATGTTTGCGTGGTCAGCGGTTTGTCCAGTCGTAGGGTGGCGGTGGCTCCGTGCCCTGGAAAAGAGAGTCGGGATGCGTTTGCACAAACTCGGTTGTGTTTGTCTCTTCACAAACTATTAGGTTGATATCTTTGCTCACTACTGTTTGTGTGAAATTGGGACGGCTTACAAGGTCAACCAACCAATGATGCATTCTCATATTGTGCAACGGTTTGCTTACGTCCAAAACGATGACCAGGTCGTCTTTAAGGCTTCTGCGGGAGTCCTTTTTGAGAACACGGCATCTGAAGCGAGACATGTGGTGCCGACATTCAGGTCGTGTTAAGGCAATCATGGCGCCATTTTTATTTTATTTTTTTGTATTCTATAAAATTAGAGAGTTTTAGTATATCATTCCAATACTTCAGATAACAATGCCTGGTGATGATCCGCATGTGTCGTAAGAACAGTGACAAAGAAGTTGGCAATATTGACTACAGATGCTCATTGTTTTCAGGTCTTGGTATACAGCGACCGAATGGTTCCAATGATATTGGCAGAGGTCAGATGCTTGTCAGTGGTCACTTCACTGCATTTCTTTTTTTCATTATTCCTTTACCAAGGTAGCTGGTGGAACCTTTGTATCCTTTCTGCTGTATCAACAATTTAAATTGCAGGGGAGTATCGACAGTGTCTGGCTGTTAACATTAAAGAAAAACGTGCCTACATTTAAAATTTCTTTGAAAAAATTAATTTTTTAAATTTTATTATACACTTTTACGCTGAATTTGATAAGCATTTTCAAAGCATTATGAAGCAGTAAGAAAGCAAAGGAGTTCAGTGTTTGAATGCATATTTTTCGGTTCCAACTTTTGCTGCAAAAAGTGGGAGATGGGGAATCGAAGGCTGGAAAGGAGGGGATACCTTCTTGTTCTGAGGCCATTGATGCCCTGTTGCATTCATATCGCATTACTCGAGTAAAAATTGAACACTATGCAGTGATTTAAAATGGTAAGAATAAGCATACCGGTGGGAGGGGGGGGGGGGGGGGGTGCCCTTCAATCTTCTCCCTCCTCTCCCCAAAGAAAGTGGATCCTATTTGGATTTTGTCGGTGCTATGATCTACAAACTTTTTTTTCCTTCTCCAACATTTTTTTTTTTTTTTTTCGTTACAACTTACATATAGCAGACGGCTCCAGCGACGCTTGCTGCGATGAATAGCGCCAGGAGGACAAGCAGGCTGAGGAACACTTTGGGGTCAATCATGACAGGGCCTCACCAGCTGACTGCCTGCCAGCGCTGCGAGACAAACAAGATACCCCTTGCCAAAGTTTGAATGGCAGCCTCCGCGGGAATGCTCGAAGCACGTTGCATCAAACAACCACACGGAAGTCTGTAATAGGCCTTTTGCTAAATTGGCTAAATTACTCGAGCATGAAAAACGGTGCCGGGAACGTGACACGCGCGTGCAAAGTGCCATTGGTTTTGCAGTTTTACTTTAGAACTAACTGCAGCAGAAGACGATACGCGCAGTGCGTGGAACTTCATTCGCGCACGCTTGGGCTTGGGTAATTTAGCAAACCGTCTATTGCTCGCTTAAAAGCATTGGGAACTTTTCGTAGACCTTACGCTAGACTCGCTTTGCTACCGGGGCGCACGATCTAATCACTCTCTGGTAATGCACGAAGAAAGTTATCAGACATGCGCAGAAAGTGTAAGAAACTGCTTGTGTGAGGCATACACAGCGACTTTTTCTTTTCTTTTGTACAACTTGTGAGATTATCTAATGACAGACCTACTGGGCTATCACCTGTCGGCAATGTCCAATGGCGTAATTAAAGCTGATTGACCCCAACTAGGAAATGTTCTCTTGCATATGAGAAATAAGAGAAATCTCCGATGAATTCGCATCTAATATTTTGCCCCGCGATAGACATATCGGAGGTACGCATGGTACTATTTTGAACGGATGAATATTAGTGGTGGTACATTCATTTCACCAACGCGCTCGTTTTCAATTATTATTCATTTGCTTCCTGTCCGTATCTAATCTACACGAGACTACAAGTCGCGTAACAGAAGGGCGGCATGCTTGGATACTCGAATTCGGTACCGTGCAAACAACGTGGTTGCTGCAACTTCTGCCACCGCGTGCTCGTGCCTGCAGCGCGCGCTCTCTTAGCTCTTCCCGCAGTAGGCGCGGTCGATGGTGATCTCCGCACGTTACGTGCTACCCGATTACGCAAACCATCGGCCCCTCGCGCACAACTTGCATGCCACGAACATCGCCCCAATGCCTCAAACAGGGAACGTTTCCGCAACGGACGAGCATCTGCCACCCGCGCACGGATCGGCCGAGCCACAGAAAGCCACAGCCGTCCCTCGGTGAGAGGGGGAATGGCCAGGTGCCCGCTGATGCGATCGGCTTTTTTATATGCGTGCGTATTTTTATTGCTGTTAATACGGGCGGCTCTTCCGTGGACCTCCCTCGTCCGTTCCCTCTCCACACGACAACACGCCGCCAGCGTCTAACCTGCGGGGCAGAGCGTTCGTGCAGTGGGCACCCGCCACTTGCCAAATCGCGCGCACATGTGTGGCGTTATCGGGGGTGCAGAAAGGGAGTTTTTATGGTCGGCCTCATTATTAGAACTAGGTGGAGGTTAGCAGTGAACGTCGAATCTCTCTTGTTTGCGCGGCTTGTGTATCGATTAACGAGGATGGGGGCAACGCTGCGCTGGCGGTCATCGTCACGAGCTACCAGCAGCGGTCGTCAAACTTTGGCGGTTGATGTCCTCCCTTTACCCGGGCTACGGGCCTCTCCGGGCAGCTCCAGCCCACCCGTCTTTTGGGCAATAATATTCAATTTGTGTTTCTAAGCGCCTAACAGTTTTTTTTTTTTTTTTTTTTTTTTAACGATTGTTAGCGTTGGAAAGGAAAAAAATAATTTGGGCAATCCTGGACTAGACGTCGTGGTTAACCGCGCCGTCTGCTTTCTCGCCTCATTAGACGGAGGAAAAAAAAAATCTGAATGAAAGACACTTTCTAAAATCCATGAAATGGAATGAAAAAAAAAAAAAAAAAAAAATCTGAAATGTTCACAATTTCGACACCTTCGGTCGAGAGACAGTCGGCCCGCCCCAAATAGAATGTCTCAAAAGCCGAACGATGTGACTGCGCAGCTTTTTGTTTTATTTGTTTTCGCCGCTCACAACACAGCTGGCAGCGGCAAAGCAGCTGCGCTGGCTGCGCGCGCTGCGCCGCGAGACGCGATTGGTCGAGCATCCAACGTTGTTGTTAGGGCAGACCCTCCGCCTGCCCGATATCCCACCACTCGCTCCGCCGCTCGCCCGACGCCAGTGTAAACAAGGCAGCACGCACAGCTGCTGCGTCGGCGGCCTGCGACTCCGGTCGCCTCGCCAGCGTCTCGCGTCTACTCCGTCCTCCCCTCAAACAACGCCCGGTGTCCTGTCGTCTTCGAACACCATCGGCGACGCCGAGGGTCCCGTGGCTGAGCCGTCCAGCGTCGCCGGACGGCTAGCTGGGCCGGCGATGTTGGCTGCGGTACGTCGGCATGAACGCCGATCCCTGCCTGCTGCCCGAAGTTCACATTTCGAATGGCGGTGTGGCCGAGGCGTCCTCGGTCGCCGCAGCGGAGCTCATCGAACTGGTGCCCGACGAGCCCGGCAGATCAGAGGGACCCATCTGCAAGATCTGCCACATGGTGTCCAAGGACGCCGATCCTCTCATCTCGCCGTGCCGTTGCTCGGGAACCATGCAGTACATCCACTGCGGCTGCCTCATGGTAACTATATTCCGCCTGCACCAGCTCCTACCGCCCAAGTGCCGGAGTGTTGCGCCGCGCGTGGGTGCTTTTGAGATGTCTTGCAACCGCCCCGTGATTAGATCGCGTGCAGAGGTATTCGCGAGTGTCTGCTTTACTCCCTTTTCTACTAGAAAGAACTCCCTCCAACTTGGGAGTGTCACATTTACCCCCCTTCTACAAAATAAGTGTGAGCGTCTGCTTAACTTTGCTCCCTCGTCTACAAAAACGACTCCCTCCAACTCGTGAGTGTCGGCTTCAACCCTTCCTCTAGAACCTGCCAGTGTATTCTTGCATCTCGGAGAGCATACAGCGTCGCAATTTCTAAGGTTCTCTTTGAGGTGTTTGTTGTTTTACCTTTTGCTGCAATGTTTTCCATGGGGTCCTCGCAGCAGCGCATGTCACCCATGACTTTGTTTGCCGCAGTGGCATAGCTAGCCAGAGGGAGAAGGGGCGGGGGGTTTATGGGGCTTCAGCCCCCCTGAAATCCAGCCGACCACACACATTTTAACCCCACCCCCTTTCCCGAAGTCATAGACATCCCAGGCACCCCAGCCCCCCCACGAAAGGAATTTCTGGCTACGCACTGGTCGAGTGAAACAATACTGGTTGGGTCCAGAACTGTTGAGAAGTTCTACATCTGGGACACCCATGACTAGAAAGAAAAAAGTGGACAATGCATGCACACGCAGTTCTACAAAATCTGCCAATGGCGTTACAGTCGCAAGATCTACGAGAGGGAACACACAAGCGCATGTTACTCGGTAGAGGCAGAGCAGGCTAGCAAGTGCTGGCTGTGATGTCACGTGTGCAGCGATGACTGAACCAAAAACTAAAGACACCCGGCTTAAACCGGCGCTCTTTGCTGCGCTGACTGCGTGGGCTGCCCATAGCGATGAAGGCGTACGTGCAAAGGCGCTACACTATTGCCATGCCGCGCACATCGGGAAAGGGAAATTTGGTAGCGTTTTTCCTTCGTTTGACAATCTCAGCATTCATAAATTCGATCAAATATTAGAGTTGTCCAAACGTCGTCGCTTATCAGAAAACTCAAGCAAGATGTCTTTCCCAGATGAATATAATTTTTTTATCGGTACGGAAGGGAGATTGGCAGCTGAAAAATGCCGTTGGATCCTTGTTGCATGGTGACGGAGCAGACGACGTGCCAGCGCGAGCCATAAGTACTCCCAATTGTTTGAAGTGCCAAGGCTGCACACGAGACATTGCGCACGGCGTTCACTAGAGCGCTCTGCGGCTGCCTGACATGCACTCACTCGCACGTTTCTTCCCTCTCATGACTGTACCTTCTCAATGCACTCTCTTTACACACGGCTTGCAATGACATCACCTCAGCTGCCGCTATAGCTGCCTTGTTGCTGAGTGTATACCTTCTGCAGCGTACATTCTCGCCGCAACAGTTGTTCTCCAAAAAATAAATAAGTAAATAATAATAATGCTTTTTTTTTTGCTGACTCGAACGTTGTTTCAGCAAACACTTTTTTTCCTTAACTTGACAGTGTGCAACATGGTACATTAACCTTGAATGCCTGGCCACCTTGCACAGCTAGAACACAGTTATGCACGAGTTAAGTGCACACATGCACAAGCCTTGCACTTGTACGAACCACCATCAGCTGTGTGCTGACCATGCACGAACCTGTAACTAAAATATGGCGTTTTTTTTTTTTTTTTTTTTCAATTCTTATGTTTTTCTAAAAAAATATTTTCCTGATATTTTGAAAGGGAGGTTTGAGATTTTTTAGTGAACATGTGTGCATATGGTGGCAGACTCAGATGCAGGGGGGTCTGGACCCCTCTTTTGAATTCTGCTTGTGTAAAAATTGAGGGTGGGGAAACAGGAAGGGAAGGGGGAAGATTAATTTTTTTATTATTATGGTTATTGGGCAATTATTATGGTGGTAGCCAATTAATAAGTGGTGGCATTCTGGGCAGCGTTTTCACGGGGTGCAAGCAACTGCCATGTGAAAGGGCAACAATCCGAATTCCAAGTTATTGGTTTTAAAATAAATAACAGTGTGCGCTGAGAAAGGGAGGGAGGTAGAGGAGACGAGATTGCGTGGGAAGTCAGAATGCCGAGCTCTGGTTGGAATGATTAGTGGGCAGACCTAAAGCCAGCTGTCCTTGTCTCCACTGCGCTCGTCGAACGCATTAGAACGTGGAACTCCGGCATTTGGCTTTTGCATCCGAATGCGTTCAATGATTGAAGTGGAGACAGAGGCAGCATGGCTTTAGGTCTAGCCACCAACCATCTGAATCAGAGCTCTGCATTTCGACGTTCCCATGCACTCTCGTCTCCTCCTCTCCCTCACTGTCTCAGCGCATAGTTAATGAGCTGTGCCATAACCACTCCGAGACATTAATTTTCTCTTTATTCCGAAAACACTAAACTCGACTTGCAACTCAAGATGGTGACTGGTCTTTTTAAAGCTGGTGGGTCTGCTCAGAACTGACGAGTCACTGCTGATGAATCTGAGCCGATGGGTCTGCTCAAAGCTGATGAATCTGAGCCGACAGGTCTGCCCAGACCTGATGGTTCCGAGCTGGCAGGTCTGCTCAGAGATCACGTATCGGAGCAGACGCGTTCGCCCAGAGCTGACGGCTTCACCCCGACAGTGCAAAGGTTGCATTCGCTTGTCGTCCTCCCTCAGCGCTGGCTGGAGATCCTGAACAAGAAGTCCCGTAAGCCGCCCAGCTGCGAGCTCTGCCAGTACCAGTACCAGTGGCACAAGAAGTTCCGCGCCGGATCGTGGAAGCTGCCGCCATGCTCGACACGCGACAAGCTGCTGCACTGCCTCTTCCTGCTGGCCGTGGGCGTCATGGTGGCGTGCGCCACCGTCACCATCGTCTGCTTCAAGCAGGACGGCGCCGCCCGCATGGCGCGCAGCGAACTCAGCGACTCTGAGCTGGTCACCCTCGTGTGTGGGGTGCTCTTCTTCCTCGCCTTCTTCGTGGCCATGTACGTCGAGGTGACGGCACGAAGCACCCTCTACCGGCTGCTCCTCAAGTTCATCTACTTGAACCAGCAGTGGTACATTGACGAGTATGACGCCAAGAGGGGGCCCGTTGCTGTCTAGAATCTCAGGGCGGCGTTGACCGCCACCGCCCAGACTTAAGAATGAAGCCCGGCCCCATCCGCCGGGCAATGCTGCCATTATGGGGCGGAACAAAGATCTTGCTTTGCCTCGTTTCGTTGCGGTTTTTCTTCGGCGCCTAACCCGCGACCGTGCGAGGGAACTCGCGCGTCGCTTAGGCTGGCGTTCTACAAGCAACTGTCAAATCAGCAGCTGTCCCCGGCTTTTGCATTGCATGTACTGTGCTTTCATTTATCGACAGCTGGAAAACCGACCTCATATTGAGTTATCCGCGTTGCATTCTTCGCAATTATGACATTAGGTATAAAGCAATTTGGCGAGCAGCGAGGCAAGCCACATGAAAGCAACGGAAGCAAGCGAACAAGGCGATGAGCGCCATTTCCTTGAAATCCAAAAACCGAGCGACGCGACGAGCGAATGTGAGAAATCTTCGTTGCTCTTCGCGAGTCTCGTCACTCGCTAAATTGCTTGCATGAGGTTCAGCATTTAGACTGTCTTTACTGCCTTTAGACTCGTACAAGTCACATATAAGTCATTTTGCTTTAATTGGCTTTAAGTCCGCAATGCTCACGTGGGAGCGGACGGGATTATTTATTTTTCAGTCTTTCTCTACATCCCCACCTCAAAAGTTCTCTCTTTAGATGAAAACTGGAAGCATTGTGCACTCGCTTGTGCCGCACCATATCAATTGTGTCTGCTCTCCTCAGGTAAATCACGTGCTTCTGCAGCTACAGAGGAAAGCGGTACACTCGCAGTAAGCCGAGGGAAACGTCAATGAATCAAACGCAATCGTTACTTCGACAGAGATCACCGTTATCGTACAGACACGTGCACATAAACAAGCACACACACACACACCCAGGAACCACTAAAAAACGACAAACAGACCCAACGCTCAAACTACCAAGTTGACTTCGAAAAACTTTGGTTTATGTCTCGCCTAGACGGTTCCGTTCGCTTCTCGACCTCAGACATATAAAAATTAAAAGTCAGCGCGCTCGTCGTGGACTGCCCGACACCGCCGCCGACTCCTCTACGCGCGGCGCTTCTTTGCTTTCGAACACTACCCTGTTGAGCTCGCGCTCGAAGCGGTCCCAGGAGAAGAGTGCCAGCGCTCTCTCCCTCCCACTCTCACCCATCTCCTGCGACAGACTCCTGTCTTTCGCCAGCTTCACCATCGCGCTCGCGAAGCTCTCCGCCGTCGGCGCGCACAAGAAGCCCGTCTCGCCGTCCGCGACTGTCTCGGTGGGTCCGCCGCTGTCGCACGCCACGACGGGCCGCCGCATGTACATGGCTTCCAGCGGGACGATGCCAAAGTGCTCGTTTGCGGGGGTGTAGATGACTCCGCGGCAGCTGTGCAGGAGCTGCTGTTTGGCCGGCTCCGCTGGGCTCTTGAGAAAGCTCACGTGTTCCGCAATGTTCAGCTCTTTCGCAAGGTTCTGCAGCTCTTCATAGTGCTCGACGTTCTCGCGGTGGTTGATGTCGTAGCCGCCGGCGACCACCAGATGGCAGGGCACCTCCCGGATGGCAAGTTCTGCGAAGGATTCGATGCCCCTTTCAAACGACAGGCAGGCATACCCTATTTACCCAATTATAACGCACGCTTAGTTTTTATACCCACGAACGGTAATTCATGCCCCTGTTTTCTATCCGATTCTAACGCACGAGCGTTTTTGAGTTGATTTTTCTCAGAAAAAGGTGCGCACACTGCTCACACGCAGTAAATCACCACATTGTAGGTGAGAAACTAATATAACTATGAGGTCGAGAAAATGACTCTTCACCAAAATGTCGTTTGTGCTGAATTTTGGTTGTGTGGAATGCCACACGCATTGTTAGAGCGTAGATGCCATTTTCGTGCGAGAACGCTCCGACGCCTTTTCTAGCCTCCTTCAGATAACAGAAATGATTGGCTATTTGGGTACTCTGCTGCAAACTAGACACACAGTCTTTATTCATAAACAGTGCTGCTATTGCTCGAGTCAGTACAGTATTTCTGCTGTGCAATGCAGGCAAGCCTACATAACTGAAGAGATTTTCCTGTCGTAATCAAGTTGGAGACGATTAATTGCGTTCTCTTTTCTATTTAGACTCTCGACCGTGCGAATCCTCGTTTTCCAATGCAATGTTAGTTGGGCAGCAGACACAACTTTTCAAAACTTTTAGCATCTGTGGTCTTGTGGGCCAAGAACACAAAATAGAAGACTCCGTCTCCTTGCTCCCCATACGACCTGATCCTCGCCAAAATAGAAGACAGCATCTTGGACCTCCGAACCACTTCCCACCCGCCTCCGAGAAGGCAGGAGTACTCTGCCATCATTGTCCTGTGCCTTGGTGCCTTGGTGCCATCTTTTTTTTTTTTTTTTTTTTATTCTGACAAGAATGACGTTATCCGCAAGCAGACGGGGATTTCAATTAATAAATCCTAACCAAAACATGTTTTGACCCCAAGAACAGCAGTGAAAACGTCTGGCCCCTTGCAAGGCGTTTTTACGACCAGTTATTTGACCAAAACATTCGCGCTTCCAACACTCGCAAAAAAAGCGCCGTTTCTTTCTCCGAGAACACACTCGTGTCGGAACTACTAGACGCAGTGTGCCTGAACTACGCACAAAACTCGCCTTCATGTAACGAGTACAGCAGATATTTACACGCTACGGTCGCTGAAAAGATGAGAATGGCAGGGCGCCTTGTTAGGGTGTCCGGCTTCCAGCACGCAACCATTGCCTTCCACCACACTTGGGATATGCATACGCGCTCAAGATTCACGTGACGCCGAGGCGTTATCGAAAGCAGGAAGCTCGCGCTGGAGGCAAGACAATCGAACAACTTCCCCGTCGTTCTTATTCTGTCGGAGACCACAGCACTCGTAGTAAGCAAGAAACACAACAGAACTTTTTTAATCCAAACCCCGAGAACTAAAATAACGGACAACCAACCTCTCCGCCGTGGAAGACCACGGCACTACCCTGGAAGGTGCGTAGAAATTGCGGCGGACAGGTGTTCCATTGGTCGTTGTGTCACTAAGGGGAGGGGGGGGGGGGGACTGCCCCGGGTGCAGTGCTTTGAGAGGGGTGCTGCTGTGCGGTTAAAGGGGGGGGATCGCGGCGGGCCATTGCTTCGGGTTGCCGCCGACCCTAGTGACTGGCCACTCACCCAACGCTTGAAGTGCCAGGCCCAAGTTCTTCTTGCGCTCGTAACGGTTGAGCGACAGGAAGACGGCGCCGCTGGGATGGATCCCCAGGTCCTCCAGGGAGCCCTCCAGTGGGCGATCCAGCCGCGATAAACTCGTCGTCGGGTGCAGGACGTGCAGCGGCACGTCTGCCAGCTTCGGAAAGACTCTGCGGAAGACGTCGCCTGCGGTGGACGGTTGGCACTGCGCTCAGTTGCGAGCAAAACGCACCTCGAATGTGAACAACGGTTACCGGGAGGACGGATTGCAGTCGTAAACGCGGTGGACGTTCCTCTAGTGTGCGCTCCTCGAAATACAGCAAAATCTGGTTAAAGTAGACCATACCCGGATAGAGGCTACAGCTGGAGGGTTCTTTTGTCGACATTTCTCGTCGGCAAGCCCTACATTGGTGCCGTAGAGTAAACGTTACTGTATCCACGTCGTGACTATATCTGGACCGTTTCTCGACCGTAAGCCCTACATTAGTAACCAAGCTAATGTCGCTAACAAATTGTAAATAAAAAAATCAACGGAAAGCAAAAAAAAAAAAGACAGACAGGAAAGACTACCTTTCTTGTCTACGTGCTGGAACCTTCGTGTTGTTAGTTTATAGTCATAAACGAACGAGCATGCTTCCTGCCACTGCGAAATTGAAACTACCGTATATCTGGAGACCCTTAATCGGTAAACCCTAAAATGATAAGAAAAACGATGTCACTAATAATGGTTATTCCTACCGCGACACAATGAGACAACTTCTATGCGAGACGCTTGTACCTTAGAAAAAAGAGCTACGATGTATACTTGTGCGAGAGTAATGCAATACAAACCAGTATTCATCAGATACCTATGCAAACGTGCATTTTACAAATGCTCTATGGACAGTGGAAGTGTGGTGTTTGAGCAACGTACGGATGGAGCGGCATAACCTATGGTTATGCCGCTCCATCCGTACGTTGCGTTATGCCGCTCCATCCGTACTTGGGAGCTAACTACGGTCCTCTAAAAGGGCCCCTGAAAAGAAAAAAAATTTTTTTTTAAATGAGGCTGGTTGGGACACGAGTGGCAAAAAGTTAACTTTACGTGGAGAAATAAATTTAGAGCAATATTGACGGCGTGAGATTTATTTGAAGCTCTGCGCGCAGAGCCCATGACGTCGCGGAATGATCACGGACTCTTTCCACCTCAACGAGATGGCCAAGCCAATCCACCTGTCCTCCACACGCTCGACGTGCCGAGAGAGAAAACAAGTGGAAAGGAGGTGACTACCAACTAAATCGCTTCTCGTGCCGCCAACATTGCTCTAAAAAAATTTTTTTTTTATGCGTAAAGTTAATTTTTTGTTACGCCTTCTTAACTAGACTGTTTGAAAAAAAACTTTTCTTTTCAGGGGCCCTTTCAAACCTTTGAGTAAGAAAGGCATTCTCACTTCAGAGACTGTACAAGGATGCCAGCAACCAAAACTCGGCCCACTTAATTACGGATTATGCCACGGTGTAACACTGACATAGACCGGCATCGCAATATATGGAGAACATATTTGCTGCAGTTGGTGACAGGCCAAACGTTTAGGGGAAGCTCCCCCCCTGGAAGGCTAGAGAGGCGACCTTCTCTCCAGCGTTAAAAGTGGAAAGAAATGGGAGGAGCTTCCCCTAAACTCTTAACCTGTCGCGGAGCCAGGTCGTCCCTCCCCAGAACCAACTGACCCGTGAATTTGCTGTTGACAAGAACCGTGTCCGCCTTCCCCGTGCTCCACTGCTCCAGCGTGTCGATGGGCCACCGGTAGATCCGCCGGAGGAGTCCGCTCCGCTCGGCCAGCATCAGATCCGGAAAGTGGCAGTAGAACACCACCCTGGCTCCGCCCCACTTGAGCACGGGCACGCAAGCAGACACCTGATCGCAGACCACTACGTCTGGCCGGAGGTCGCTGAACCAGACGAGGTACACGGCGGCAAAGATCATGCGCAGGTAGGAGCAGACGGCATAGAGGTGTCCCAGCACGGAGCGCGGCATCCAGTCGCAGACGGTGGTCACCTCGAGGGTGCCATCCGTGGTTTCGGGGAAACAGTGACTCCGGTCGTGGTGCGTAGTTAGAAATTGGACGGAGTGGCCCCGCGCCTGCAGTGCCAGTGCGGCGTCTACGACGAGCCGCTCGGCTCCGCCCACGCCTAGGTCTAGGTGGAGCAGGACAACCCGTTGCTTCGGAGTGCTGTCATCTGCTTCCTCTGTGGAACAGTGCGAAAGCGACGATTGAGTAGATGCGTACAAAATGATTTCACAGAAAGAAGTGTGTACTGTAGAGAATGTTTTCTTTCACACGTGTTTGCACACTGTTTGTAAATAATATTGAAATCTGCGGTGACATTGAGTTGACACCGAAAGTGGCTCACTTCTTGGATTGTTGAGTGAGCACTCAACCATCCAAAGGAAGCTTAAAAAAACAAGTGTGCAACATAGGGAAACTTTTCACACTTGTCTGTGCACCGTTCGTAGGGAATGCTGAAATGTGGCGACACTGAATCAACATCTTAAGTGGTTCACATCTTGGATCATTGTAAATCCAGAAGTGCAATGACTGCTGCAGGTTTATCTGCTCGTTAAAAATAGAGCAGAGACAAGTATGTACGATGGCAACCTTTGGATAGTAACCGTCCCATTTGCGGCTGTGTTCATCCTGCCTTGCACCCGACGTCATCCCGTCAGCTCTCCGGCCACCACCAGAGAGGAGGGGAAAGAGGAACTCCCGCCACCGGGACTCTCTTTTGTGTGTCCCAGGGTTGCCCAGACGTCGCTATTCCTACAAAAGCATCTTCCCCTCTCTCTCTTCTGTGGTGGTGCAATATGATGCCGTTCTTTCTTTGCTGTTCCTCACACTGGAGTACCAAATGGCAAAAGGTTCAAATAAATATTAAACTGCAATGCAGTTTCTCGAAGGAAAAAAAAAAAATACTGCTGTCAGCAAATCACAAAAACGTTGATTTTTTTTTTTTTTTTTTTTTTTTTAATTTAAGCAAAGTATTTTTTTTTTTTTTTTTTTTTTTTATTGAAGGTTGGATTGTCATGTATTAACACCCGTGGCTCTGAATGATACACTGATCAGTGAAATTATATGCACTTTAATTGTGATGGGAGAGCGATACAGCAGCAGCTGAACTGATATGAAGTTTTGTAAATGTTCAAACGAAGTGCCACGCCGGTAGGAGCAGGATGAAAACCATGCAATATGCTTACCGCCGCTTTCCTTTCGTCTTCTCATCGTAGCTTCACTTGTGTGCATAAATCTATCCACAAATTTGTCAACACGGCACCCACGCCCGTTGGTTTTTATCGCGCGACTTCTGTAAAGGCAAGTGGTGATGTGGACGCCGCCATATTGAGGCATCACGTGGCTCGCTTGTTCGGTTTGTCGAATCTTGCAGCTCGTGACTTTTATTGGTCATTTATTGTTACCTGACGTCATACGTTTATACATATTTTAAGTTAAATTAGCTCTAAGCAGGTTTCACTCAAGTAATGAAACTTTAACGTGAAATTGTGTAAGTATTATTACAATAATATAAGCAGTGTTAAGGTATTACGTAAATTTAAGATATATATTCTGCACACCCTCGTTCACTTAGATTAACTCCCTTGAGAGTTAGTGTCTTATGCAGCCAGTACTCAAATCAAAAATATTTCAACCAATGAGCACATAGTTTTAATTTTATATATACATATAAAAATATTTATCAAACTTATTAAATTATAAACAACAATTAGGGATTGTAGTAAAGCGATAGTTTGTCAAAAATAAGCCACGTGACTAAATATTACGTCATTAGTTGATACATTGCAATTGTCTCTCGCTTTAAATAACATGACCGAGCACGCTGACTGAAGCTCTTTGGCTCGTCATCATCGCCTCGTCGATTCCAAGCTCACGCGATCGCCTCGCCTGAAAAACCTCACGGATTGTGCATGACCAAGATCTCTACGTCGGTTACTCGAAGAACTCGGAGGAGCACAGCCTGTCGTCCAGACGACAGCGCAGCGATCCGAAGATGAACGACGTGGGTGAAATGGTCCCGCTCGTGCCTTCCCTGCAAAACATCGTGGACCAGAAATCCCTGAAATGGGTGTTCGTCGGCGGCAAGGGCGGTGTGGGCAAGACGACGTGCAGCTGCAGTCTAGCCGTGCAACTGGCGGCCACGCGGGACAGCGTTCTCATCATCTCCACGGACCCGGCGCACAACATATCGGACGCCTTCGATCAGAAGTTTTCGAAAGTGCCCACGCCAGTGGCCGGTTTTCGTAACCTGTACGCCATGGAGATCGACCCCAACCTGGGTTTCTCCGAGCTGCCCGACGAGTACTTCGAGGAAGGCGACCCGTTCCGTGCAAGCAAGAACATGATGCAGGAAATCCTGGGCGCCTTTCCGGGGATTGACGAAGCCATGAGCTACGCCGAAGTGATGAAGCTGGTGCGAAGCATGAACTTCTCCGTCGTCATCTTTGACACGGCGCCCACGGGACACACGCTTCGGCTCCTCTCCTTCCCGCAGGCAAGTATTGCTTTCCTTTTTAAATGCTTCTACAACTCCGTTTGCACAACTCTACATCGTGTGTTGGCCGTGGCCATGGCGTAGCATTCGTGCTACTGCGCATGCGCGGTGCCCACCGCTGTTGCGTGACGTCACGGGGGCTGCTGCTCTCCTGGACCCTCCTGCCGAAAAGTCAGTCTTGACCACTGATCTCTATGTCTATTTGCTGGATCACGTTTGACCAGCTCCGCCTATGGACGGGAATGCGGCCACGGTCGGCTATCTTTTTGGTAGAGTTATATTACCTCTAGCTGTCATAGGTAATATGGCGGACAGAGCTATGGCAATAACGTTGGCTATGGCAGCAGGCTGTCATAAAAATAGCCGTGAGTCTAGTACACTACCGTGGGTAATATTTCGTGCTTGATTGAAGTTGTTCGACGAAGCAGATTCTGGAAACCCGGCGTGGACGGTAGCCCCATCTTTGAGGACCTGGCAAAAGTTCTACGAAAGTGCAGCACCGGGGGAAAGCAGCGCAGCTTGCATCGAAAGGAGACTCCGTACCGGCGTCTGCTTTCGATGCGTGCTGTGCTGCTTTTCCCCGGTGCTGCGATTTCGTGGAACTTTCACCGGGTCCTCAAAGATCGGGCTACCGTTCACGCCGGGTTTCAAAAATATGTTTCGTCGAACAATTTCAACCAAGCACGAAATATTACCCACGCTATTTTGATGGCAGCCTGCCACCACAACTGCCACAATGCTGTCTGCCATGGATGGATGATAGTGGCTGCACCAGCTGTACATTGGCTAGATGTAATATAACTCTACCAAAAAAATGGCCGCCAGTGGCTGCATTCGCGTAGCGGGCAAACGCGATCCAGCAATTGTCATAGAGATCAGTGGTCTTGACAGATATCATGTTACATCTTCTGTTAGCTAGATGTTCAAACTTGCATCAGGGTGGCAGGCATGCACATTGCATACTTTGTTTTTTTTTAATACATTCAAACAGGATGTGTATGTGCCTACCTTTTTTTTTGATTGACCAGATTTCTTTTTGCACTTCTGCCGTTGGTATTTCTATATTGCAATGCATTATATCATCAATCCCTTTTTGATGTTTGGTTTCAAGTTCAAATTATAACTACTTGTTTCTGTGTGTTTACAATACCCTCAGTCCATAAGGCATCAGACAGGGAAGTGTAGCAGTGGCATTATTTTTAGCCCATGGACTGGTTTGCTCAAAAGTGTAAATCCTTTATTTGGTGTGGACAGGTGATGGAGAAAGGCCTTGGCAAGCTTCTGCGTCTCAAGTCCCACCTGAGTCCGTTCATCTCTCAAGTTGCGGGTCTGCTTGGGCTGCAAGACCTGACAGCGGACGTCATGTCCTCCAAGGTCGAAGAAATGCTGCCCGTCATCCGCCAGGTGAACGAACAGTTCCGTGACCCCGACCAGACGACCTTCGTGTGCGTCTGCATCGCCGAGTTTCTCTCGCTCTACGAGACAGAGCGCCTGGTCCAAGAACTGACAAAGTGTGGCATCGACACGCACAACATAGTTGTAAACCAGCTGCTCTTCCCGTGTGCGGACCAGGCGCCGTGCAAAATGTGTGCCGCGCGTTGTCGTCTGCAAGCAAAGTACCTGGACCAGATTTCGGACTTGTACGAAGACTTCCACGTGACCCGTCTGCCACTGCTCGACCGTGAAGTGCGGGGTGCCGACCAGGTACGCGCTTTTTCGCGCCATCTGGTGGTACCTTACGTCCCCGGAAAAGATGTCTAGTGTGGCGCTGCAAAGATTTACGTTGCAGAGTGGTATCTGCCGTCGTCCTGTTGTAGTCACTTCTGAGAGCCTGCCTCATTGTCTGGAGATCACTGGGCTGCTACCCATCAAGACAATTGTGCCTCGGAGAGCGATGTGCTTCACTTTCGATTTTTGTGGTGCGGAGGAGCTATGGCGATCTAGTGGGACACTTCATGTGTGCAAGGTGTACTCATGTTGTAATAAAAGATACTATCCTACTAACAAAACATGAGTTTTTCCTTTTTTGGAAGGGTGCTATCAGCTATCAGCATGCAGAGGGCACATAATCCAAATATGTCGGCGAATAAACTATATAAACCGAATTGAATAAAACATTTAAAAAAAGACAAAGGTGTATAACCTGGGGTCCAAACTTAGGTCTCCTGATGAGTGGTCAGATTTGTCAGGCACTGAACCAGCACTACCTTGACATTATTATTTGGTAGTATAATGGTACATACTGCATACTTCAAATCGGGCACGTAAACAGGGCCCCCCCCCCTGAGATGTAGGAAAATAAAAAAATGGACAGAACAGCAAAGTCTACTATGGTCTACTATACGGATGTCATTGACCAACTCGCCTGCGTTTTTTACCTTTCTTCACAAAAGTCGTTCTTGTCTTTTCTTTTACTTTTGTCACACGAAATATGTTGTGCTTCAAAATGTCACACTGTGTCTCTTGGTAGTCACATTTGGTTGATTGGCCGATTTGGGATCGGAGAGCGCTTCATCTCCTCAGCCTGCCAGTGTCCAGTGTTAACGTTGAGAGGGCATTCTCGAAGCCCAGGGTCATTAACAGGAAAGAATGAGGATCAACGAGGAGAACCTGGAAAAGTACACATATGTCTACTAGAATGAGATTACGCAATCCTGATGTACAGAAGGTGTTTTTTGTGCACTCACTTGTTTGTACTTCTTTTTTTTTATGCTTGCACACAATTACCAAATAAAGTGTCAATGTTTTTTTTTTCAATGTATTTGTGCCATTATTTCTTGAGGGATCACAGATATCAGAGTTACAAGGATGATCTGATCCGGTGTCCGATGGTGTTCCTTTCATATTCACCGAAAAAAAAAGGTTAAACCTATAAAAGTATGCCAAATTTCGAAAAAATAAAAACCTAAAACGCGGAATCCTAATTATAATCATAACCTTAAATTGCAGGCTTCACCCTTGTTGGTGCTAGACTGGTGGCAGCTGATGAAAACCCGTTTGCTCTACTGACGTCTAACCCCTGGTTAGCTCAGTTGGTAGAGCGCTCCACTGGAAATGGAGAGGTCCCGGGTTCGATACCCGGACCAGGCGGATTTTTTCATCTGCGCACCAGTCACCTAGCTATGTTTGGATATTTGTGTTTGTCCATTGTCCCTCTTGTTCCCCTTCTCCAGGGATTATCTCCATCGGTCCTGGCTATGTGCCTGCTTCAAATAGGTGACTTATCACTGGACGTCAAATCAAAAACTTTAAACGAAATACGGGAATTACTGTATCTAAATAACTATTCTTGCCAAGACATTTAGTTATGAGAGTAATCCGCCTGGCCCCCGAGTACCAGGACCAGGCAGATGTTTTCGGCCGCGCACCAGTCACCTAGCTGTGTTTGGAGATTTATGTTTCATCTTTGTTCCCTTTCTCCAGAGATTACCATCGTCATTGTTGTCCAGCTTGCTTGCACCTTTGCATTATGCATTATCGTCGTAACCTTAAAAATGCAGGCCGTTCACTCTTGGTGGTGTTAGACTGGTGGCAGCTGATAAAACCCGTTTGCTCTACTGAAGTTTAACTCCTGGTTAGCTCAGTTGGTAGGGTGCTCCACTGAAAATGGAATGGTTCCCAGTTCGATACCAGGACAAGACGGATTTTTTTCGTCGGGCACCAGTTACCTCGCTGTGTTTAGAGATTTGTGTTTGTCCTTCTCCAGGGCTCATTGTCGCCATTCTTGTCCAGCTCGCTTGCACCTTTGCATTATCGTTGTAACAGTTAATTACGTTTTCTTAACAGTCAAGCTCTAGAACCTCTTCATCAGTGAGCCAGGGAAACGTAACAGGGCACCTAACTACACATTCATTGCCCATCTTATTGCAGACAACATTTCACGAGATAAGTCTGCCAGCTTCACAAATGTCCGTACGTCCACCAAAAACGGCTGGAGCTAAGCTGAAGATACCTGGAACAGTGAAACCCTGAGCACCACATGAGTGATGATGATACGGGGTTTTATTTGGCTAAGTGACCGCTGTTGGTGAATCACAAACAGCAGCTTCACGGAGAAAAAAGTCTGGATCGAGAGGGTTTTCGGCGGCGACGGGTCCTAGTCCAGACCGTCGTGTTTTTCACGGACGGACTCCTTGAACCGTTCCTCAAGCAGGGACAGTTCGCTGATGAGGTCCGTGATGGCGTTTGTGAAGGCTTCCTGCGGCGTGCTGTCGGGCGTCGTCTGCACTCGCAGGATGAACTTGTGTTCCAGTGGATGGGGCACCTTGTATCCCGCGAAGAGCACGCAGGGATCCTTGAGAAGTTGGGCCCGAATCATATTGCCGAGCGTGTGGTCTTCCTTGTTCACCGTGAAGATGGCAGCGTTCGGGACTTTGGTGTCTTTCTCGATCGTGATCTTCTTCTCTCCCTCGAAGAGAAGGAATGACTCGAAGGCCGGTGGTGCGTTCATTGTTTAGCGGGTCGGCGCTGCTACAGTGCAGGCCTGTGTTTTGCCCTTTTGCGAACCTCGCAAACAGAGAAAAATACAGCAACTGTTTGGGCTAGTGGTGACGAATAGTAACAGGTTGAGCCAGTCCTTTATTATTTCTCACCACGACCACTTACCCGCCGCCCAGTGTACCCGCCCTTTTTTTTTTTTATAGCACTTTTATCAGTTTTGCTAAATACTGCGAACACATATGTCAAATACAACTGCTAAAGGAACCCGAGGAACCGCATCATGGCAAAATGACATTATTATTTTTTGACTAAATCAATCAAGAAAAGCTCCGACGTAAGGGTGTCAGATTTTTTCACTTTATAATTTTTAATATATATTTTTACATCGTGAAGATTGGCTCAAATTAGTGGGCTAAATATTAAAGCGGCGCCTCAAGTGTGGTGATAATATAAATATGTTACGTTCTATAACTTTCAATAAATAATTGACGTCAATTTAGGCAAATAAAACCATAATAAAACTAACAAAATTGTCAACCATAGATCTCGCAAAATCGCGAACTGGGAACGAGATATCCCGAGATCTACCCGTTTGGTCTTTCCGTGCCGAAGCCGAAAGGTGAGGACATGTTGACTTTTCTATTCCACTACTGAATCATATTTCATCGAAGCGGTACGACAATAAATTGCAATAATTAGCGCTGTTGAATACTCAACGAGATCTTGCAGATAGATTGAAACCCGTATTTGATATCCACATCTAATCAAAAACAATTTTCTCATGGTGTATCTGCCGAGCACTTTCGGCAGTTCTGGCAGTTGTAGTCATCTTGACGTCGTTGATCATTCAACTTCTGTCATTACCGCTCGCCGGCACATTGATGACATTGCTGTCTCCTTATTGCCCAGTTGCCTTAAATCTCGAATGTTCGTAACCGCCAAGGCTCCGTGTCACTAGGGCCAGCGGGCCAGATTGGTTTAGTGCCCTAACCCGATATCTCCGTTTCTAGGCTATCGTTGAAACACACATCATGGGGGCCTACAAGTATATGCAAGAGCTGTGGCGCAAGAAGCAGTCCGACGTAATGCGGTTCCTGCTCCGTCTGCGTTGCTGGCACTACCGTCAGCTCAACACGTGCCATCGGGCCCCTCGTCCCACCAGGCCTGACAAGGCTCGCCGCCTTGGCTACCGTGCCAAGCAAGGTACCGTATGCATTGCCGATCATAACTCTTCACACTGATCTCGTTTTCATGGGTTTGATTGGCTGCTGCAGCGGCCATCCCTTGGGTCTTTGATTGGGTACCGTCTGGAGTGGATGCCCAGAACTTCTCTGATCTTGAGTCTTGAGTTGATGCCCACCTCCTCTCAGATTGGAAGGTGCAGTGTCCCTCCCCTAGCTAGCTCGTCTCTGATTGAATGTTGAGCACAGCAAATAGCCGAGAAGTTTGAATGGGAGCAAGTTTACCTTTATGCTTTGGCTCCCCACTGGCTGTTGGGCAGGGTGCATACATCCAGTCCTGACAGACATTTTTTCACATTCTCATTGTAGGACCCAGAACAAGGAGTAATTGGAATTTTAGACCCAAGCTTGTTTCTGACAGGGCCTAATCAATTTCTCATCTCACCAAGTCGATAGCATAGCTCTTAGCGTGTGAGGCGCAGATTGTTCGCAGGTCATCGGGAAAGCCGAAGTGTGATACCATGACCCCTGACCGGGATTGTTTTCTGTGCAGGCTACGTGATCTACAGGATCCGTATTCGCCGTGGTGGTCGCAAGAAGCAGGTGCCCAAGGGCTGCACCTACGGAAAGCCCAAGAACCACGGTGTGAACAGCCTGAAGCCTGTGCGCAACCATCAGTCCATCGCCGAAGTGAGTGACTTTGGCTACTACTGTGTGAAACCACGGCCCTTAGATGCCCTGGTTTGTTGTGCTATGGGAGAGCTTTTGCTTAGTCGCAAAAAGAACCACCAGATGTGTGTTCTCTGTGCTGCGGGGGAACCAATTTGGTTGCACAAAAAACTTGCCTGTAGAACTAGGAAGACATCTGCACTTGCCTCAAAAAACACTAAAATTAAAAAAGACATTTTTTAAATTTATTTATTATTACAACTGATGGCATCAATGCCTGGCATGTACATTGGCGTCGACAGAATCTCGTCTTGAGGCAAGTGAACAGCCTCACGGTTTTTCGTTGCAGAGCTCGTATACCAACTTGCTTGGGTTTGTCGCTTTCAGTGCCATACACTGCCGATCTGCAACTATTAGTCGCATCCAAGTGTGGCTCCGAGGCAAAGCGCCGGCCTACAGATCCCCGGGTGGCAGGTCCGAATCTTGGCAAAGGTGCTCGCAGTCTCACAGAGGCCGAATGCAAGGAGAATCGGAATTTCGGCTGCACGTCAAATAACGTGCACGGCTGCACGTTATTGCGCACATTCATGCGCAATAACATGTACCCTTCGTAGAAAAATCTTCAAAAAGGGATCGACACACTTGGTTTCTTTAAGCGTTTGTTCTTGAAAGGATTTTTCGCCGTTCTGGCATCAGTAATACCCATGGAGGAAAAAGTTGCCAAGCCAGAGAATAACGGTATCTAAGGGCCGTGACACTACATCACTCTTAATCTGCACCAGCTTACACCGGTGCAAAAAAGTGCGGGTCAGTATACTTCCGGTACACATTTTAAGGTAGGCTTCACTCGTGAATCGAATGTACGGCGGCGTGCATAGAGTGTAGCTGGTGTAGGAGGTGTGAATGAAATGGAAACGCCTGGTGTAGGGTTATTTGGACAGCTCTTGGTGTGAAACTGACCACAGAAACCGTCTCATTTGGTGCAAGATGGCATTTGCTTTCGGTTCTGTTCTCTGCACCATAACACACGGCACTAAAGGCTGGTTCACAACGACAGTCTGCCTTAAAAGCTCGCAAAATCTTACACGAGAGGACACACTAGTGCCATCTTTTGGGATGGTACATGCATTCGATCTTGCAAATACTGCAAAACTTTCGCTCTAGTTGAATGCAGTTCCAGGGCTCTCTTTTAAGAAGTAACAAGAGCCTGGTGATAAGCAAGCGCAATTGTTTGAACGGGCCTTACAGGGGTGAGGACGTGTCAAAAATAAAATGATAGCTATACTGCTAGGTTTCATTGTACTTTTTACGTATTTTAGCTAAATTTGTTTCGTAAATGGCACGATAGTTTCGTTACTACGTCGCTGTATATGCGGGACACTCAGATCCATCCGGTTCGGGAAGGCTGCCACGTCTGATGGGTCGAAAACGTACCTCAGCCGCCACACGGCGTCTCCTTGCACGCACTGGCAGACTTGACTTTCTCGGCACGTCGCGCTTCAGATTCTGCTTTTGGCACTGATCGCGGCAGCGATGGGAGTGATTGTTGTCGAGAGATATTGGAAGCTGGTCGTTTCGACTTCAACGCGCTGACGACCAGCAATAACAATGAGATTGCCATGGACAAACTTCCCATTGTCTGCGACGATCTCACGTGCATGCTCTGCTGATGGGGAAGGAGGCAAGAGCGAGAGTAGCATTAGAGTAGTGCGAAAGTGTGCAATCGTTGCGTAACAATCATGGGGGTGCTTAGAATGAGAGCGTTCAACTATACATCATGACCACGTGGTTTATGGACACCATGGTGCGACTAATTTGGGCAGTGTTGCCCGGTTGCCGGATGAAAATGATTGACGGTAGTAAATTGATTATTGCAATTACTGGAGCTCTAACACTTGCAAAACTTGGTGTATATACTAAGTAGCCTACGAGCGTTCCATTTCAAGAATAATCTACCCGTTTAACTTTCACGTCCCTACCCCTTAACCATTTTGGACGAGGTTAGCTCGTCCACCTAGAGTCGTCCCCAACCCTTTAGGACGAGCGTAGCAGACTTGTACGTAATCCGTTACAAGTAACGAAATTACTTGTAATCCGTTAGATTTATCAGTAATTTAGTAACGGAATAGTTACATATTTTCTAGAGTAATTTTAAAGTAATTCCCTTACATTTTTCACGTAACGGATTCCTTGTAATCCGTTACATTTTCTTTTTTCAGGACCAACCCCCCCCCCCCCCCCCCCCCCTTTCTAAAGAAAGGGTTGTTTTTATTTTGGTAAAGTCGAGCGCAGTGACACTGCAAAGAAAGGCTTGGCACTCTTCAGTTCCGCAAAGCCTTTTTCTTGCAACACCAAGCCCCCGAATAGTTTTTTTTCCTTTAGACCCTAACCACAATGTAAAAAAAGAAAAAACATTTCTACAAAAAAAAAAAAAAAAAAAAAAAAAAGAGGGGGGGGGGGGGGGGCAAGTTATATCTGCTTTTTTTAGTCCCTTTGTTTTGTCTTTGCGATTAAAGACTGGGAGAGGAGGACACCAAGTGATTGTGTGCCTCTGCGAGATGCTCGAGGTGGTAAGTGCACAGACAAGAATTAACAATGCCCTTCTCGGTTATAGTGACTACGACCATTTTCATAATGCGGCCGGTGGTATAAATAAATAAATAAATGTCACAACACGAGACAACGCTCCGTCTACCCTAAAATCCGCTAAAATAGATGTGATAATATGTGAATGTGTTATTGCCACAAGCATCCTCGTTCGTTGTTGCACACTTATCATTTTCTCTTAAAAAACAGGATGTTATTTTTTTTCTGTTTCTTTCACCTTATTTAACCCTGGTTTAAAAGTTGCTTACTTTTTTGTGGTCGAACTTTTAGGGTTGGCCCACTTTATTTCTGAATTCCAGCCAGGTTATCTGCGTCTGTCACCCTTTTTGTGAGTCAGCTCTTTGCGAGCCTTTCGTGTTATTCCTGTTTTTACCCCAGCAGGACGCTTTCAATCGGATAGTTTTACAAATAAAACAATGGTGGCTGACGTAGGCTTGATATTCTGGGCTTGAGGAGGGGACCTGTGAGTGCGGCCATAGCGCCGCTTACTTACTCTGCCGTTCGCTGCCCGTGGCATCAGCGGACGTCTATCTGGAGAACACCGGAGTAATAAACTGCAGTCGGTTCGTGCTCCGTGCGTTTTGGAACGGCATCAAGAAAGGTACACACGGCAAACGTGCGTTTAAATTTCCCTGTTTTAACCGATGTTCTAATTAATTGCTGTTATGCGTGTCCTGTTCTTTTTTATTACTTATATTTATAAAGACTGGAAACTTTTTTTATTCACCAACGTCTCACCCGAGGCTCAACCTGTTTAGAACCAAAGGAAGAAGGATATCGAGCCAAACGTTATTTATTATTTAATTATCACCTTACTGTTACGGCTGTTCTGCTACTGTCTGGTAATAAATGCCGGTATAGTGAGATGGACATAAATCAGTTATTATTCTAATTTTGGCTAGATGCATGATGACTTTTATAGCTTCGCGATTTTGACAATACAAAATTTGCACATGCATCGTATTGTTGTTGGGGGTACCGGAGGCATCGGAACGATCTACTAAAACTCTCAAATATCAGGCAACAGCTGCAACGAGGAAGCTTTGCTCTATCTTTGAGGTAAATAGTACTTGCACTGTTTCGCTGAAGAAGCTCAAAGCAGAGTATAAAACATTCGTGAGGAAAAATAGGGCACTCTCATCCAGTGCCTCAGTTCAAAACGTGCTCAGAGTAGCAGTCGACATCTTCAGTAAGAAATAACGCAAACTGTCTGACCAGACTTTCGAGAGCCAGCTGTTGCTAAAAATACTCAAGGTCATTAAATGGAACAGGTTGCACCAATAAGAACTTGAATAACCGTCTTCCCTTTGTTTCCTAATTGAAGACAATATTGTTGAAAGTAACGCCACGAAAGTAACGGATTACTTTTTGGGGTAACGGTCACTTACTTTTATGGGAGGGTAATTGTAATTGTAATAAATTACAATTTAGCCTTCAGTAATTGTAAATGTAATTCCTTACTATTTTTCAGTAACGTGTACAAGTCTGGAGCGTAGCCCGTCTACGCACCTTCGCTTGCCGTTTGGCTGTTTTGGAGAACCCAGGCTTGCTAAGAGCTTAGTTTGCGGCGCTGCCTAGAGATGGCAGCACGTTTCTTTTTATTGTACACACTTTAAAAAAGGGCAACTGGCAGTGGAGACGCCTTCCACTCCGGACACGCGTGAAATAAGAAATTTAAAAAAAGCAGTTTAGTGTAGAAAAATTTTCCAAAATAAAAAGGTTAAGCAGGGTATCTATCGACCGGAAATTGTCAGGAAAATTTTAATTACTGGAAGAAATCGGGAAATTGTCAGTGATATTGTCAAAAAGTGAGCCCAGTCAGGAAAAATGAGCTGGAAACACCATTGAGTGCCTCGAATGAAGACTTGAGGACTTGGGGGCTGAAAAATAGGCAATAAGTTGTGCTTAGAGCGGAGCGCAGGCTCTGCTCACCCGACGTAGGGTGTGCTACCTGATGCAAAGGGAACAGCCGACAAATTTTAGTCCAAGCCTTGGATTGAATTGGACTGAGGGTGCGACACTAGGCTAGATCCAGTTGGAGCTACTAGATTGATAAGCTAGAGCGATAGTGACAAAACACAGGGAGAAACAGAGACATACACACCGCTGTGTATGTCTCTGTTTCTCCCTGTCTGTGTTTTGTCACTATCGCTCTAGCTGACCATTTACCTAAATTATGTACCAACTAGCTCAACTTCAGCCTGTTACTAGATTGAGTAACAAATGGAAAAGCCGCAGACCCCAATCCAATCCAAGCCAAAAGCATATTTTCGGAAGTGGCCTCTTCACTGACGATGTCGGCGGCAAGAAAGTGCTCGTTTAATCCGGAGTGGACGAACCCGAATATTTCGGAATATGCAAGTTGGATTAAGCCCGTGCAAAATGATCCACACAGTGCTCGATGCATTGTGTTGTAATGGTCTCGTATATTTAACCGCCTCTGCTGTGGTCGGAAAATTTTACCTGAAATTGTCGGGGAAACCCTGGAAAAGTCGCAGAATTTCAAAATAATTTGCTAGACACCCTGTTAAGGGCGTTGCAAGTTGTGCTCGATTCGTTGAACAGTCAAGTTGGAACAACTCGGGGGTGGCGGACTAAACGCTTTGTCCTCCGTTGCGTCCCAGGAGCGTGTGGGCCGGCGCTGCAAGGCCCTGCGGGTGCTCAACTCGTACTGGGTGGCCCAGGACTCGACGTTCAAGTACTTTGAGGTGATCCTGGTGGACCCGTTCCACAAGGCGGTGCGCCGGGACCCCAAGGCCAACTGGATCTGCGAGGCGGTGCACAAGCACCGGGAGCTGCGGGGCCTCACCTCGGCCGGCCGCAAGTCGAGGGGCCTGGGCAAGGGGCACCGCTACACCAAGACGGTGGGCGGGTCCCGCAGGGCCTGCTGGAAGCGCAGGAACACGCTGCAGCTCAGGCGCAAGCGTTAATAAACGGGGCTGCCTCCGTCTTCGCAGGTGTCTGTCGGGATCTCTCTTTATCCTTGTGTTCTCCAAACGGCGACATTTTACAGAATCGTAACGCCCCACCAAAAGCCTATATGAGACGCCGAATGGTTGTCGAAGGTAGGAAGCTTGTGCTGTGGAGGCAGCATGAGTTTCCTCACCTGGTCAGTGAACGAAACATAAGGGTGCAGGTGAGCTGGTGTATACCGACCACCTTGAACCAACTTGAGACTGAGGAAATACAAAAGGAAACCATGAGAAGGAGAACGTCTGAAACGCAAGAGATGATCTCCTCTTCTCCTGGCCTTTCGTATTTCTTTAATCTCGGGTTGCTTCAAAATGGCTAGTGACCATAGTGTTTGCCCCTGTTCCTACCAAGTTTAGAAAAGTTTTGCTGTAAATTCAGGCGTATTGCCATTCTGATTTACTCGCAGAGGCTTAGATTACCTGTGCTCGAGTTTGAGGTATCCAACAGCTAGCTGCACACACTGAACCACGTCGTCCTTTTAAATAAATGCATACAGTGGCGTGTGGCCTTATGTAGCCGGTTCTGTAGTAGGCAAAATAGGGGTGTGGAGCATCCACCAATGCTTTTGGAGCAGATGCCAACATCTGTTAGCCCATTGCTTGAAGATTGAAGTGATTGCATCGCTAAATGAGTTCATCGGCTGACTTGAGAGGCCACACGGCTGTGCTCAGCGTGGCGCAGCTTTACGTAAGCGCATACTCAATCGTCCGTCATTGAAACATGGCCCACTACGCCACAAAACTAAGGGAGCAGAAGAATGGCATTCATGCTTTCGCATTCACAACTCGTAAGAAGTGCTGAGGTTTCCTCAAATTTTTTTTTTTTTTTTGGCGCAGATTTTTAAAATTGGAGATTAGCCTACCACCAAAATCAAATAAGGTAGACCTGGAATCGGGTGGATTTACGAGTCAGGCCAGGGAAGGCGAAGAAGGGGGGGGAGGGAGTCTGCCGAGATAGAGGTTACGGTTAGGGATGCCGCGAACTTTTTTGGAATCAAAGTTTTGATGATCGAATCAAGCAGTTCGAAAGCTTTAGAATTTTCTACATTGTAAAATTCGACGGAAGTCGAATTTTCGAACTTGTTAAGCTAAGAAGTTCGACGTTTTTCGAACCGTCAAACTTATTACGCAAAAAAATTCTATCCTTTTCGAAAGGAAGGATGACGGGTTTTTGACAATTATCGTTTGTGCCAGATTTGAAGCGCAATATAGCTGAAGCTATTTATGGTAGAGACTTTTTAAGAGTGATCTATGTATAGCCTAGGTAAGTGTCTTAAGATGTGATTATTGTTATTCAAGGTGAGTTTCGAAGAAATGTTTAAGCATGTATCTACATGCAATTATGCCCTAAACTTTGTATTTATTTTCGTCTAAGTTGTTCGAGGTATCGCATTTGAATTAACACCACAGACAGTACATATTATTGCCATCTGCAGAATACAAAACAATTTATTTATTGCTTTTTCACGTTGAGCAGGGGTGGAACGGCTGCGCCATTTGCGCCATTTTGCGCCAGACGCATTTGTCTGCGCCATCCTGCGCCATTTCGCGGAAACTGCGCCACAGCCAATACCTTGCGCCATTATGCACCAAATTGCACAACGTGCGCCAAAAACAAAAAGTATTTTGTCTTGGTTTCGGTTCCTATCGACTCGATTGGAAACAATTAGCCCGTTTAGCTTGGTCGGCCTTGCAATCCTTTGTTCTGTTTATTCTCCCTGTGTATCCCGAGTCGGAAGCGCGCGAAAAAACTCGGGGATCGGATTCGAATCGCTACACCTGCGACTCGACGGTTATTCTTCAACCATAAGTCGACCGAGGTGAGGTCGAGTCGTTAAGCGTCAGATTGCCTGAGGCTCTGCAGCCCGGGATCCGGACGTCAGCCAATTGAAAACAAATGAGCAAAATACTCCTTTTAGTACTTCATCGTTAGAAGTTGAAACCGCATTCCCGCAAGATAATTGCGATTTGATAGAACTGAAACGCGGTCCGATCCGGAACCTTGCCTGCCGGCTGCTGTCACGCGAGTGGTAGATCTGCTCGGCGTACTTTAACCTTGCTCCCGCTAATCGCTTTGAATACGATAACTCCGTCAATTGTAGTCTGCTGCTTCGATATTGAGTTACACAATAGGATAAACTCTAAATGTGTTGCCCTGTTCCCCCACGCAACTGCACGTCCGTTGCTTACGCACGTCACGTGGTTCGTACATATAATTACTCTGTCGAGCACGTGTGGGTTCTGCGATAAGCAGTGCTGATTTGCATTTTGAGCAGCTGAAAGCCACTCAGAAAGTATCGAGGACACCATCTTCAGAAACATATGGTACTTGCTTTTTGATTCTCATTAAGGCTTACAAAGTTTCAAGTTTTGGCATCTGTTACACTGTTATCCCATTACCTAGGTCCCTAACCACTCATGTTCATCTGTGCTGCTAAGCACAATTGAAATTGCTCCCGTGCTCGTCTAAGACACAAGCTGAAGTGCAGTGAAAACTGATCTGAGCTGCTCCTAGCCTGCTCCAGAATGTAGTTTTAGCTGCTCCCAACCTGCTCCAAAACAGCGGTTTCAGCTGCTCCCGTGGCTGCTCCCAAATACATTTCATGAGTTCCACCCCTGACGTTGAGGAATAAATTCATGGGAGAAGATTTCTAATATTGTTGAAGTTCAGCACGTCATTAAAAGAAAACTTTTTTTTTTCACTTCACGTTCCTGGGACGTGTTTCTTTTAGCCTGTACACATTTTGGTAGGAGAAAGTTGTTTGGAAGCTCTGAACCTCTGAATATGCAAGAATACAACACTTCCGGCGAGTTCTTGATAGTTTTTTTTTCTCCAGCTTTTTATCCCCGCATTTATTAATGTTTCTTTCTTTTATTTTTTTTAACCATTGGCACAGTTATTTAGGTCGTAAAGACATAGCTTTGAACTTCCGAACCACTAAGCATGTGACGAGTAGTGCCTTCTAACAACGAGTTTCTAACAATGACCATCTACGCAATCTTTTATGCAGTGAAGAGTGACAGTAGCTATACATATGCATAAATAATTTCAGATTAAAATAAGCTCGACCACGCCCTCTTTTTCCGTGTGGTTTTTTTAACAGTCCGAAATATCTGGAAGGGGGAGGGGGGCTGAAGGCCCCCCCTTCCCCCCCGTTCTTCCTCTTCCGATACTTGTATGGTAGAACACTCCTCGACCTCTAGTTGTGTCGGCTTCTGTGCTTTTTGCGAGGCGATTCCTCCGTCCCAGAAAATAAACTTCGAGGACAATTACAAACGGAACTTACTATATGCCAGCGTCACCCTGGCCGTTTCGAACTGGATGAGTATCGTAAAACAGTGTTTTCGTGTGATCACTACTGCGTGATGCAAGTTAAAGACCTCCCCCTCAGGCTGGCGGTCACAATTACTGATCTATGGTCACACGTCACACTGCACTGGCAAATATTCCAGCACATCCGGGACACTCATCGTCTTATTTAATTGCCTGAACAACTTTGCAGAGTCTAGATATCACACCCTAACTTTTCTAAACTTGATTTCGTGAAAACCAGTGAGTCGTGAAAACATTATTTGAAACAAACTGTCGAAACCTTCGAAGAATCGAAACCTTCAAACTTTTCTAACTTCATGCAGAAAGAAATTCGAAATCTTCGAATTGTTCGAACTTCATGTCTATAAAAATTCAAAGTTTTAGAATTTTATTTCCAGATAATTAAAATAATTCCAGATAATTAAAGAAATTAAAAATTTTCGAATATCTCGAATTTCAAGTTAGGAAAGTTTGAAATCTTTGAATTTGTCGAACCTAAAGTACAAAAATATTCGAACCCGAAATTTTAGAAACCGTGAAAGCTCCACTGTGATCGAAAGTTGCTAATTTTTCGAATTCGAACCTCGGTCGGTACAAACATATAGAAATTTTTCTAAATCGAACCTCGGTTCGCTTCGCAAATATCGAAACCTTTCGAAATCGAACCTAGGGTGGTTCGCAACATCCCTAGTTACGGTCCAAACCTTTCCCAGATCTTTTTTGTTGACCCAATATTTGCTGTCACCAAAATCTAAACTTTTGGCTGGTGCGTATCAATGATTTCATTAAAGCAAAGTTAACTTCGGGGAGTTTAGAGAATAGCGGTCGCCCCCACCCCCCCCCCCCCCCCCCAAAAGAGGCCCCTGCCCCTGCCTGGAATAGTGCTGAGCCTATTGCTCTAACCCATGTCATCCGCTGCACCTAGCACTCGGGTGCAAAGCGGTGAAGCTCGACTCGCGCGCTGGTGAGAGGCGGCACGGAGGCATGCGGCGGACATTATAATTAAGTGATCTCGTGAGAAGTACAAGACCCTGGCTTTGTGTTATCACAGTGGCCACCATCCTACGATTTGGCAATGTTTTGTCGTAACTTTCAGCTCCTCACATCGTTGCATCATCTGGACATTTCGACTGTTGGCAATCAATCCGCCAGCGCATCAGACAACCAGCGCGGTTGACATACAATTACGAGCCAGTGGGACCAACCAGCGTCAACGTGCAACATCGTGGCATTTGTTTGTCTTCCTGTGCGCGATCTTGTGCTTTTAGTATGTGTTCGAGCATTCGACTGTGAGTAGAGACGCTCTGAAATACATTTGTACCATTTTTTTTCTTCTTCCTACTTAAAATATTAGAGTAGATCAATGTACATATTCCTGGTGTTTCAGCGAAGACTGACAAAATTTCTTAAATTTATCATGTTCCAGGGAAAAAGATAATTTTCTCTCAACCACATCACTCGTGGTGGCAGACGTCAAGAAATCTGTGATACTCACTATAACTCTGCGACAACTTTTCTTGGCAATGCAGTGGAAGGTACAGAACCGCGTCCCCTCTCCCATTCTGAGTGTAGGCAGGCTCTCCTCCTCCCCCATTTCCGGGGAGAGGAGGAGAGCCCGCGTACACTCAAAATGGGAGAGGGGACGCGGGACGTACCTTCCACTGCATTGCCAAAAAAAGTTGTCGCGGAGTATAATTAGTTTGCTAATTAATTGAAATGACAATTAACTTTTTAATGAGTGAAAATAGACATGCAGTTCCAATTAGAAACTTGCTGAGTGTGATTGAAAACCACTACATCAGTAATTTTCAGAAAGACATTGAGCATGTAGGAAGCGTAGTAGCGTGCTAAAGGTGCCACTGGTGGAGCAGGTACAAGGCTGGGGCTTTGATAAGATACTGAAAAATCTCGCGGGCGGCTATAGTCGCAACCGCGTGCCTGTACCTGCTCCACGACTGGTAACTTTAGTGCACTACTCGCACACTTAGTTTCTGAAAATTATTAGTTTTTGATGACGCTCGGCAAATGTATAATTAAAACCATGTCTATTTCCCCTAATTAATATTAATTTAGTCCTAATTAATTAGCGAACTAATGAGTAAGTCTCGCAAATTTCCTGACGTCCGCCACGAGTAATGCGGTCCCAACAAAATTATCTTTTAAACCTTGAAAAAAAAAAAATTGGGTTGTGTGTGTGTTTATACAGCCTAGAACTTGGTCCGCCTCAACGGGCAACGAGTCTCCCAGTTGTAGATGAGCAATTTAGTCAGTGCAGTATGACCGCTAGCCTGCGGTCTTCAACGTGCACCACACTGCACGCCGGTACTGCTCATCCAGATCGAAACTGGCAGGGGTGGTACACTAATGTTAGGGTCAGTTTTCGCTGAAATACCCAGTATATATACAGTAGATACCGCAAAGTTCGGAGAACGCCCGCCCCCGAGAGATCGCCCATCCTGTTTTTATGGCTAAATATCTAACAAAAATTCCGAAACATCGCCCACCCCCAATTCCCGTCGGGCGTCACGTGATGCCCGACAGGAATCTCATGAACCGCGCAATTTGCTGTATCGGCACGTCTGACAAGCGAGTTCATGACGGTTTCCCGCGTTTATGTGGAGTTGTTCTTGCGTGTATATGTTGCACAGTTAAATGCGAATCTGCTGTGTCCGCAATCTGCGGCATCCGTTCCTGTGAAAATGTTTGGAACGGATGTCCGCGTTTTTGACTGCGATCTCGATTCCGCACGCGTGTATACTGCATCGTGAAATACGATTCTGCTGCTTTCATCATATTTGTTCCCGTAACATACGAGTTTATAGCGGATGCCCGCATTTCTGTTCACAATCTGCACACGATATCGGTTTCCGGCCGTGATAGGCAAGTTTGTAGCGAGTTCCTGCGTGTTTATTGCACCATAAAACTTGAGTCTGCTGCGTCTGCAATTTGCGGTATTCACACCCTGACAGGTGACTCTGCTACGTCTGGCAACCTGCGGTATCCTTTCCCGCGAGTTTATTATATCGTGAAACGCGGATTTGCGGTATCCGCGATATCAGTTCCCGCGCCACGTGATTTGTATATTGCCGGTGCCAGGGTGTTTATCATCAATTTTTGATAAAGTTTTGCTGTGGCATCCTCAAAAGTAGCCCACCAAATGTTCTTCGCCGTTTATCTCTTCATTTTGGGTGGGCGTTCTTTCGGAACTTTACGGTATATATATATATATATATATTTTTTTTTGTGTGTGTGTGCCTAATTTGGCGCGGGTGTGGCGCAATTCTTAGCAGAAATGGCACTTTGTGCAAGATGTAGCTGCAGACTTTCTTTCATGGTGCCAAAGGCAGAGCACTTCCATCAATACTTTCTTTTTCTTTTAATAATGCTAATAACTTTAAATGGTGCAACGACCAGCACAATGCTCTTGATTGTAACTTGCTTTTCGGGTTAGATGACCTGTGCTCCAGTGGTGTATCCAAGAATTTTTTTCAGGGGGGGCCCTAGGTGGGGAAAGGGGGGGGGGGATGAAGCCCCATGAGCCTCCCCACTGGCTACGCCATTGCCGTGCTCAAGTTCAGGGTGTACGGTGGCATCACTTGACTAAGCCTCGAACAAGCTGCGCTCTGGTTATGGTCCCCAATAAGGCGAGATCAGCGGGGCCTCTCCCTCCAACGTCCTGCCTCCAGCTCGTTGCCTTTCGCTGCAGGAGTATCTCGCGGGACGCCTAAGCGTTGTCGGATGTAGAACACTCACCCTGGGAGAAGGACGACCGAGACTTCTCTTGGCCGTTCTGTCCGTGACTATGGTACCGTCTTCTGGCATCTCGTTTGTCTGAGCCTGCACTCGTTCAGCGAGACTCGCAGCACGTGGCCCTTACGGGCCATGGTCAAGTGCAAACTTGGAGCAAGTTTCAACAAGCTGTAGATGTTTTTGGGTACTGCAGTGTGAACATGCCCCGTCTGGCCTTCCGCAACAACGGGATGGGAATGGAATTGAGTGGGAATAGAATGTGCTCTCTTCTTTGTGAGCTGTGCCAATGTGGTCGAAGGGACTTTTGGAACAGCATCATTGCACTTTAGGTAATTGATGGCTTGGTTATCTGACCGGCTTGTGTTCCTTCGAGGATGAGAGTGGCACCCACACTGAAGCAACCTAAACTGTAAAGTTGTACGCAGACAAGGTCTTGTTCCTGGCACCACGAGACGGGACAATGTGACTAGTGTGGCCATGTGCGCTACAGCACCAGACATGGGCCACCAGGCAGGAACAATGACACACCGCCCACATTTCTTAGATGCACGACTCCTCACTCGCCATATATTTTTTAGAAGTGGCAGATATATACGGTCCTTTTGTGCAGAATATGGGTGGTTGGAAGTTATGCCATCTGCTACGAGCTTTTATGCTTGGTCGCACTATCAATATCTGCAGTGCCACCAGCGCTATGTGCAACCACCGCTCGGCCTAGAAGAATAAATGCTTTCGGGACGTGTTTTGCATATTTTTGCAGTTGTCTATGTGTTTGATAACTCAGCTTTATACTGACGTTACTTGCCGGCAACCTAATGTAGCTTTCAAGTGCTACGGTTAGGAATTAGATGAACGGAATGAACCCAGTGTTAACATTTCTGAGAGTTCAAAACAATAGAACTATTAGAAAATCCAATTCTCTGGAATGGAATGAGGGTGCTTATTCTGCATCACTGCTTCAGATGGCGTGAAGCGACATAACTCCGACATATGATGTATGCTGGTACGCTTTTGTCAGTTTTTTTTGGTGGGGGGAAAGCTTCCCACTGCTTCTGTCATTGACAAATACCTGGAGCTAAAGCCGTATATGTAGAGAGTTTGGCCATTCATTGGGAAGTATAGGAGACAAATGAGGAGGCGCCATTGGCCGAAAGCGGGCTGGGCGTGTTCCAGGGCGTCTTCAGAAATTCGAATGTGGCCAACCAGAAGCCGGAATTAAAAACCTAGCGGTGGTCGCGAGAAACAAACCTGATAACTGCGTCGGAGTGACTCTCCGTGACTGAAAATATGGTGCACGTGATGTTTCAATTAGGCTCATTCAAAATGATGGTGGAAGAGTGCGACTAGCGAAACGATCGACATAATCCTTACGCCAAGGGCCGGGAATCTGCCGTCCGAGCGGTCACACTCTGTCCGAGCAAAACAGAGTTGAGCGGCGCATTTGTTTCTTGCATCTTTCTGCATGATCATGATCAAAACGACATGTGCACCCTATTTTCAACCACCAAGAGTTACTACACTTCACTGTTACGCGCTTATTAAAACCATATGCGAACATATACCTTTGATCAGAAATGTTTCTCGCTACCACCACTAAGGGATTCATTTCGGTTTCTGGTTGGTCAAGAGAGCATGCCAAGCCCTCTTTCCGAGTCTGGCGCACACCCTGGCTTTGCCCGCGCCTCCCATTGACCAAACTCTCTGTATACATGGCTCTGCCTGGAGTGTGCTCTTCACGTGGGTGCGGACAGCCTCTCGCACGCCCTGCTGGCTATCGGTCAAGGCCTCCGCTGCTGTTCAAGTCCGAGTCTCCCGAAAACAGGAAAGGGAAGGATAAGAGGGTGAAGCCCCTTCGCGTGAGCCGATTCCGAACGGCCAGACCACGTCCAGGCTATAAACGAATAGCCGGACAGCAACTTTTGCTTTATATGGCCGCAAAGCGTCGCTTTATGCCACTTGAAGTGTCCTGTTTAGACGGGCCTTCAGCCAAACCTACTGACTCAACCAACTTTCTTAACTTTTTATTGCCGATTCGTAGCTGAGGCCTGCCGGTCAAAGAGGCCCTGTGCCAAGAAGTCCGTCTGCCACTCGGCCTCTTGAAGTTCTCTGCGGAGCGAGACGTAACGTTCCGGCTGGTCTGCCAGTGCGGTGGCGAGGCGTGCCTCCTCGCGAAGTGCGCTTGCGAGACGTTCGTCCTCTTCCCGGCTGGAACAAGGGGTCCAGCCGACGTCCCCCGGAAACCGGCACACAAGGCGGCGCTTCAGGAGCTCGTGCTGTGCGGCATCCCTGCGGAGAAAACCACCGTACCACTGAAGGTCGTAAGACACGAAGCCACGGTGTGGAGCAAAGGTCCGCTCCATCCTTGGCGTGGTTAGTGTACTCGTAACTAGGAGCCGCTGGAGCAAACGTTGCGACGATTGAAGCCTCGATGTATTCTGATGAATGGAATGCATCAGGTGCATCCAGAAAGCAAGCCGGTGCAGGCAAGGTGAAGTATTTCTCTCGCTGCACCACCGAGAAACTGGCTCGAAATAAAGAAACCGGTCTTGCGCAAACATTCCAATAGTAGTTTCGAATAAAACGCTATTCAATATTCGTTTCGAGATGAACTGCAATATTTACACTTTTCGAGGTCCTGATTGTGGTGAGTTAGCCCCATAGAGTGTGCATCTCAGCAGTCACCTGGCACTGGGGGAAAGCAATATTTGCAGAGCTCACGGGTATTGCTTCTCAGCAATACACAGATGCTTGATGAGAAGTGCGCTAGACGGGGCCAATCCGCCGTGATTATGCCGGAGAAAAATATTCGGTAAAAAGCACTATTCACTTTGAACCCCAAAAACAACTATTCGTTCGTGACTAAAAAGCCTTTTGCAACTTCCCCCCTTCCAAACTTTATTTATTAGACCGAAGCAATAGGGTATGCTGTGGAGACACCACCCAAATAAGGAATCACGAGAGAGTCGCTATCTGTGAAGAAAGCAGTCGCCTAAAAACCCGGTGACCCAACGTGACCTCAAAGATTGGGAGCCGCAAGAGCCACTATACTCGCGGTCAGCTTTCTGTGGCAATACAGTCAATGCTAGGGGAGAGGGGGTACCAACCGCCCTGCACGTGCTTTCCTCCTCTCTTTGGATTGCCACAGAAAGCTGACCGCGAGTATAGGATTGTTTCACTTCCCACAACTATAAGGGCTTCGAGCTTCCTTTGAATTCTGGGTTCTTAAACTGGGTTCCTGGGAACTCGGGGCTGTGCCAAAGCACCCTCAGGGGTTCCACGAGCTCCCAAATTTCCTAGACAGTCTCCTCCCCCGTGTAAAGCGTTTTTTTTTTTTTCTATTTAAATTTTATTTGCTTTACAACGAAACCGCCCAATCTCATAATTTCTTACACCCGTCCGTCCGTGCATTTCCCACTAAATTTAGCGGGAAAATGATGCCACGTGACCCATACACCAACTCGGTTTCCAGGCTAAATCTGGCGGAAAAATTGATGTCATGTGACTTATACCCCCCCCCCCCCCCCCCCCCCCCCCCAATTTCATTTCCCTACTATACTTGGCAAGGAAATCAACGCCATGTGACGCAGGCATGCAGCCAGGATTTCATTTCGGGGGGGCCCACCCATGACAAAGTGCTGTATGAGGGGGAGGGGGGAGAGGAGGTCCCAGCAAAATGGAAGATTTTTGGGGGGGGGGGGGGGGGGGGGGGGGGCCGGGCCCCATGGGCCCCCCTAACTATGTGCCTGATGTGACGTATGCGCAGAGTTTTTCCCTCAATGTACCGGGAAAATCGATAAACATAAAGGCTCTTTAACCCCTGAAGTGACAGTTTAATGTCTCCTAAATAGTAACTTTAAACCTTAAATATTGCATTTGATGCATTATGCGGTTTTAGAGATAAAGTTTGCTATCAATCCTTTTAGATCTGAGTCGCCCACTGATGCACAATGAGTCAATCACTCTTTTAGTATGGAAATATGTTGGGAAGTTAATGGTACATGTTAATGGTAAAAAATAAACGGCGTAAAAAAAGAAAACAATTTTTGGCGCTGTTTATTTTTTTATTGTTCACCCTAGTATGGGGAAGTTTGGTTTAGAGGCCCTGTAGGCTTCTGTTTCATTGTATCATTGATGAGATGGGAAAGGTTCCACGGCAGTCAATCGAAAGAGACTGGGGGAGTTCCTCGAGAAAAAAATCTTTGACAACCCAGGCTTTAAATCAATGTGCATACATTCAGTGTTTCCATTGTTTTTCTGGGGAAAAATGAAGACTGGGTCGCCAGTCTTTCTTTTCTTGTTTTTTTTCTTACCGATTGCTAGATTGGGTTTTTGCGAAAATCTAAACATGCTGATATGCCTTGTTGGTAGAAATACCAACAAGTGGCAGATGGTGCCTTGGTTTTCTTCATCTTCCCTGCAGCAATGTACTATCGGGGAAAAATGAAATGCGAACAGAGGAGCGCGTGGCTCGCGGTACAGGCTGCGCCACCTGGAAGTGAGCCTAAGAGCGAGGGTGCGTGGCCTACTCCGACGTGTTCACGCCTCTCCCTCTGCGCTCCCCAAGCTTCAGCAGTGCGCCTCTTAGTGCGCTGGAAGCTATCACCGCTATCTTTGCTGGCTCAGCGCGAGCGGTGCAAACAACCTCGCTGCACTCGCCGAGCAGGCAAAGATAGCGGTGACGGCTTTCAGCGCACTGAGAGGCTCACTGCCGAAGCTGGGCGGGCGCCAATCTAGGGCGTGAACACATCGAAGTAGGCCACGCACCCTCGCCCCTAGGTTCACTTTCAGGCGGCGCAGCCTGTACCGCGAGCCACGCGCTCCTCTGTTCGCATTTCATTTTTCCCCGATAGTACCTAGCCAAGACGTGGCAGTTTGTCTCTTGCAGTAACCAAATGAGGACAAACAAACTTACTCTGCATAAAGAGAGAGGCAGAGGGCCCCACTTTGTTCTTCGAAGAGATCCGCACTCGCACGAAGGAGCGGCGAAAAAGCCTCGCAGCAGACGTACAGCCCAGGTGCCACTCGGTCAAACAGTCCCAGCAGCAATTCGTTCGCGGTTGCCACGGGCACACTGTCCAGCCGGAAGCATCGGACCTCCTGAGCAGCACGCTGGGAGGCCACCACTTCTTTAGCAACTTGCACACCAGTCGTTCGCGGATCTTGAAGGTTGACAGTTCGCACTTCGTCGAGTACGATGGTCTGATGATGGCGCAAAGGGCCCGCCACCAGCGCCACCCGAAGCGTGGGCTCGGCGGGCAAGCGGCAGGACGAGGCAATGGTGACACGTTTGGGGTCCATGCTCGCTCGAACGCCAAAGGTTATGCCGGGGCTCGCCAAAAATGTTGGCGGCTGAGTGCGCCTGCAAACCGAATGATGGGAAAACGATGACCATCCGGTTGGTCAGAGGTTCACGGTAATTTCCTTCAAATTACTCAAATGTGTTCACCTTAGGATTTCACCAATGAATCTGACACTACCTCTACGCAGCTGTCACTAGTCATCAGCACCGGGTATGATGATGACTACAGTCGCTGACAAGGTGAGGGCGGCAGGGTGTCCCTTTTAATTGCTCATCCGCATCATCATCATCATTCCTGGTACTACTGATGATGACATGCTTCAGCATCACGACAGTGGGACACATCTGACAACGCCTCTCTACGAAGCCATGACTAGCAACAGTCGTCCATATCATCATTCCTGGTACTGATGATGACATAAGTTAACCACTTTGGCACCAGGACATTGGAACTCACATGCTGAGAGGCCTTTGGAAGACCCATCCCAGCAGCAGTTGTGGACCCCAGATGTGAGCAAAGCTATGGAGCAGCATCACTGATTCGGATGCAGACGTCTCTTCTGGAAGTGGGCAGATGGGGGACGTCTGGCCCGATGGCAGGACAGGCACCAGATGGCCGCAGGCGTCCTGGAGCCTCGACTCTGCGATGCCTCCAAGCTGCCTGGCAGTGATGACCTCAACCGCTTCCTCAAGCAGGGCCTCGCACTGTGCCAGGGCTCGGCGAGTCTTATGCAAGGCAGCCTGTCCGGCCTGGTAACGGAGTAATGGAGCGGTCAGAACTGTCCACAGCGAGACCTTGTTCCAACAAATTAGTATGATGGCATTTGCCACCTACCTGTCCTCTATGTCCTGTTGCAGGTTAGGAAAAGCGGGACAAGCTACTCCCACAAAGCCTTCCACTGTTTCCGGTTCAACATAGCCAACGCCAGAAAGGAGGCAATGCCCTACTCACCTCGCCTCCTCCTCTCCGATGTTCGATCTGGTAAAGAGTGGAGGGCTTCGCAGCAGGAGCTTACCTTGCTTTTCTTAACCTGTAATCTGTAATTCGGCAAGTGAATACCAACAGCTGAATGATGATGCAGCGCTTCTATGACATCTCGCATGCCCCCGATACTCTCGGCTTCGCTCGGTCGCCGGTCTCGTCCAAGGAGTCGCCAGGAGATGTCATCTGCTTTTTCCGGGTTGAAACACACCGCCTGCTGGATACCGCAGCGGAGCAGGTCTCCGCACGCCACCGAGCATTCGGCTGGGAACCGATGCGACACCTGCACCAATCGCGATTGAATTCGAATTCACAAAATAGCTGCATCATGCTTATTGTTCTTTGCAGACAGACAAGTCTCACGGTGACCTCTCGGCCAATTGTAAAAGGGCACACTTGAGGTATGCGAGCGAGGGGTTAGTCGAAAAGCTGCTCGTCTTTGCAGTTTACCTGAAGTTGCTTGTCAGAGCTGAGCCCAAGCAAGGCCACACCGCCGGTGGAGGCCCACACGACCAAATAGCCTTCGCTGTCAGGCCGCAACCCGCAGATGATGCGCATGGAGTCTGTAAACGGAAGCTGACACCGATGAAGACAGCGGCCCCGCTCCAAAACTAGCAGCGTGCCAGAAGCTGTACACACTGCGGTCGTATTGTCCGTAAATGCTTCCTTCAGCTCACTCGCGCCCTTGACTTTGACTGCGGGCTCGGACGGGACGACGGTGCAGGCCCGCATTTGAGACTCTTCGTACAGGCTCCCCAGGAAAAGCACAGCAGGCAGGACCTCTGCTGCGCCGGCGACCGTAGCGGCGACAAAATGCAACCGCTGTTTCGCAGCCACAACGCACAGTATAGCGCGGACGTTCTCTGACGAGCTCGAGAAAAGCAACTCCACGCTGCAGCTCGCCAAAATCGTGTCGGCTGACGTCCCGTCCGGTAAAGTCGCCTGCAAAGACAATCCATCTGGATCAAAGGATGAACGCGCGAGTTCGAGTAAAAATCTGGAATACCCACTTGGTTCTAAAGAACGGAGCGACAGGGCTTTGGTCTCTGAGACCGCCAGGCTCGGGCCGTCGCCGATCGTCCAGGAGCGGTGGTTTGGATTCGCGATCTCCACCTCTGCCAGTGGATCGAAATGTCGGGATCCCACGTCGTATCGAAACGTCCTTACTCTGTCCCCGCAGTGTACGGCGAGAACTAACACGACAAGCCCGCTGTTCCAGTCGCCTACGGTGTCGAGTTGACAGTTCGATGCGCCTTTCAGGTTGCGAAGTCGACTTGTACTCACAACATCAACACCACACGTGCCGTGCGACTCCGTGGAGTCGTTCAGCTGCAAGATCCTGCGCACACGGACATCGCAGAGTTCCTTTTTGGTCCTAAGGTTCACCGTGAACAGTTCACCACAGAACACGCGGCTGCACAAAACCTGTACCATTTTAATTTTTAAATGGCTGCTCGAAAAACGCGCGAACAAACACGAACAAACGTGGAACAAACTTTCCGCGCGAAAAAGACACTCCTTGATATGGCGCTGCGGTCGCTACCGATCATTCATAAACGTTGAATTTTGTTCACTTTTAAGCTAATGTTTAGAGCGCTTGTTGCGTGCTATAATTAATTAATTTGCACTTAACGCATTTTTAAAGCCCCTGATTGCTTATGCTTGAGGTTAGATTAATTAAATTGTACCGCGGATGCATCGAATGTCGGTAGATGTCGGCGTGTTGGCTCTGCATTCGGTCATCCGTGCTACAAAAATTAGCTTGTGTTAATAATTAATAATTTGCCTCGACCACGGCCCCGCACGTAAGTCTGCTGTTTCGCAGCGGCCTTTCCCGCCTCTGTTTTCGTGGACATACCGTCGCAGTGCAAACTTTTATTTCATTAGAAAACGTGAGGGCTCACGCCCCAGCGCCTTGACTTTCGCAAGAATTCACCAACGGTCCATTTCCTGTCATTTTTTTTTTTTTTTTTAATCTTCGACGATGAACTTTAGCTGCCCTTTCAAACCGTTCGAGACGTGTTGTCGGCGACGACGAGTATGATTATCACTCTGTATCCCATTTTATCCTTTCCCTCAACAGAAACATCGATTTCCTGGGACTTTCGCGTCAAGAATGAACTCGGGCGGCATCACGGGAACGCCTCTCTCAGGTAATTTTATTTTTGTGCGATATGGCGGTAGAACAATAGCTCCCAGTAGAGTCCGTCCAAGTCCAGTAGTTTCCTCAGTTCTCTAGGGCTGCAAGATTTGCTTCACCTTTTTGATGCCCGCATGCGGTGCACCACTGCATACGGAAGACGGATCATCCGTGGTCGAAGCCTTCTTGGGAAAATTAGTCGGTTAAAAGGAGACAGACAACCGTTCTCGACCTGGACATTGCCGTGGTAGAGCCAGTTGGCTCCTACACTTTTCCGAACTCGAGTTTCGTCCCTTGGTCACGTCTTTTTTGCGTCCGCCCTACGGTACTCCTCGAGCTTCTTTTCAGTGACCGGGAAGACTCGCAGCACCTCGTAGCTCTCTCTCCTGGTGCGTTCCACTCGACGGATATTTCGACGATGTGTGGGCCGCATAGACTTCTTTGACAAGATTGTACTTTACCTGGATATCATACTGCCGCAAGGTCAGGCGCAGCCTTTGCAGTCAGAGGTTCATTGGACTCTGGAAGACTGCCTTCAGATGTCACTTCCGCAAAAAAAAAAAGCCTCCTGAAAGGCTGCTTCCAGTGGCTTGTGGTCAGTTAAACTTGAATCCTTCCTCTGTAGATACAATCATGGAAATGCTTGTGCCCGTCGGTAATGGCAAAAAATATTTTTTTTAATCATTCATTATTGTGCATTTCACGAATGGGTAAAATAATTGCCCTTCACTAACTTATAGTCCAAGACACTTATCTTTTAATCTTTTTAGAACTTTACTTGTGCATGAATTTTTATTCACGTTCAACACGTTCCAGCACGACTTGCTCTAAGTGTATTGCATAGGAAATCAACGCTGCATAGATTTGATGACAGCTTCTTTCGTGCAAACTGTGTTATGTCTCTGTCTGGATCAGCACATCTGCCAAAAATGTGTAGAGTGATTGCTGCACCGTGCTACTGTGTATCGTGTAGTACAGGAGGTTTAGCCGTCGCCGTCTAATCCAGTTCGTTGTCAAGTTTGCACACTTTTTTGCGTGCACACAATTGTCAAACTTCACGTTAGAAGTTTGCAGAACTTGAACCCAGCCACACTCGAACCCGGCCACACTCGAACCCGGCCACACTCGAACCCGGCCACACTCGAACCCGGCCACACTCGAACCCGGCCACACTCGAACCCGGCCACCCTCGAACCCGGCCACCCTCGAACCCGGCCACCCTCGAACCCGGCCACCCTCGAACCCGGCCACCCTCGAACCCGGCCACCCTCGAACCCGGCCACCCTCGAACCCGGCCACCCTCGAACCCGGCCACCCTCGAACCCGGCCACCCTCGAACCCGGCCACCCTCGAACCCGGCCACCCTCGAACCCGGCCACCCTCGAACCCGGCCACCCTCGAACCCGGCCACCCTCGAACCCGGCCACCCTCGAACCCGGCCACCCTCGAACCCGGCCACCCTCGAACCCGGCCACACTCGAACCCGGCCACACTCGAACCCGGCCACACTCGAACCCGGCCACTCTCGAACCCGGCCACTCTCGAACCCGGCCACTCTCGAACCCGGCCACTCTCGAACCCGGCCACTCTCGAACCCGGCCACACTCGAACCCGGCCACTCTCGAACCCGGCCACTCTCGAACCCGGCCACTCTCGAACCCGGCCACTCTCGAACCCGGCCACTCTCGAACCCGGCCACTCTCGAACCCGGCCACTCTCGAACCCGGCCACTCTCGAACCCGGCCACTCTCGAACCCGGCCACACTCGAACCCGGCCACACTTGAAGCAATCCAGAACCGTGCAGCTTGATTAATTACATCAACATATTCTTATGACGTTGATGTAACACTACTTAAACAAACCCTAGAACTTCCATTACTATCTGATCGCACACTAACTTTTCCAACGTGTCTCATACATAAATTTTACCACAAAAACAAGCCCATATGACACCATTCTCTTACCTCCAGATAGGATATCATCTTGCCTCAACCACAGTCGCTGCTCAAACATATAACAGCAAAACACTAGCTTTTAGTATCTCACTTTTTCAAGAGGCATAACCATCTGGAACTCCCTCCCCGAGGAAATAGTACTTATTTCAGAACTATCCATTTTTAACAGTCAGCCACTTTATACCTCTGCTAGCCACCACTGTCCTACCAGATTTTCAGTGTATGTGGTTTTCATTACTTTTGTTTCTACTACTGTTTTTTCTTGTATTTTTGTGTTCAAATAATTGTATTATGTTCGCTCATATCCCCCCTTATGTAATGCCCCACCGGGCCCTTAAGGAGAAATAAATGAAATGAAATGAACCCGACCACACTTGAACTCAGCCAAACACAAAACCTGCTCAACCTGCTGCGAGTTTGCAGCGTCCCTAGTCTAGGCACTCTACCAAAGTGGGCGAGTTTGGCGCAAGTTGTACATCACCGGGTGCCGGCACGTGCAGGTTGCACCGCCGCCCCGCCGCCATGTCAGTGAGCGTTCAGCAGATCCTCGGCGAGGCCCGCCGCCTGGTGGGGCGCCTCCGCGAACAAGACAGCAGCGCCGACCAGCTGCTGGCACAGGCACACACCCTGGGGCAAGGCGTCGAGGCCATGCGCCAGTACAACGAGGAGCTGTCCCAGCTCGCCACCAACAGCAGCGTCGGCACTGGCCTCCCACGTCCCCGCGCGGCTCTGGTGCTGTCGATTCAGCAAGAGAACCGCCACATCCGGGAACTGCAGCAGGAGAATCGGGAGCTGGTGGCGACGCTCAAGGAGCACCAGTCGGCGCTCGAGCTCATCATGGCCAAGTATCGCGAGCAGGTCACGCGGCTCGGCTCGACGTGCCAGGCCGAAGAGAAGCTGGGCATCGGTGCGTCGGCTGCGTCGGCGCTCGCCGCGCTGCCGCAGTGCCACCACCTGGCAGACAAGGTGTGCGAGATGGCGGCGGTGATGCGGCGGGCGGCGGAAGTCGACGAGGAACGGGACGCGAAGGAGACAGAACTGCTCACGCGACTCAAGGCGGAGAACGGGGTCCTGAGGCAGCTGCTCGAGATTGGGAGGAAGGTCGGGTCGGCGGGGCTGGCTGACGAAGAGTCTCAGACGGACAGCGAAAATTGTGGTGGAGATGCGAGCGTGGTGGCTGCGACGGCAGCCTTCAAGGAATCTGAATAAAGAGATTCTGTACCTCTCTCTGATGGTCAGTGTGTGAATCGAGAGAATTTCCTGGCAGCGATTGGGCGGTCGCACATTACGCTCCTCTGGTCGGAATCGTAACATGTCTTACGGGACCCTGTCCTGCATTGTCCCGTTGCTTTGGAAGATTTTTTAACGGTTTCTCGGATGCCGTTTTATGCGCTTGTCTTGGTGGATCTCCTGCTGCTTTAGCTCAGTGTTTCTTTTGCCTCTCTAAAAGAAAAACGTCTTTGCGGAAATCAAGTGAACGTGCACCTTGGAGGAAATGCCCGATATCACATAGCGAAAAGATCTTCAAATTTTGTCTTGAAGCTGTCGACGTATAAGAGTGGTGCTGTTTGAATTTTCCCAATGGAGATTTTGAACCTCTTCAGTCGGCTTGCCAAGCCGACCACAGCGTTTCCTTCAGGCCTGGCATCTGCGTTACAACTGCAGTAAGGTTTGAAGCATCTTTCTTGGAACGAAACATGAGTGTCCCTTTCCCTATACCTTAGATTTTCGAGTGGGTGTTAATGTGCCCGAGGCGAAATGCGTGTGCATGCTAAATTAACAACAAAAAAGAAACTGCTTTTGATGTTGCTGTTTTTAATTGGAACTAGGTGAGAGTTATGTTTTAAGCAATAAGGTTTAATCCCCCCCCCCCTTTTATGTTCTCGTCACTTCCACATTTATGGGAGGGTGATTCAATTAAAATTGGGCAGTTTTGCGAGTTTTGAAAGTCCACCAGCACTGTTGTCGAGTCGAGCAGGGTGAAAGTAATCCAGTCTAGTAAAGCGAACATCTACAAGGACTTATTGGTATGCCTCATGTCTTCTGCCAAGCGATTGGACATGCTTCTTCAGCATTCCCATTGCTTCCAATAAACTATGCCCCCAACACTGCAATGCTTGTGCACTGTTGGTGTCGAGGTGTTTTAAAAACTTGACAGGTTTCAGTCCTAGTGCTAGGACTCTAGGTGTTTTAGAAACCAGAGGCTTCACTCCCGAAATCCGGTTTGTCACTCCGTACATTTGTGCCAATAGCTGTCGTCTGCTCGCTTCATTACTGGGGTTTGTCGTCTTTTGTTACGCATGCCGTAGCCGGAGCCCAAGCCAGCTGCCTTCCGAGCTTCCTGACTGGGGCTGCCGGAAGTGGCCACACACCATGGCCGGCTACCTCGGAGCGCTCGTTGAAGCTCGCTTCGGCCACTTCGGCCAGCCGACCCCTCCGAACCTACGGGAGCAGCGACGAGAGTCCACGCTCGAGGATACTATCGCCGATGGACCGGACGGGGCCGCCCGCTCGTGGACTTTTCAGCTCGCCACAGATTTCCACGGTGAGGCACGAGGTTGTCTAGTCACGGAAGAGAACCAATCATCGGCAAAAAAGCAGTCAAGAATTGACACTACAGGCCTGTTCATTCATTTGCGTTTGCTTATGACTGAGATATTGTGATCTCTTTTGACAAGAGAACACGTCATAGAGTTCATGAACTAACTTTAAAGAAAAAGGTCCGCCATTTTCTTATGCATTCTGGCTGCCGCAAGCGGCGGAGCATGGAAGGAGGCCTTTGGAGTCCTACACACGGTTGCCAACTAGCTTTACATTTTAGTCTCTCGATTTGACGGTCTACATGGCAACATCATTGCATTGTATGGCTGATTGAGGGAAAACAATACTTAGAGGAGCAGCAAGAAAATATGCTAAAGGAATGAAAAAGGAATGCAGCAATTATGAAGCATAGTGCATTAGGGAAATTCAATAGATATGAAGTAGTTAGGGGAATATGGAAAGGAGTCGGTCCAGTCGAGCTTAGAGACCCGGCAGAGGATCGTAGGTGGACTGGCACTGGGGCCACATGGGAATACATCAAATGAAGGAGTGCAGGGACACATGGACCGGGCGTCTTTTGATGTTAGAGATTAAAAACAAATACCTCCGACTTGCATAACAATATCAACATTTATCAGACGTTTCGTTTCCTATACGGGAGACATCATCAGTGCGGCCTGGGATCGAGGTTAGAGAGGCGATCAGCGAGTTGAAATTCAAACAAAGACTAGACACAATTGAGGCTACACGATGGGCAAGAACGTTATATATAAGCATCTATATATGAAGAGTCTGGGCACTACATGAACAAATCGAACCCGAAAACTAAAATTAAAATACCAGCAATCAAGTTTCGATGCAAAACAGACTACCTCTGTGAAAAAGGAAGTAAAAGAAGCAGAGAGAACGATGTTGGAGGAAAGAATGCAGGGAAAATCAGCTTTAACTACCGTACTTACTTGCATAATGAACACTTTTTTTTTTCCCGAAAAATTGACATATTTGAGTGGGGGGGCAATCACTATGCGCAGTAAAATTTTTGCATTTACACACTTCATGCAAATGTCATATTAGGTGCCGATAGGACATGGCAAGGTACTCTGGCATGTCTCCACTCATGGAGGCGCAGCCACAGCTGATCGGGTGCGCGCCACAGTAGCCATACTTTATAAATTGCGAACCTTTTTAGGGCGCTTTCGGCGTGTCTTTTGCCGGAGGAAAAGCACACTACGAAGCCCACTCGGCACGGAGAGCAACGCGACCGTTTTAGGCCTAATCACTTTCACGAATTCACTGTCCGAAAGCAGACCACAGACGGCGGCGTCTTTGTTGACATCAATGCATCCGATAGGCGAAGAATGTCCGAGGCTGGCTGATTCCTCGACCCAAGCTTCGTCAAGTGTGCGCACCGCTCGATTTCACGGTTGATCACTTCCGCAACTATGCACTTGCAGCCATTACGAGAGCGCCTTGGCTTGGCTTGACTTGGCCTGACCGCTTGGCGGAAAAAGAAAGTTGGCTCGGTGGCTCGCTGAATTGGATGCAATTTGAGACTCGCGGAGCCGAAAATTGGCGGTGCATTCGTTACACGAGGGAAAAAATGTCAAAATATTGGTACCTGCTGGGGGGGGTGCGTTCATTATGCGAGTAAATACGGTATGTATAGGGTACGAAGACAGGAAATAATGAAGGAACGTTGGTACGATAATTCACGGGAGGAGCTCGTTATTCGAGGCTAGAACAAGAGTATTGAGGACAAGTACACATAGGACGAAGTATGAGGAAATGGGTACGCAGTGTGCCACATGCCGAGGGGAGGACGTGACTATAGAACATGTGGTGTTGGGGTGCACGAGGCTTGTGCCCCCTTCCCCGGAGGGATTTGGCCGGAGCGTGGGGGTTTGCAGACGAGAATGGAAAAAGGGATGATAACTGCATTTTGGTAGCAAAAAGGAGGTTGGAAGGTTGGTGGAAATTATCTGGGGGCAATTGAATGACGTACAACTAGGCTAGGTGGCGCAAGCTGCTGCCCGATATAAAGGGTACAGCCGTTAGCATGCATCCAGCTATTAACATCCTTTCATCCATTTATTCTGTCGCACACTTTTGCCGTATTTGACTCGGGACTCCAGATGTCGGTGCACGGGATTTGCCACTCTTCCTCACTCACCCTCCTGGAATATGCTGGCACTTGTGCCATCTATGAAGCAGCCCTGGAACTGCATTTCACAAGAGAGAAGGTCACACAGTAGGTAGTTGCAAGATCAAACGTACATACAATCTAAGAGAAAGGGTCATTTATAACATATTGTCTCAAATTTCTGTAGCCAAGAAAGAAGGAACGCGCGCGTAAAAAAAATAGGAAGTATATACGGAAATGCAGAATGGTCCCATGGCTACTCGATAGATGGCGCCAGTGTCTTCTCTCATAAGATTATAAGAGGTTTCAAGGCACACGGTCATAAGCAGGTGCAAGTGTGCGAATCAGCCTTCAGATTGGCGCTTCTGTGGTTGGCAAAATGTTGCAAGAGGGATGAAGGAGACACGAGGAAACGAGGCAAAGTTAAGTTATAAAAGTAAACATTTGACAGAAGTCTGTCTGGTTGGGGAATGATTATTAAAATACGACGACCAACCAATCCCTAAATCAGGGGCCCAACGTTTCGAAGCCGGTTCGGCTTCTTCTTCAGGGGTGACTATGGAGGAAAGGAGCCGCAATCTTCCTTTTCCTCTATGACGGAGGCGAATGTGCATGATCCCATCTTCTTCCTCTTTGATCGTTTTTTGAACACAACTGGTGGAGTCCGTTCACATACACAGATGGCAGTGCACCAAGAGACCTATTAATGTTTGTTGGCGTGGTCTGAATGTGCCAAGATTCAAGGAAGAGCCTCCGGCGAGGATTAGTTTCAATGTCCAGGATATGTGTGTTTAGAAAGTCAATGCGGTGGTCATTTCTTTCACAGTGTTCAGCAACCGCGCTGCGCTCTTGATTGAAGTTGCGCACATCAGCCTTGTGTTGACAAATCCGTTCATGATAGTTCTTTGTTTCCCCGATGTACGAGGACGGGCACTCCGCGCAGGGAATCTCGTACACCACACCTTGCGCTTTCTCTTTAGGGGGCCGATCTTTTGGTCGTGGCATAAAGCGTCCAAGGGTTGAAATTGGCTTGTGGGCCATCTGAATGCCCTCCTTTGCTAGCACCCGTGCCAGCGCTTCACTTGTTCCCTTGATGTATGGGACGCTGATGCGCGTGGTTGGCCGGCGTTTCGTATCAACCTGCGACTGGTGGTGTTGTCGGCTGCGGTTTTGACGACGGGCAATGCGGTGTATGAAGCTGCCCGTGTATCCGTTCTTCTTGAGGTCGCAAATGATGGTTTCTTCTTCTTTTTGTCGGTCAGAATCAGTTGAGCAAAGGTTCTTTGCCCTTGATAGGAGTGTGTTTACCACCGATACTTTGTGGCTCGTTGGGTGGTTGGAGTCAAATTGTAAGTACCTTCCGGTGTGCGTTGGTTTGCGGTACACTGAGAACTGGAGATGGTCTTTCTGCCTTTGTACAAGCACATCGAGAAACGGTAAGGTGTTGTTTTTTTCCCGTTCCACGGTGAATTGGATGCTCGATCGAATTGAGGTGTGTCAAAAAGTTGTCTACTTGAGACTTCATGACGCAGAAGCAGTCATCCACATATCTTAGAAAAACCTTGGGGCTTTCAGCAAAGGACTGGAGAGCCTTTTGTTCTATGGCTTCCATGCACAGGTTTGCCGTGGCGACAGAGATGGAGGCCCCCATTGCGGTTCCGCTGGTCTGCTTAAAGTACTCTCCTTTGAAGCTGAAATAAGTGTTACTCAGGCAGAATTCAAGGAGGCGGCAAAGTTCGTCCACGTTGAGCTTGGTCTTGTTGCTCAAATCGCTGTCTTTCTCCAGGGTGTTTCTGGCAGTCATGACTGCTAAGGAGACCGGAACGCTTGTGAACAGGGATATCACGTCAAAAGATACCAGAATCTCCTCGGCGCTTATCTTTAAATGCGAAATCTGCTCCACGAAGTCGCTGGCATTGCGCACATATGTCGGGGTTTTCCCAACGAGAGGAGAGATAGTGTGATGAAGGTAGTTTGACAATGCTTTGAGCGGAGAGGTGGTGAAGTCAACGATGGGTCGGAGGGGGACGTCAGGTTTGTGTATTTTTGGAAGTCCGTAGAAACCGGGGGTAAAGCCATTCCGGCAAAGAAGGCGCAGGTGAAGGCTCCTGGAATCTGGGTGACCTTTGAAAATATCCGTAAGCATCTTGTTCAACTTCGTCTGGACTTGTGATGTTGGGTCTCTCTTGAGTTTTTCATACGTAGAGCAGTCAAGAAGATCGCGGATCTTATGCTCGTAGTCATCCCGGTCTAGGACGACCGTTGAGTTGCCCTTATCCGCTGGCAGGATCACAATGTTGTTGTCCTCTCGAAGCTTCCGAAGAGCTTGCACCTCATCTCTTGATAAATTGTGTCGGTGATGTTGTGGAAGTTTTGATAGCACACCAACTACTTTTTGTCGGACTCTTTCGCGAGCGTTTGAATCCAGCTGCGCGATGCCATCTTCTATTGTGGCAACCATTTTTGGTAAAGGCGGCTTCGTCGTTGTCATGTTATAACCGTGACCCTTTGCTAATACTGCAGTCTCACAAGGAGAAAGTAGTCTTGAAGAGAGGTTCGTGACAAACCCGTCGATGTTGTACGTTGCCTTGTTTTTCTCCGTCAGTCTCGAAAATTTTTTACGCTGGGCTGTTTGCTGTTTTGCTGCAGCGGTGGCAGCGACACTTGTGGCGAACGACTCTAAAGCTGGAAACACGTCGGGAATTTGATGTTCCAGCTTCCGACGAGTAAAAAACAGGTCCAGCTCTTTCTTCTTTATAGTTGAGTTGCACTCGTGTATTCGAGCTTTAACTAACCTGTGCTCCGCCTGGTCGATAATCTTGTGTCCCTCTGGTGTATGGACGATGCGTTTGAGATGAAGACTG